AGAGACTCCCCATATTGGAGATTTCCCACTTCACATCTATCATCTGAAGTGCAGGCTGATACTGACAGCCTTACTACACTAAGATTTGATATAATCTTAGTCTTGTGTTATCTTTACTGTTGTTAGGGGCATTTAGTCACCCTAACCTTCTTTTCTAGTCCTTTGTTGGTCTAGAACTGCTGTTTCCTTGCTTTGATTAAGTCAGCAAGGATTTGTCTGGGAAAAGCTTAGTCAGCATCCCACACAACCCATATCTTTTGTTCAAGAGCTGTTTGGACAAAGAACTCTTCAGGAGTTATTCTTGCTTTGATTACATCAGCAAGGATCTGTCTGGGTAAAGCTTAGTCAGCTTCCCAATTTTGCACCACCAAGGACTTTTGCTCCATACCAAAGGTCCCTCGTTCATCAAAGGATCCACACACTCCAGCCAAGTGTTGTGTAGCGCATCCACTCGTATATTTGTCCAAGGACCATTCGGACAAAGCATTCGTCAACGTAGTCTAGTCCATCTATTCTACGCAGTTCATCGTATCAGGCCTATCGTCTAGGTCTATCATCCCATCCAAAACCAAACCCCATTCCAAGAACCAACGACAGACTGTATAGTCGAGCCTCCCACGAACGACACGTTATCAACCGAGAAAACTAGAAAATCCGTTGACCGTGTACTTGAGGAGTTGGCAACTCTTGTCTTATCAAAGTGTAGTTGTGGTGTCACTACATTTACACGAAAACATATAAGACCCTCAAGTAGTAAGACACCGGGAATCCCCAGACCGTTGCCCCGAACTGGTCGAATGCAAATTTCATGGCGGCGAACTCGAGTAGGTATGGTTTGTAGCGCTCTTCGGTCGGTGACGTGCGTTTTGACGCAAAACCGATAGGATGGATGGTGGTGATCGTGTCCCCGTTGGGCCCCTGCGAAGTGACTCGTTGAGCTAACACCGCTCCAAACCCATCCTTGCACCCATCACTTGTGATAATGAAGGGTGTTCCGTCGAACTGAGGCGCACGTAGGATAGGTTCTGAAATCAAAATTTGTTTAAGTTTGAGGAAGGTTTTCGCGTGTCGTTGATCCCAGTACGAATCTAAGTTCCGCTCTCGTAAGTATTGTCTATACTTCCGTTTACCTCCTTTCGCACTAGGCGGCGGTCTATCTAGATTTCGGAGAAGGTCAGTTAGCGGTAGTACTAAGCGCGCGTAATCCTTGATGAGCGGCCGAAAATATCCTGTAAGACCTAGAAATCTCATTAGTTCTAAGAGATTTGATGGCACTGGCCATTCTGCTACAGCCGCGATCTTCGCTAGATCTGGTCGTATACCTTTGCGACCAACTCGCGATCCACCGAAAACGACTTCCTCCATAAACAATTGCGTTTTAGTCGGTGAGATCGATAAGCCTTTCTCCCTACATCTAAGAAAAAACAAGCGTAAGCGTGCTAACAGTTCGTCGAATACATTACCTGACATAGCGCCATCGTCGACGTACAACTCGAGGAGTAGTTGTATCATTATGTCGTGTAGCGCTTGTGCTGTGAGGTCGCTGAAGCATGATGGGGCTCCTTGCACCCCCATTGGCATGCGCTCGTATGCTTCGTATCCCCGTCCCTCTGTGTAAAAGCACAGATACGGTTGGCTGTTTTCTTCTACTGGGATCGCGTAGAATCCCGCCGCAAAATCCAACACGCATATGTACTCGTGTCCCGCTAACCGTTGTTGTTTTGCTGAGATATCTCCTTGAGGCGTGGCCGCTACGTCGGATACCTTGTTTACGTCCCTAAAATTCTGACATATTCGCCATTTCACCTTGGCTGGGTCTACTGGTTCTGGGTTGCGAGCGGGTGAAGATTTCATCTCAACATCATAATCCGGGGGCTCACCGAGTTCGATACACTGCTGATTCACAATTTGTCGAATGTCGTCCAACGATAGACTAGTTCCCGAGTGTGTTTTCTGGACTAACACAGTTGACGCTACCGCTTTTACTTCGTCCGCAGGTATAAACCTCGTAATCCCCGCTCGTCTCATGTCATCTAGGACTGGAAATAGGTACTCCCGTTGCGGCTTCGTTAACGGCCGTTGGTGTACTTTCTTCGAGAACACGGCCTCTTCAGGGATTGTCAAGCGAAATTTGATGAAGTCTACCGGCTTCACTTCTCGGATCGATAGTGCGAACACATCTGCGAACTCTGTGACCAGTTCGCGCGCTTTGCGTAGTTGTTCTTGATCGAGGTTGGGTCCAAAACGGACTGCGTTCACTACTGCTTCTACTCGTGGTGGGTGGAATGGTCCTCGAGCCGTTAATCTAGTATAGATTTCGTCAGGTAGGCTTGGATCTGTGAGGTCCGGTACTTCACCTAGTATCGTTCTGTCGTCCTCGACATTGTCCACCTGGTTGACTTCTGTTGGCTCGTATACCTGCGCTATAACTGGAGGTATGGGCTGCGACGAGTCCGCAGAATGATCCGATGATCTCTTGGTGCGTTCGTCCATTTGCGTTGTGACTGAGGTTACCGGTAGTGCCAAGCTCGCAGAATGATCCGATGATCCCGAGCTCGCAGAATGATCCGATGGTCCCAAGTTCACAGAATGATCCGATGATCTCTTGATGCGTTCGTCTGTCTGTGCTCTAGATGGGGGTGTTAGTAGCATTAAGCTCGCAGAATGATCCCATGATTCTATAGTACATTGTTCTGGTGGGTATGTAGGACTTTGTGTTTGGGTATTATGTATAGTATGTGCGGTTGGTGTATTAGGTTCTATAGTAGGGGGTTTTATGAATGTTGACGAGGAAGGGAATCTAATGGCTGTTGGTAGGCATGGAGTTGGGAGGGGGCGGTAAGTAGAGAAGTTCTGTAATTGATATTGAGACTCCTTGTGGGGTAACATGATTGAGTCAGTACTATAATCGTGGATTGCACGCGCTTGTTCGAGTAATGGTTTACCTATCAACATGCGCCATGATCCCCCGCTCGGGAATACTTCGAAGGTTGTGTTGATTTGTATTGGTCCCCATGATACCGTTCCTGACCATTCTCCTGTGGATGGTACTAACGCTCCGTCAGCCATGCGAAGGGTTCTACTCGAAGGACTTAGCGGTGTTAAACGTCGTGCTATTCTCTGGTACGCCGCTGTGTCCATCGCGTTGATCATTGCGCCATTATCAACAATGGCTAGGAATCGTGCTTTCTCTCCATGAGGTCCATGCAGATATGGCACCGTTAAAAACGGGTTACTTGTTCGAGAGGGAATGAATTTGCCGGACGCGTCCACCGAATAAACGTCAGTAATGGAATTGTTTGGCATAGATGAAAGTACAACCGGGGTAGTAAGCAAAGACGATGTATCAGTTAGTGATTCTGCGTCCGTCGATACGAGAGTTGAAGGAATAACATGTACAGTATTTGGTGTGGATGACGCGTTAGAGTGCGGACTAGTTATCATGGGAGCTACTGCTGGTCCGCTGTCGGCAGTGGTCCCAGGCTGTTTTCCGGAATCCAGTCGTACCCTGCTTCCTGCATGCCCCAAGTGTCTTGTCCATCCCACCCTCCTTGCTCCTCATGTTGCGCTATCGTGTATACTGGAGCTGCCGCTGTTGCCCGATATGCGCCGTAGTTTGGGTGGATGTCTGATGCGACGTATTGCACTGGTGCGACTGCATAGCCTGGTCGGTTCATAGGTGAAGCTGTACGTCTGAGGAGACCCGCCACCTGTTGTCTCCAGCGAGCCTCTTGAGGTTTCAACGGTTCCTGGACTATACACTGCGCTCCGAGGTGAGGTGGTTCTGTGACCATGCCACAGTTATAGCATTCTCCCGATCCGAGAATTGCTGTTCCTGGGCGGAGTGGATACGGTCGTTCTATGGTCGGGAACCCTTCTGTGCCGTGTGTTCGATGCCATAACTCTACGTCTGCTTCGTATTGACGTACTCCCATCTCCGTATTGCTTCGTTGAGGTATTGCGGACAGTTTTTCTAGAATCTGTGCTCTAGTTAGTTGCATACGCGTGAATGGTGTTCCTCGCATGTTGAAACCTCCTCGAACTGGAAATGTTGGCGCAGTTGGAAACGAATAAGCATTTGTTGGGTTGTTCATGAGTACTGGTGGTGGATTGGGTGGTGTGGGAGTGCGTAACGCTGCTCGATACGTGTTTGGTCGGTAGGTGCTTGTGGCCATCTGCGCGAACTGCTGCTGCAATGCAGCCATTGACGGTGTGCTTTGTGCCTTCAACCTCGCGATGTCTGCGTCTCTGGCCCTTTCCTTGTCCAAATCCTCTCGTCCCCTCTTAATCTTCACACTTGGTACCGTCTGCACGTCTTCTATGAACTCGTCCCAGTTTTTGTAGTCGCACTTGAGGTGGTCTTTCAGGAGATTTGGTATCCCTTCGATAACGTACTCGATCAGGTGTCCCTCTACGTCTCCCATTCCTAAGGCCAGGCGCGACACTCTGGTTGCCCAGGTGACATGACCATAGTTTCCTGCTGTCCATGACCCTATATCACTTTCCTCCAGTATTTCCGCCATAATCCGTTCCTTCTGCTGCGCACATGTGTATCTAGGCCGTCGTGGTGGTGGCCAGCGCCCTCGGAATGCGAGTTTGAGACTTGCGAACGTGATGGACTTAGTGGGAACGTTGTCTTGAAACCATTCCTCCGCTAAGTTTCCTGGCGCTAGTTGCATCTCGAAGCGGTCTACCTTCTTGTCATCGTCCCAGGATTCTGGCAGCGATAACTCAAATTGAGCGAACCACTCCGTTGGTTCCTCTTTGTCTCCATAGTCTCCCCTGGAGAGTGGTACCGGCCGCGGGTTTTCGTTGGGCATGCTGAATCGTGATGAGGTTGGTCGTTTCGTGGTTGGTGACTGTGCGGTGCTATTAAATGGGGTCGGCATAGGATGGGTGATTGTAAGTGAGGAAGTTGAAGATGGTGATGTTGTTGTGCTCTCTCTTTGTCTAGGTGTAAACCGTGCGGGTTGTAGCATAAACTTCGTGCTCCCGGTTTGCTCCGATATAAATTCGGGGGAATGTTGGCGTTCTAGGTGGGGCGGCAGAGAGACAATGCGACGGCGAGGGGTGCCTGGAGCTGTGCTATCTGAAAATTCCGGAAAGAAAGTAAGTTGAGTAGGAGAGGAATTCGAGTTTCTGCGTCGTGTCGTTTCTGTATCAGTGAGTCCACGTAGTTTTGCACAGTCTTCGAGGTTAATTTCTCCTGTGCTGGGTCGCTGCCCCACTCTCATCACCAGATGGACTGGTCAGCACGATGGTCAGGAGCGACGAAGGAAGATGCTAGACAACGATGATGATGATGATGATCTGTCTCTGTGTTCTACATGCAAGTGCCTACTGCTGCGACCCCGAACTCCCCTGGACTCCTAACACCCTGCTACCCCTGCTTCTGCCTAAACCAGATCCGTCCGAGTCCCGCTAGATCGCTCCGCTCCAACGTACACTACTTACAGAACTAGACGAATGCACTATACACCAAGAGATCTGATCAAGACGTCACATAAAGAAGGTGGAAATAATTTGGAGGAGGGGATCAGTTCACCCCCACCTTCTACCCCGGCAACGCCAACAGCAGTGACCCAAGGCATCGCAGTAAAAATAAACCAACAAATCACCCATATATACCCCACCATACGCGCCCCTTTCGTCTCCTTCACTCCTGCACGCCGTGCAGTAGCTATAACCATATCCTCAAACGTAATGCCGAGTGCCTGATATATGAAGAAAGGGAACGAAACGCCGATGCGAGAGGAGTTGATGACTGCGTCCCCTCCTAAATGAGCAATGCCAGAGACGAAAAACGCGGTGTAAAGTTGCGTGTAGGACGATCCATTTGTTCCGGACTTAAAGCCGAGAAACGATGCCATTTTTTGGCCAAAGGGGACCAGAAACTGATCCAATTGAGAAATGAGCTAAGTCATAGCCTCCATGCTGTAAAATAATACTCACGCGTCGGAGGAATTGGTGCCAAGTTCGACTATCCAACAGTCAGTATAGACCATGTGCAAGGCAAATCACTTACCCCCAGAATTGTCTGATCGTGTATGCATCCTCCCAATTACCAAATAAATCGGGCCAGGAGCCCGGTTCAGACGACGTACAGCTCACAATAAGAGCTGAGATCAACGCGTGGATAGTAACGCCCACACAATAATACATCACCATACACGCGCCGCAGCCGAGAATGCGACGGATGAAAATCTGGGATGCGAAGGCTGCAGCGGACTTGGACGCCGGGTCATGCCTAATGTAGAATTGTGCGAGGTCAAACCACAGGAGGTGTTTCGCTGCCTTCATTAAACGGGAATAGACAAAGTCTTGCTTTGACTCCCCAGAGTGCTCAGGCATGTTTTTCACCTGCAAATGAAAACGATCAGGGCTCGTGGTCGGCTGGTGCTTCAGGGTAAATTTACCTGATGATTCCAGCCCACTCCTCTAGGTGAACCGCACAATTGTGTGGCCCAAATAAATTTCTCGACCCAAGGGAGTTCATGCGCTGGCTTTATTTGCTTCCGATGATGGAAGGTATGAAGGGGTCGGACAAGCAATGTCATGTGTATAGCATCCATGGCAAGGCCAGCAATTGCCATGCCGATGAAGTAATCGAGGAAAAGAATATCGGTCTTAGCGTGCTGAATGCAAGTCAAGCAGACGATGAGAACCGCGGCGCAGGTGGCAAAATTCCATGGAGCCCGCACGTCCAATGTTATGCCAAACTGTAGGACGAAGGCGGGGACCTGTGCGCAGAGGAAGGGTACAAGTGGACTCATAGTGAGTTGTATACTTACTTCTGACAGACTCTTGAGTTTTTATAGGCTCGACGCCTGGGAGCGATCCACAAGACAAACACGTCACCCGTATCGTACCTTTACTTCGCACTTCTCGCCCTGAGTGCATTGCCCATGTCATAGGCTCATTGATGCAAACCGAGCCGTGATATGTGGCAGTTATGCTCATCCTCGAACAGTACAGAGGGGCAGGTTGAACGGTGCCCGTCATAGAGATTCCCCAAAATATTGATATGTTTTAGAGCGCAACATGGGCTCGCTGAAATGATATATTTTTCAGTAAAATTACCTTTTTTCATCGATGTTCTTGATCGGTTATGGTTATGTCTGCCCTTATGCAAGGAACATAGGGCGGTAGAGAGAAGTAACCGATGTCGTTGACGTCAAGGACTATACCCAAGGATGCTACTATTAGCACTACGACACCAGAATGAACCAAAAGACTGAACTTCACCTGAACAGAGCCACGGCGTGACGCTGTGGGGGTTTTCGCTTGATTCCTGTTTTCAGATATTCATCTTAGGACTCCTTGGAGCCACCTGACTTCGGTCATACTTAGCAACGGTACGTGGACAGTACATTCTGAATGAAAATTTGGTTTGCCGTAACACATGCCTTCAGTTTTGACAGTGAGTAGGCTTGGAACGAGCTCACCTCACAACGATGGCCTGATCTCGAAGTAAAACAAAGGATGTCCGTGGCACTGGCATTCCCCGTTCCTGTGCCTTTTGCACAACCAGTGCAATGGGCGGGCGAGTAACAAACCGCCGATATTGATGATAGTAGTATGGACACCCACCACTACGCGCTGCCAACGCAAGGCATTACTATAACTCTGTATAGCACCGTATGCATAACGTCATAGCCTCACACACACCCTAGTACCCATATAGTCACACGAGAGATCCCCCTCATACAGGATCAATCACTGTGGGCCTTAAGAACGGTGAATTCTCATGTAGACAGCGCCCAATCAACGCCCACGTGACATTCACATAATGGGTGTCGAAATAAGGTCTAAGACGCAATTCAAGTTGTCATGAATATCCGAAAGCGAGAGCGAATTGAAATACCAACCTTCATATGCTCTATCGCTCTTTGCGCATTGCCCAAAGTCCCCTCTCGCATCTAAAAAGACTGCAAGGGACTTAATTTCTTGATCTTTAAAAGATGCATACAAACACGGAACGCGCTGTCACAGTCTTGCTTCAATCACCGCCTGTGTATCTCTCGTTCCCAGATAGCCCTGGAATTCTACAGGTTGTCGATCAGGCACCTTGTTATCCCCAACAAGTCCGAGGTTTTCATAATTTGAGGATAAATCCGAGAGAATGGCGCCGACTCTGACAGCAGGGATTGCTGCGTCTAACCGTGACTGAGCAAAAGTTGTCGTTTCGCAATAGCAAGCGTACAACAAGGGTTAAATTCAAAAGCAACACTAAAATGTCTACGCATTACATGGGTCGCGTGAGCTTGGGTTTGACTGACATGGATTGATGACCTACCTAGAAAACACAGAGTTCGCCTCAGCAAACTCAAAAGACAACGGAGGAGACCGTTCAAAGGCTATTGCGTTGTGGTGTAAGTTCCGTAAACGAAATTCCCACTATTGATTGGACATGATTAACGCTCGTCGCGGAACCGAGTAGACCGAGGGGAAGAAAAATATTTTGCACGACACAGGTCGCGAAGCTGTAATTGCGAGTCAAATATCGAGCACGTACGAGCGCGACGTCGAGCTCGAATTCCAATGAGTACTATTGGCCAATGGACATGGCACGGCAGGAAAGTCAACCCGACCCGTGCTAGTCACATGACACACAGACAAACTATTCGGAGTATTCGGCTGTTGAATCAATTTTACGCTAGGATGAATGTCTCGCGGTTGTTAGGCAAGCGGAGTCCCCCAGCTCCATGCTCGGGGGACCCGGATAAGTTTTATTGCGAATCGAGAGACAGGAAATACAAGTCAAGGCAGCATAAGGCAACGTAGATGTGAGACTGGAGGATGTGCGTTTTGAAAGCAATAAAACTACAAGCAGACTCCAGCAGGCAAGAGTGAAATAAGACATGAGTGACGAAGGCACGATAGACATACTAAAGGGCTAATTTTTTAATTTTTTAATTTTATTTTTCCAATAGATTTATGTTGTTTTTATGATTTTGTGGTCTTGGTGCCTTTCTTGATGCGAATGCGTGGATAAGAATGAAAAGAAACAGTTCTTAAGAGTTGCTGTGAGAGTCAAGAGACGTTGTTGTGTTGGTGCCAAAAGACGTTGTTGCGAGAGACGTTGTTGCGTGGGAATTCGAAGGCGCGCGAGCTGAGCCGTGAAGTAGAGCGTTTAGTAAGAACGCGTGTTGGCGTATATACTTTTTAAATTCATCAGAGGACCACCGACCTGCTGCCTGAATAAGATCTGGGGTCATTCCCGCGATAGCGAGTGCCGTAGCACCTCCAGCTCTCATCGAATGACCTGACATCGCCGCTCCACAATGTTTGCGCAACCGTGCGAGAAACCAGCTTCTGGTCGGTATGGAGCCGTCGCTTGTTAACCACAGCGCTGGGCGGAAGGTGAAGGCCGTGTCACGGAATGTAAAGTACCGTTGTAGCAAAGGTAGCGGATTGAGGCCAGTTACGGAGTTGGACAATATCAGGATGGTCGTTCCAGTCCCGAAAGTGTCGTTCTTCTGATAAGGTAGTGTGTAGGAGATAGAGTTGGGTGTGATGACGAGGGTGTGTCGCAAAGGAATCTTTCTGTACGTCTGATGCTTGATGGCATCTGGCCATGTTAATTCTCCGAGTCGTTGCAGAGATAGAAAACCGGTGAATAGTAAGGCTAAGAAAAGGCTGTCGTCATGTTCTGGTGATGATCCTAACTGTGCGCGAGCTCGTTGAAGATCATCCACGCACAGAGGTAAATTTCTCTGTACCGGTTTAGACATGCGGCGTTTGCAGCCACGAAGGGTGCGCGCAACCAGAGATGAACGACGGGCAGCTCGTACTGATGGATAAGAGTCTTCTAGGCGATTTGCGATACCCGAAAGGTAAGAGTCGACGGAACGAGGCTCGATGTGGTGTGAGAGCCAAACAACGTAGAATGAAAGTGTGTCGGTTGTAGGTTCGATAGAGAGTTGATGCAGTCGACAAAATGTAATATAAGAGTTGAGGTGGGAGTCGTAAACAGAAGCTGTAGTGGATTCGACCGCGAAGCCGAGTGCGATTGAACGCTCATATAAGAGACGCTCAGTTGTCCAGGCCTCCCGAATGGGTTGCCTGGACGACGCAGACAATTCCATCATTTTTGGGCTGCCCCCAGCGCATCTCGAGGGGGTTCGAAGTCAAAAAAGCTGGCCGTTGGGACCAACTCCAAAACACGTTCGTTTTGGAATCGCGAGAGAGCGTCCGCGACACGATTCTCGCACCCGCTAATATGTTCGACACGCAAATCCACTTCGTATTCCAGCAGAACATCGACTACCGAAAGCAGGATGGAGTTGTAGGGAGGATGTGCACGAAGCGAGTTGAACATAGCCACGGTATTGGTGTTGTCTGTATAGATGAGCATTCGCGAGTGAGTTTCCGTCATGTTGCGGATAGCATGTACCGCTGAGCAGACAGCAAGGGCCTCAAAAAAGAAGATGGTGTCCTTGGGGGCATCGTTAGGCAAAGGTGCCTGACCCGCGAAGCTATCATGAGGAAACCAAAGGCCCATTCCCACTCCTGATGCATCCGTGTAGGCAACGACGACATCATCTGAAAGTGGGTTGAAATCCAATGATTTATAGAACAACAATCCAGGGAGTTGCTCAATACGAGTTGCCATCCACGTGAGCTCGTCAATGATGGCGTTGTTGATATGGAGTCTTGCGTGAGGATTAGTTTTTCCTCGGATCTTCTCGTACACAGCAGAGAGTCCTGGCTTAAGGAGCGGGAAGATATTGAAAGACCATTCACACCATCCAGCAAGTTGCTGAAACTCGCAAAGTGTCCACCGAAAATTCTTGCCTGCGAAGCGACGCAAGTGCAAGACGAGTTCCTCCTTTTTGTGTGGTGGTAGTGTTGCGGACATGGCGTTTGGGTCGACGTCAAAACCAATGACTGTCAGCGGTGATCCGAATAGCTGTTTTGGACGGTCGTGAGGAACACCGATCTCGTCCCAAAGCTGTAAAAGACGAGTTTGTTTGGCGGGGAAGTGACACTGATATGGGGCATAGTATAGCATCTGTCCTGCTACCTCAAAAGAAAACGAGTCATCCATATAGAGCTTCAGAGCTTCAATCAATGTTTGATGAATCGCGATCCACGCAACGAGTGACATAAACGATATCCACACTTTGGGTGAACCTCGCCCTCCGAAGTTATTATTACGGTCAACGTATCGTTGACCACGAACCGTTAACACCTGCTTGGCTTGCCACAGCGGGTGCATAGGTAAACGTCGAAATGCTTGAGAAACGTCGGATTTGAAGAGCACTAAGTTTTCATCAGGATGCTCCTGCCGAAATTGAAGCAGTGAAGCACCGAGCGAATGTAAGCCATCGAGTTTGGTTCCCTTGATAGCGTCTGAGTCGATCATTGAATTCAACGAGAAGTCCCCAGCAGTGTGGTCGACGACGAGGCGCATCTTGTCAGAATTGGGTTTGGGTACCGTATGCATTGGAACGCTATACATTCCGGGAAACAAATCAGTTCCAAAACTTTCTGACACTCGTCCCAGTTTAATCTCTTCTTCGAGCTGCTCCTCGATGAATTTTTGCTGGTCGTCTGATTTCGCGCATGTACGCATCGAATTATCATTGATCGAAGGATAGGACTCATCTGACGTGTCTGCCCACGGCCAGAATCCTTCGCGCAGGGCACGACACACCGATTGTACAAAAGGCTGATTAGGGTGGTCCACTAAGAGACTTTGAAAACGATCAACATTGATCGGAGTGACTATTTTGAAGAGTTCCGGATGATTAGCGACAGTAAGGGCTGCATCGCTATTGGCAAGGTCCAAAGGCGCCGTAGGAACTGGGTCTGCATACTCCGAGGAGCGTGCTGTAGGACTGAAAGAAATATCTGTCGGAGACCAAACCAACCCTCGACGATAACGAGGACGCGTGAGAGATCCCTCAGGTTGATTTGGCCTTAATGTCGTCGTTATGCTTCGTTTTGACATGTCGGCGGGCACAGACCCGGCCGTCTGTCTCAACGTTGCAGACATGTGCATAGCGGCAGCTGGCTGCGCTGCGTGTGCACTCTCCGATATTCCATTTTCGGCAGGGATCACGTTTGATCGAACTTGATGATTCTCGTCCTGCGGACTTACTTGATTCTCCGGTGTCATTGTGTAGTCTTCCACCGGCGGAGAAGTGCGAGCTGTAGATGTCCTTGAAATACTCAAAATCGGACAACTCATACCTGCGAGTATTTCCGACTCTGAATCTAACGGACTTATCATACCGGAGGACTCGTCCATGGCACGTGTCCAATTGTTGGTCGAATTGCTCGTTGATGTGTTCTGCGTAGGCATTAAGTTCATCCTGTCGATAAGGGAAAGCGAATTTGAGGGCTCGAGCCGCTCTATTCCAAGCCGCATTCCATTGTCCCTGCGTGGTAATCTTCTTCGTGGCCGTTTCTGAGATTCCATACGTGAATTCAACATCTCCAATTTTTTCGGTATGTTTATCGACGGCACGTGAAGTGGTGATGATGGTATGGATGGCGTCAAGGTTGATACTTCTTCCCGCGACAATATCTGCCCACCCTGATTCGTGAAACTCCGGACTTCGCTCGTGGTACATGAGCTTAAGTTTTGCTTGTTTCTGGTCCTGCGACCAGTTCTGGAGAATCCGGATGGTTTGTTTGAGGTTGGCGGATAGGGGCTTATTTGATTCCTGGTGTACTGTCGGTTTGAGATCAAGACAGGTGAAGTCGAGCTTAACTCGCTTCCGAACAGGTAGTCCTGGTTCGACACTGGCTCGTTGACTCCCGAGATCCTCTCCAGGAGATTCTTCTTCGTCGTGTGAGTTTGACGTTGGTTCAACCGAACGCCGTTCTCTACTGGCTCCCGATCCTCGTCGACTAGCTCGAAACTGCTCTGACTCCCACTCATCGAGCATGGTAAGGTAGATAGCCGCGATATCAGTGGGGTCTTCAATTGAGGTTGAGGGCACACATTCCCTGATGATTCCAGAGATGACATATGATGCCTCAAATTTAGTACCTTTTCCGGCTCTGAAGTCTTGGACGACGTCGAGGCATCTCTTCGCCACGTCCTGTTCCGATGTATGCGTTCCATCAGTGTCGGTTTCAACTGAAGTCCCTCGCATTCCGGGACCCCTAAGAGATGATTGTGTTTGCGCCGAACTGCTGGCATTGTTGCTTGAGTTTGCCGGGTTTGACATGTATTTTGGAAGAATGACCGATATTTGAGTGAAGCGAAGATTCAATCTTTGACGAAAAAACAAACGGTGCAAAATGTGCACGAGCAAACGGTGCTCGAAGGACAGGAGTGCGAAAAAACAAACGGTGCAAAATGTGCACGAGCAAACGGTGCTCGAAGGACAGGAGTGCGAACGTGAAGAGACGAGTCTCATCTGTTAGACACTTATATCCAAAATGTAAGGGGCCTCTAATGATGACGCTGAGTCACGAGGCTAAAAGCTTTTTCGACCAGCGTCGCGAATTGATTCAACTTGTATAAACAAGTTTAACCCCGAAATAAACAGCTCTTAATTCTTCACGACGATGAACTGTGTGCTGGAGCAGCCTGGGTCCCAATTACATGGCGCTCCCTCGATAACACTAAGAAAGAGCATTGCTAGGAATGGTGGACAACCATTCGAAGACTCCGATGTTCTCGTACTTTCCTCTCGGTCCACAAGTGACCCTCACTCCAAAGATTCCACGCAATTGTACCTCGACTTACGTCTCTCAAAGCCATTACTGCCGGAGAGCACCATTATGTGGGGCTTTGCTGGATTCCGTGTCACACTCTCCTCCAGTCCTCTGCGTTTCCGATGGAATCATTATATTGATTCCCATGGACAAGGTGGCCCTCCTGACGAAGGCACCATGACCTCATGTGATGGGGAAGAAGTAGAAACTGGAATTGGGGTGAACCCCGAGACGGGAGAAGAAGAACAGTACGAAGAACGCTGGGTGTGAGCCAATAACTTCTCCCCTAGACAGTTCATTTCATGATTCTGGGCGATAGTGATCAACCAGTCACACCAACCACACTGTTCGCATTCCTCACATCATCTCGTGAACCCAGTGAATCGGACGGATTCATTGCTATTCTGGGAGAGCATGCGCTTGCAATGCGTCAGTTTCCGAACGACACTGAATTCCAAGCAGTGCGCGTGCGCATCTCAACTTCATCATCGTCCGAAGTTCTGTTCAAGCAGAATGCGGACACCCTCCTCCCATTGTTAGAATTTGCGCTCTCTGGGGCTGACAAATTGAAAGGATCTCCTTGGCAGCGTGGTCAGGAAATCATTTTACACGAAGAGTCCTGGTTTGTGTGGGATGCTGGGATGACAGGGGGGAAATAACCGCTTGATTTTAAATCACCGGCGAACATACCCATGGGCATGAAGCTGCGATGCATTTATAACCTAAGCGTCCGCCGCGCTAATTGTCGCTTGATCTTTGCTTGGCGGATATGGGGAATGGGGCAGGACAATGTTCATAATAACAGTTCAATCCACGGGAAGTGTATGACGGTATCCTGTACGCAAGCAAGTACGACAGTACTGTGCCATCTACCCGTGAAACACTGATACTCCACCCTATTTGTATTTGGTTAGTGCGTAACCAGCCATCATCAAGGGCGACTGCGCTCCAGTGTCGTCGTTTTCAGAGTGCCCGCGTCACGGTCGAGGGCTGTCTGGTCCCATACCGACTCCAGGGGCACACAAACACACGGTCTAGTTTGCACCGGTTGCAGTAACATATTATTATAGTCTGTAGACTTAGAGTGTTGCTAAATCCAGCCGCCCGTGCATGATCTTGACATGAATTAACCAAGATGGGTTCCAAACCTGTGACTTAGCCTGAGGAACGATTAAAACGGTGGTCATGAATGGGGATGAAGTTGTGATTAGGCTACAGCTAGCCTCCGATAGACCGACACCACTGCCAAGCGAGTCAGGCTCAAGCGCACGTTCGACACCGCCTCTGGATGTGCCAGTGGATGGCAATGCCGGCAATGAGTCTCTGAGCCGAATTCGCTGAGTGTGACGTAGCTAGAGGTTACTTGATCGATGCTGAGGAGGCCGATTGTAACAATGTTTCACGCCAAAAGACCTAGATATCAAACAAAATTGATTCCCCATATACCTTCAAAAATTACCGAGACGTGTCGAGCGAGAACGAGAACGAACACGATCAAAGATCGAGGCTGGGCACACTAGTCACTAGCGAAAGATGATCATGATGGCGCGATGCTGAATCATGGTACGATGTTAGCGCAGAAATACAAGCCGAACGAGGTCCGATAACCAACGTTTTGGGTGGTCGCTGCATGAGAGGCAGCCTATTTTGTCTCCAAACCTGGGCATGCATGTACACGTTTCCTTAATTTGCTGTCCTCAGCTGGCAGCCGCGCTGAGAGAAGGACGGACATACTTACTAACATGCTGCGAGGAATGATTAGCAATTGCGAGAAACGATTATTTTGGCGTGGTCTTGGGGGGTTCGCCGCTGGGTTAACGTTATCGTATCACTGATTAGATTAACCCACCCGAATAATTGATTCTAGTATAAAAAGTGCATATCACCACTCGCCATACCCGCACTTCTCCACTTCACTCCATCACTATTATCATCGCTCAGCCAACATGGTAAGTTCACTCTCGTCCAACGATCATCTGTTTCGTTGCTGATAACATCGAACGCAGGTCAAAGTCGGTATCAATGGGTATGTTATCATCGTCAGTTGAGGCTTTTATCGCTGATTGGATATTGTCTCCTTTGTTGCTGCATAGTTTCGGTGAGTATATGCGCTTGATCTTGTTTAAGCGAATGTTCTTGACACAATATATTACCTTCAGGTCGTATTGGCCGTATCGTCATGCGCAATGCCATCGAGAACCAGGACATCGACGTCGTTGCTATCAACGAGTGGGTATATCTCCTATCATCCAAAAATGCATCTCATTCTCGTCTACAGTCCCTTTATTGAGTTGGACTACATGGTCAGTTGATGACCTATCGTCATGCACCGAGTTCGCTCTGATCGGGAGAAAATATAGGTTTACATGTTCAAGTACGATACCGTCCACGGCCGCTTTAAGGGCGACGTCCACACCGCGGACGGAAAGCTTTACATCAACGGCAAGCCTATTCATGTTTTCGGTGAGCGGGATCCCAGCAACATCAAGTGGGGTTCAGTCGGCGCTGAGTACGTCGTCGAGTCCACTGTAAGTTTCTCGACTACTCCCTCGTCAAGTTCAAAGCTAACTGGAGCGACGTGATTAGGGTGTCTTCACCACCATCGACAAGTGAGAATTGTTTGATCATGGATTGAGAACTTTGTAATAAGATTGCTCCCAGGGCCTCTGCTCATTTGAAGGGTGGTGCAAAGAAGGTTATCATCTCCGCCCCTTCAGCTGATGCACCCATGTTTGTCTGCGGTGTCAACCTTGACGCTTATGACTCCAAGTACACCGTTATCTCCAACGCCTCTTGCACGACAAACTGTCTTGCGCCCCTCGCCAAGGTGATCGATGACAGCTTCGGCATCGAGGAGGGTCTCATGTCGACCATCCACGCAACGACAGCTACCCAGAAGACTGTCGACGGTCCTTCCAACAAGGACTGGCGCGGTGGCCGTGCTGTTAACAACAACATCATCCCTTCCTCTACGGGTGCCGCCAAGGCAGTCGGAAAGGTCATTCCTTCCCTGAACGGAAAGCTCACGTATGTGATATCGAACTTTTCCCACGAATCTAAGATGCTGAGCGCGTCCTTGTAGTGGTCTTGCCTTCCGTGTTCCCACTTTGGACGTCTCCGTCGTCGACCTCGTCGTGCGCCTCAAGAAGCCCGCCACCTATGATGACATCAAGGGGGCCGTGAAGGCCGCCGCTGATGGCCCTCTCAAGGGCATCCTCGCATACACGGATGAAAACGTCGTCTCGACGGACTTCCTCGGCCACCCTGCATCGAGCATCTTCGATGCCACCGCGGGTATCATGCTCAACCAGCAGTTCGTGAAGTTGATTTCATGGTACGACAACGAGTGGGGTTACTCGAAGCGTGTGTGTGACTTGCTTGTGTACGCTGCCAAGAAGGATGCGGGTAACTAAAGAAAAAGCTGCGAACACCCAGAATCATGCCGTAATCGAGGTCTTAGTAATAAAAATAAATGTTGTATTTCTGCACGGACCCTCTCTTCTATTCCACTTATCCAAGTCGGTATCGAGTGTGTATTTAATTGGGGTGAGTGAGTTGATTGTGTCAGGTTTGCATGATTGTCGGCAAGTGAACTTTTGAACTTTCGCTCGGGAGCAGCCAAGAGCTAGTGTACCAAGCCAGGAACTACATTTAAAGAGGCAATTGAGATACGACCGCCTGGTGTATCATAACAGATTCCAAGGCTGCCTTCCATGAATTGTCACGAGCATGGGACCCTGGATGCGCGCGCATGACGAAGTTGCATTTCGGTTAGTGTTCGCAGCATCATCAAAACATGTCGGAAGGCTAACGAGAGCGGATAGTAGACATACCATACAAAACGTTTGGTAACAGACCCCACGAAGTCTCAGCCACGAGTTTTGTGGCGAATGGCATCTGATGGCATCGGGTCTCAACGTTATTTCAACCCTGTCTCAAGTTTCAACATGAAAGATGACGGTCCAGTTTCGGTCACTGCGTACACGTGCTTGGGCGGCAAGCCTCGAAGGCAACGGCATTTCTTGAAGCGCTGAGCGGTTAGGCCCATCTGATCAGGAACCTAGCATAATGTCTCATATTTTCCTCTTCGGCGATCATGAGGTTTCTAACCGGCATTGGATCCAGCTTGCTTCACATTACGCTTGTTGGTAAGACTGGCATAAGTATGAATGTCCACCGTGTACATACATACGTACAATATAGTACCAGTCGCTGACAAGTATGAATGGAAGAATATATTCCCGTGTCAAAGGTCGTGAAATACATGCCATCGTCATGCCCGATTCACTTGCCTAAAAAGTTCATCGGGGGACGAAAGCTGAAACATCAAGGGGGACTACAGGTATCGCATGCGCATTAAGGTCATAAACAAAGATACAAGAAAAAATCGCTACAATATACCCGGAATGAATCTGTAGCGCACCCTCCTAGACCACACATCCCATTCTTCCGCAAAACGCTTGCGAAGCATTGCATCCTCGCTAATGGATCGTGCGCGGCTTAACACGACGGACAGTATGACTTGGACTACCCATACTGCAAACACTACACGCCCGAAGTGAGTGGAGAGCCACCCGGATGACCGCATGAACGATCCGGGGCTCGCGTAGATCAGCGAGATCCCGAACGAGGCGATCCAGCTGGCTGCATAGCCGGGATGGCGTACGATGTTATACGGACCTGTGGTGACAAGGGTGTGGTCCTTTCGTAGGGCGAGCTGGTGAGTGAAGTGGCGTCCCATGACGCGGAAACACCACAGACGCCCCAGGCAACCTATGATGACGAAGATAGTTCCGATTATGAAGTATCTGTTTGGCATCATATCTGGGAGCTGTCCGGTGTGAACTAGAGTAGTGAGGATTCTGGATGAGACATGTGACGGAAAATGAGCCGCAAGTATGACGGCTATCTCCGCAACACAAGGTATCAAGCCCGACAACTGCAACAGGATGTTCGTCAAGGTGTATAGAAGTTGGAGGTTTACTTACTCGTTGTAACACTGGGAAGATGGCTGGGCAAATACGCTCGTAGAGCGGCCCGCCGGTAATAGCATCATCGCCATGGGGCGCCGGGTTCGGAGAGATATACGCATTATTGAATACAAGGACAGATGGTACTAGAAAAAGAAGTTTCATGAGAGTCATTGTGACGATCGCCACTGGTCGTGCAAGTGTTATGGGCCTAGCTAATAGTAAACTGCTCACCCCCTCTTATATGTTCTCACATAGACGCATGCGCGCCTACATAACAACTAGGTTACCCGCATCGGCCAGGGCATTTCAAACAAATCCACAAAGGGCAGCTACACGTGAAGTGCTAATAATGACTTCCCGAAATTGATCACAAAAGGAAGAAGACCCTACATAACGCCGGACATGCAACTGAACCTAGCGCTGCGCCGATGATCTTGAATGATGTCGTCTTCGGAAGGCTAAAGAGTTGGGTGCGGCAAAACACGCCAGAATAAGTTGTGTCACATTACGTTGTGGCCACACGATCTAGCCTCCAAGTTGGTATCAGTATCATGATGGGCCTATGCCCGGCTGGTGTATTTACGTTCACGATTATGCCGGGTCTTTGAAACAGTTTGACTGAAAAGGCTAGGATGATCAACGAAATTCATGTAGATAGTACTACTACTGTGCGATTGGACGGAAATTACGTTACCGTTCAACTCAGACTAAAACTTGTACAGTCCGATAGGAAATTTGCTGGCTCTTGGACATCTTGTTGTCAGTAATGCATGCACAGGGAGATCAAGTAGGTGGACAAAACATTAGTTTCACGAGGATGGGCAAATATATATGGCTGCCACGTGCACTTGCCCAGGTAAAATTTCTAACAGCCTGCCATAAACGGAAGGAGATAATATGCGCCACTCGTCTGATCTCTTCCACTAGGTGACAGCATCCACGATGTTCAAACTTATCATTGACCCCAAGCCTCGTCGGTAATAGGTCCTAGCTCTCAGGCTGTCTGTTGACTCAGCAAAAGCTCCATTACAAGGACCCACAAGTTGGTCCCTGGTCCCCGAATATCATGGGCCAGCGCAGTGATCACGTATATGCGATCTGATGGCAACTTTCTTGACGTGCAATCGGAAAGGCTTGTTCTCTTTGGTTGTGATCTGGTTCTCTGTTCTATCTGGTTCACGGGCGCCAACGATCAAGAGCCGTGTATTCTGCACACTGCAATGCACATCAACTACTCAATCTTCACCGCTCTCAGCATTGCATCTAGTTCACGACCACCGTGACTGCTACTGGCACACAATATACTGCTTGTGGCCCAACAGCCTAACTAGCGACGCTCGCAAAACCGCACGGCCAATGTACCCGCCATCCAGCTGTGTACCCAGAAGTTTTCGGAATATGCCCAAATTCTCAATTTCACAGATCGGCTCGATCATGTGCTTCGCATCCATAGGTGCATCGTGTCCGCCACGTTGTTCCTTTTGCTCCTTAAGTCCTTTTTGTGAATGCCTTTCTGAATTCTGATTCTGATATGGCCATCTTAATCTAAGGGACGTTCGGTGGAAACACGCAATTATTGAAGAACATAGAGAAAGACAAAACTTCGCACATGAACCTTGTACGCCTTGCCGTATCTCACAAACGAAACCACCAAAGTACTTATATATGATCCTAGCCGAGGCTCGGATATTATGTATGCTTCAAAATATTACCGCACTTCCTGGTAGGTATTTCTCGGTAAGCGCCGCGCCTTTATCACCTTCAAATACATAAATGACATATATAACGTTGCCTCCCTGCAGGTATTGGTCCCTTTCCACGATACCCTCTTTGGATCACAAGCTACCAAAGAATCTGTAATAATCTGATTGGCCCACCTGAATCGTGTGCGGTGTTCCCTAGCTCCGTCAATCGCAGCTGGAAACACCGGAATTGTGCAGACTTACTTGCTGAGTGTGCTTGGCACGGAACATATTCAAGTCACGTTGCAAAACCTCAACATGTTCACATGTGTTCAGCTATACCACTGATAGTTGTTTTTCGCAGCACGGCGTCGCCACATTGCACACTTTACAAAGACTAGTTCTCCGCCTACCCTACAACAAGTCAAAGGACTTATCTTAATCTATATTTCAACTCGACAGATGCTTAACAGTGGGGAAAACCTTTCCCGATATGAGAGACTGACAGCGCATCAGCGATAGCTCTGATGCGGCAAGTGCTGTTGGAACATGAGGTCCCTTTTGTTTCAGGTATCCTGGTACCGTGCACAGGCTATCTAATCCATATACACAAATTCAGCAGGAAGACATCGTCAGCCAAGGCTGGGTGATGTACAGTGCCATTTTGAATACTTTTATGCCAGTAAGATATCCATCCTCTGAATCCCGGTCCGTGTTGTAAAGAGAACGATATGTCATCGTTATATCAGTGACTGACGAGGTGCCAACGGCATGTGGGAGCCCTTGTCTTTTGGTGTGCAGATGTGATGTTGCCTTCGTTGGACCATTGCAGGGACAGCGGACAGGAACTGTAAATACCGATAATAGAAGCCATGACAGGGGTTTTCCTTTTTCAAAATGTCTCATTTTAAGTTGAGCCCATTGGTTATCCTTGAACCTTGCTGTCTCACAGTACTTTGGAATCACGCACCTCGAGGACATAACCGTACTAAAAGTACTAGTGTTGTAAGTTGATTTTTCTGCTATGCCTCTTGGGTGCTACTGTAATTGTTTTGTAAAGACTCAAAAAATATTTGCTTCCAGTGCGTCCTCAAGCTGGGTTATGTATGAACTATTGAACCCGCGGTACGCCGATATTTGAGATGCTGAGCGTGAGTATATGTCGTTCGAACCCTGCAAATAAGTGGACTGCAATCCATTTCGGTCGCGTGCGTCGTAATTCAAGCTGCCTTCCCACAGCTTTCCTACTCACCATCAGCAGCCCAGGGTGATCATGTCGCAACTGCCCCGAATCCTGATCTTCTTAATATAATAATAAATGGAGTAAGTCAGAAACATTCAGCCGCGTGTTGGCCGCATGTGCACCATATGTTGGTTCGACGTATCCTCGTGACGTTGCACTGACAACTTCGTCAGATCTCACAGGCGATTTCTTCGTGGCGCATTCTGGCAGTTATAGGCAACCCTAGGAGAAGATTGGATCTGGAGACTCAGCGACTGCAATTGGACTTTCCGATCGGGAGAGCCCAGCACAAAAAGTTGCGAGTCTCAACTTTTATTGGCCGACACACCGTTAACGTGTCAGACGATCATCTTTGGCCTGTTTTCACAATGGTACTTCACATACCACTTGGAAGCACACTGTCATTTTGCTCCCTTGTAAGATGTGTCTGCGGTAGTCAGACAACGGGCAGGCCTACGCCACAATGAAGGAAGCCGCGTATATCATGGCAATGCTATTCGTCGCACTCCAAGACTTTATCTCCGCATTCAGACCCGAGACCCAACGTCATATTTCTAAGGTGAAGCGCGGACACCGCACCGTTTCTTCTTGAATGACGGGTGCTGATGCGGCTGGCTATGCCTGTTTTCCGGTACTGCAAACGAAACTCTCCAAAGTTGACCCGTGTTTAATCCATGACCCATGTCGTGGAGAGTTCCGCATGTGAAACATGTAGATATCTTAAGGTAGGTGCAATTCAAATCGTTTCACGACTATCGTTCATTCTCTCTGTGCAGGTTTGATTGGCTATATGGCGTCATAGATTAACTTCCGCCATTCCAAAGTGTGGGAACGGAATCGTCTTTTGAAAATGATGTACCACTTGTTAATGTGCGTTCCACGGCGGAGGCATCCACGAAAAGCATCAATACAAACAGTTCCCCGTCCCAAAGGCCAGGTGCCACGTCGTAAATCTGCTTGCATTCAATGCATATATATCCCGCTCGCGTTTTTGCTACAGCTTCAATTCTTTCATTATAGCACCGCGATGAGCTTCACAGAAAAAGTTGATGTGGACGCCGACGCCGACGCCCGCGCCGGGCTGGAGAAGTTGGGCTACAAGCAGGAGATGACACGGGTTTGTACTTATTTTTGTTCCTGTTCGATCCGTATTTCATGCTCATGGTCATTGTTAGTCTCGAGGGCTAGCACATATATTATTCAGTGAGTAGAGCTCTTTTTTCGCTGTATCACAGATATTAAATGTTTTTCAACCAGTGTCGTTATGTATGTCTGTCGCCTCCAGTGAAGACACCCACTAAACTGTTGATCTGATGATTTGATTAGCAATCATGGCAGTCCGTAAGTCTGAGCACCGATTTTTCTCAACACCGCGGCTCACCCTCTCGTAGCATTTGGTCTTACGACTCCAATAGCGACGGCGCTCATTGGAGGCGGTCCAGTCGTTATGATATGGGGGTAAATTAACTATTTTCAATTTAGTTCAAATATAATTTGACATGGTGTAGATGGATCTTGGTGTCGGTCCTCACCCAAACCCTTGCTCTTTCTCTGGCAGAAATATGCTCCAAATATCCCACATCCGCTGGCGCGTACTACTGGTGTTATCGACTTGCGTCTCCCCGCACGAGACTTCTTGCCTCCTGGATCAATGGCTGGTTGACGGTCGTCGGTGTCTGGATCAGTGCTCTGAGTGTCACATTTGGTATTCCTTCCTATGCATTAGATTTCCGATCGTCATTGACACAATTTTCCAGGAACTGCCGAACTTGTTGTCGCCGGCGCCGGAATATTTTTCCCTGAATGGAACGCAACAGTATCACAAACATGCAAGATTCCTTCCATGTAGCAATGCGTTTTCTGACCAGTTTGTGTCTCATTTAGATATGATTTTCCTCGGCGTGACAGCCGTTGCTTCCGTATTCTGCATATTCTTCAACAGGTCCCTACCAACCGTCGATGTAAGTACTTACTTATTAATTGTCTCGGAGAATCCCACACGTTGCCAGATAATTTGCGCTTGGTGGACTGGTTTAGGCCTCATCGGTACGTTTTGCTGCAGCTGATCACCGTCCGATGTCCTGAATTTAGTGGCTTGAAGTTATTTTGGTGTGCTTGTTCTCCAAGGCCGCAGCAGGGCGTCGTTCTGTCTCTTTCGCGCTCGGGAACTTCGATCCGTCATTTTCAGGATGGACGCCTGGGTGGTCGTTCTTTATTGGTCTATTGCCGGTATGATCGCTGCTAGTTATTGAAACTCGTACTCAATATAACCATAATGTATCAAAACAGGCTGGTGAGATGTTATCATATATATATCAGTGGCATTCAAACTAAACCACGTCCTAGCATATACATACTCCGCTATAGGAATGAGTACGTCCCCAATGGCCTTGACCATATTCACTCGCCTGAAATTCAAAACCAGTCACAAGCATGGCCGAAGAGGTTCACAATCCTTCTGACATACTTCCGAAGGCCATTATCTCATCTATACCCATTGGCGCATTAACTGGTGCGGTATTCATTCTGCCAATTCTTTTCACGCTGCCAGATGTCGCCACATTGCTTCAAGGTCAGTTTCACGCTCAGGTAACTCGTGCTCCTCATGTATATATGTCAACCAGTTTCTTCCGGTCAACCAATTGGTCTGATGTTTAGTTTGATCATGGGCTCCAGGGCTGGTGGTTTGGGGCTGGTGAGTTTTCTACGGCCTTTCGTCTGGCGCTGCTTTTCTGATTTGATGACTTATTCAGTGGTTTATTAGTACGTCACAATTGATCTCCGCTAAGTAGCCTAGCATTCTCATACTACTTTTCAAAGTATTCGGACTCGGTATATTTTGCTCAATCTCCACCTCTTGCGCCGCTTCTCGTGCAACATGGGCGTTCGCACGTGACAAAGCTATCCCATTCCATCAGTCCTTCTCCAAGATCGGACCTCTCGATGATGTCCCCGTGAATGCGTTCCTCCTCTCCACCGTTATCCAGGTTCTCCTTGGACTCATTTACCTCGGCTCCCCAGCTGCGTTCAACGCCTTCGCGGGTGTCGCTGTCATGTGTCTTGGAGCGTCTTACGCCATGCCCATCGTCATCTTGCTATTGAATGGTCGGAAAGACATGCAGGATGCCCCATTCAATCTTGGCAGGTTCGGTACTGTCATCAATGCAGTCGCAGTGCTGTGGATCATGTTCGCCATCGTGCTATTCTCGATGCCTGCTGTCATCCCAGTAAAGTCAATGAGTGAGTAAATTTCTCTCGCGTGCGTGGACTGAAGCACTGAACGGAAGCGGGAAGATTATGCTTCGGTAGTGTTTGTGGGGTTCGGATTGATTAGTGCTGCGTGGTATATGATCAGTAGGTCGTTTGCTTGCTGTTTGGTAACTTGATTTGACTTCTGTGGTTCAGACGGCCAGTATTACTACGAAGGACCGCCGAACCCGGAAGACATAAGTTCCTCGGGATCCTCGGATTCTGTTCCGTGTTGAAAGGATTCTGGGCGACAATGGTGGAGATACTATCACCAAGCGATGGTGGCTGAGATGGAGGTGTCGGCGCTGGGGAGCCCTTGCCTTTCGGTCGAGCCGTTGTGTAGACATGATGTTGGGACTTCGTTAGACTACATAGACAGAAGTGCTGACCATGGTAGTAAAAGCGCCCAATATTATGACAGGGGTTTAAAATTCCTTTTTGATATGGCTTTTCTGTTCAGCAGTTCTGCCGTAAGTTGGTCTATCATAGGGTGGCACTGTAACTGTTTTATGAAGACTCAAAAGCCACTTGGTTCTGCACGCTTACAGTTAGTACCATTCAAGTCACGAGGTCACGGTGCAGTGGTGTGCGAAATCATTATCTTCACTACTCATAATTTTCACGCTCATGTATATTTATCGAAAGCCTTATCACCCGCCCATAATCCATAAGGTTATCCGCAAGGCATTCTGATGTGCATGGGTATGATAGGCAATTCCCCTTCCCAAGGTTGGAGCTGAAACTGGTTCTATTCGCATCATGCGGAACTTATGCTTCGCCCCCGCATCTCCGCTACTACTATCTTTCATCGTACTACCACGATGAGCTTGAAAGACGATGTCGATGTGGATGCTGTCGCCCGTGCCGGGCTGGAGAAGTTGGGGTACAAGCAGGAGATGACACGGGTTTGTGCTTCTTCTCGTTCTTTTTGATTCGCATTTCATGTCCGTGGTCGTTACCAGTCTAGAGGACTAGTACACATATTATTCAGTGAGTAGGGCGCCCTTTTCGCTGTGTCGCAAAAAATAATTTGTTTCCCAACAAGTGACGCTAGGTCCGTATGTCGGTTCAAGTGAAGACACCCACTGAGTTGTTGACTCCACGATTCAATTAGCAATCATGGCAGTCCGTACGTTTAAGCAGCAATCTCGATCAACACCGCAACTTACTCTCTCGTAGCATTTGGTCTTTCGGCTCCCATAGCGACGTCGCTCGTTGGAGGTGGTCCAGCGGTAATGATATGGGGGTAAATTTACCCTTTCCAGCGTAACTCAAACACAATTTGACATGGTGCACCATGTAGATGGATCTTGGTGTCGGTCCTCACCCAAACCCTTGCTCTTTCGCTGGCGGAGATATGCTCTAAATATCCCACATCCGCTGGCGCGTACTACTGGTGTTATCGACTTGCGTCTCCCCGCACGCGACTTCTTGCCTCTTGGATCAATGGTTGGTTTACAGTCGTCGGTGTCTGGACGATTGCTTTGAGTGTCACATTTGGTATTCCTTCCTATGCACGCCACTTCCGAGCATCGCTAACGCAGTCTATCAGGAACCGCTCAACTTGTTGTGGCTGGTGCCGGAATATACCACCCTGAATGGAATGCAGCACCGTGGCAAACATGCAAGGCTTCATTTACATATCAATGTGGTCTTCTGACCAACCCGTGACTCATTCTAGATGTGATTTTCCTCGGCGTAACTGCTGTTGCCTGCGGTTTCTGCCTATTTTTTAACAAGTACCTGCCGGCCATCGACGTAAGTTCTCGCCTATCATTTTCTTTTAAAACTCATACGTTTCCAGATCATTTGTGCATGCTGGACTGGCTTAGGCATCATCGGTACGTTGTGCATGCAACTTGTCCCTGTCTATTGAGTCGAGTCGTTTGAAGTCATCTTGATATGTGTGTCCGTCAAGGCCGCAGCAGGGCGCCACTCTATCTCGTACGCGCTTGGACATTTTGATCCATCGTATTCGGGATGGACACCTGGGTGGTCTTTTTTCATTGGTCTATTGCCGGTATGGTTTCTGTTGGTCATTGAAGCCCTCACTCAATACTATCACAATGTATCCAACAGCCTGGTAAGAGGCTATCATTTATTGAGTACTAGGCCTCGGAACTGAACAGCATCCTAGCATATGTATATGCCGCCATAGGAATGAGTCCGTCGAGTCCTTTACATCATGTTCACCGTCTTACACGTAGAAACCAGTCACTAACATGGCTGAAGAGGTTCATAACCCTTCTGAAATACTTCCGAAGGCTATCACCTGGTCTGTACCCATTGGCGCATTATCTGGCGTAGTATACCTTCTGCCAATCCTGTTCACGCTCCCAGATGTTGCCACATTGCTTCAAGGTTAGTTTAGTTTCACCAAAGTTCACTCGTGCTCCTCACGTATAAATATGCCAACCAGTTGCTTCCGGCCAACCAATTGGTCTGATGTTCACTTTGATGATGGGCTCCAGGGCTGGCGGTTTTGGTCTGGTGAGTTTGCCGTGGCCTTTCGTCCGGCGCTGTATCTCTGATTTGGCGATATGTTCAGTGGTTCATTGGTACGTCACAACTAGTCTCCTTTCAATAACCTCACCCTCTAAACCCACGTTTCAAAGTATTTGGTATCGGTATGTTCTGTGCAATCTCCATATCGTGCGCCGCTTCTCGCGCAACATGGGCATTCGCACGTGACAAAGCCATCCCGTTTCATCAGTTGTTCTCAAAGATCAGTCCGCACCTCGACGATGTCCCCGTCAATGCACTCCTGCTCTCTACGGTCATCCAGGTTCTCCTTGGACTCATTTACCTAGGTTCATCAGCTGCGTTCAACGCCTTCGTGGGCGTCGCCGTCATGTGCCTCGGAGCATCCTATGCCATGCCCGTTGCCATCTCGCTCGTGAACGGCCGAGAAGACATGCGCGATGCTCCATTCAACCTTGGCAGGTTCGGTACCGTGATCAATGCAGTCGCAGTGTTTTGGATCATGTTTGCCATCGTGCTATTCTCAATGCCTGCTGTCATACCAGTCACGAAAACTTCGATGAGTGAGTCGCTTTGTCTTGCGTGGGTGGGTTGAGGCGCTAAATGGGGGCGGGTAGACTATGCTTCGGTAGTGTTTGTGGGATTTGGGGTGATCAGCGCTGTGTGGTATTTGATCAGTAGGTTGTTTGTTTGCACTTTGGGAATTCGCTTATACTGTAATTTAGACGGCCGATTTTCCTATACGGGGCCTTTCATCCCGAAAGAGTCCGCGGGATCCTCGGAGTCTAATCGGTCGTCCTCCCCGCTTCGACAGTGAAAAGCCGAATGTCTCCACGCTATTACAGCATGACCTCCAACCTATGTTACGAAATGCTTTTGATGTCCTGCTTCAGCTTTGATAACAATGAATCACATTGGGATTCCTGTATATAAGTAATGGTGACAAGTATTAGAGGGTATGAGATATTCATGCTAAGAATGTCAGCAGCAAGAAACATGGTATAACGATAGCAAGCAAGTGCCAGGAAATGTATGGTTCAAGGGGAGCTCATCGTGTAGTCTCGCCCCGTTTCCATTACGCGCGTAGTTTCGGTATCACCTTGACCATTTGGTCAATGTTGATGAACTGCACCCAAGCCTCTAAATCCTTCGCATTATCGTGCCAGATAAATTTGGACTCTTTCGTGCCCCTGAAAAACGCGCATGCGCACTGATACGATTCCTCGAGCATGACCCCGCCCATGCGTTGTACGCCGAGCTGCGCCTTGAACACGCGGAACTCCCACCCCTGCAGTGGGTGGTCATCGCCGCGCGCGGACTCAGATGGAATGTTGAATTCGAGGCGTGACCAGTCGAAGGCGGTGCTTTGGCCAACGGCTTTGATATACGCCGCTTTAAGCGAGAGGAGGATGGAGAGGCGCCGGAGGACGACTTCGTCCCCAAGTTCAGGGTTGAGGAAGGTCATCTCTAGTGCGGTTAGCTGGTGGCCAATCGATCGTCAGTATTGGTGGTGTTTTGTGCCTGCCTTTAGGCTTACTTTATGTGCAAAGGATTCAGCGTAGGCCGCTACAGAGACGCCTTTGGGCTCCACGGAAATCTGTTTGATGCCCAAGCCGATGTTTATTACTTGGCGCTGCCGTCCCTGCGTCATCACCATGCCGCAGAGTGAGTTGTCATATGCAAGGTGGTATCCAATCATAGACTGGAGAAATTTTTCTGGGGGCATGTCATCCGGTGACTATTGGAGGGGGAGTACAACAAGCATCAATGAGTTACGCTACGCAGAGAGTTGATGACCAGCACTCACCTGCTCGATCCAATGCTTTCCATTCGAGGTAACGCAGTCCTTCCATTTTGCGCGAGATATTCGTCGGTGGCGCATCATAAGCAGGGGTAACATGTGGCAAATAAGCTGCCCTGCTGAGTGTCAGAACCCAAACCAAGCGAACAGTGGAGTGGTGCTCACGGAAAGAATCTATGGAGGTGGGCTGATACGGCAACCTGGCGTGAGGGACGCAATCCTGCACAAGATGAAAACATTTGTCGTATTCCTGCGGAAACAAGGTCAGGTGCTGGATAACTCGAGGACAATATTCGCCAAACCTCCGTCAATACATCACGGTTCAATGAGAGCATCCAGACGAGAAGTGGACAGTCCGTGGCCATTTGTTTTACAGGGCCTGAGAGAGAATTCAAACAGGTCTATTACTACGGAATGTGGCGTAGTGAATGGATGATTGCGTGCAGCGCACCTGGGTGATCTTGGGCCTACAATTGGGCAGTAAAATTACAGAATCCTGATGCTAGCCACGATACAAGTATTCAAATGTATCCAGGAAACAGGGTGGAGGCCACGGAGGATACACAGCAATTGCGCACGCTCTGGCACGGTGGGCTCATTATAAGTGATCACTAGCCTAACAAGCAAACCGCACAATTTGGGTGGCCACGTGCCGGGGCCACCGGAATTCTGCCATTTCTTTTCTTTTCCATCTTTTTTTCTTCTTATGAAGTTTCGTTTTCATGTGAACACCTGGAAGGCACTCGAAAAAAAAAGCTCATCTCGGCCGTGCTGATCAGTACGTGTTTGACATCTGTCGTTGAAAAATACTTGAGGACGTCGGAGATGAAGAATCTTACTTTTTGGCTTATCTCGTTGACCGCGTGCTGCATTCAACTGACTGTGCTGTCCCTATCCGTCAGATCCGATTCCAAGGCTGTCCTTTGGAAGGGCACGTCTTCCCATGATTTCCACTCTCCATTTCAACCCTAGCGCTGCCTATTACAGGGTGTCACCAGCTCTGATAGCTAGTCCCTCGCCCACACAGAAGACAGTCATAGAATCATATAGATCCTTTGCATGCAGGGCACGCAAATGGATTTGACTCCACAATCTGCTCAGCTGGAAAGTTCGAAAGCTGCATGCGCTTAATGCATGCATGATGAAAACACCTAATAGGGTAAGAGATGGCCCTGACGGTACTCCAACTATTAGTACAAGTTAATACACTATCCCCAAGTTCCAAGTAACCACGTTGCGTTAGAAGCAAATACAGTGAATAGCTCATTCATTCAAACATCCCCACCGCCGCCCAATAGTCCACCCATTGTACTGCATCTGCCGACGACAGCGGCTCCAGCTCCTTGACCGTCGGACTGACGCGCTGAGCCACATCCGTGGCGAATGGAGTAAAGCCGCCCACATCTGACATCTCGCCGGACGCCCTGATCGTGATATCTGATCGTGTTATGGAACGCATAAAGTCCAGAAGCTTGATAGCAGGCTGCAATCGAAGTCAGGTGGGAAAACGTTCTGCTAGCCATTGAATCACACGTACGATGCACTTGATAGTTTCCTCGCTCGCGTCTTTGGCACTCGACTCAAGCTTTTCAAGCCACGCCGAGAATGGAACGAGAGGCAATGGGACACTTGTGATCTTATGCTCAGCTATGGCTTGCGCAACAGGCCGCATAACTGCCCCCCACGCTATCGGCCTCGGGTGTACAAGATTAACCACGATGGGAGGCTCTTCTTCCGCGAAAGCCACATCAAGAATAGCAATTGATACAGCGTGGGGAGGGATCCAGCTTAGAAGCTAAACCGTGTGTCATTAATGGGTACCTCCTGGGTATCTTCGGGAAGGATGTGTATATCTAAACTTACCCTTTGAGCTTCTGGAAGTGCACCTAGAATGACACTTGATTTGACGATGATCGGCAGCCATTCCGTCGTCGACCAAGCTCCTCGTGGGGGCCCTCCTGATATTTGTCCAATTCTGAACGAGGTTGCTGGCAACTTGCTATTCACGAGGACCTTGTTTTGGCAACGTTCGTCAGATTTTCACATTCCCAGAAGCAGCATGTGACTTACCCTTTCACAAACATATTTGCTCATGGCATAACCAGAGCCTTCTGCGACCACGCCTGCGTCGTACTGCACTGCTTCCGGGAAAGGTCCGTTCGTTCTATCCCAGCCTTCAGCAGTCGACGTAGAAGAGGTAAACATGAAACGTGGCTTTAGGTGGCGCGGAGAAGAAAGTGCGAGGTCTATTAAATTCCGCGTTCCCTGCACTTGAGGCTCTAATGACGACAGCGCCAGGTTGAAGTCGAGTCGCCAAGCGTTGTGAATGATGATGGTGGCAGACGCGCAGATCTACATCATGTTTGAATGGACTTGAATGAATTATTACAGTCAGACTGGTAATAAAGCAAACCTTCTGATATAATTCTTCATCCAGACCCAGGTTATCACGAGAGATATCAGTTTCAACATACACCAGTTTCTCTGACTTCAGGAGGGTGGCATCCAGACCACGGCCTTCGAAACCGACTTTCTGTCGTTGTTCGATAGATGACCCGTTCCTTGACAGACGATTGAAGGCATATACCACAGACACGTCCTGACACTGCAGCAGAGATGAAAGGAAGTATGAGCCAAGACCCCCCGTGGACCCAGTCAAGATGACCACATGATCACCTTGCCTGCATCCGTCAACCAGAGTGACGGAGTCATATCTGGCAGAGCTACCAAATCCGACTGAATACTTCTCGATCATATTCTCAATGCCGGTTTTGGCATCAACAGAGTTTGGACCGTTTCGTGGCGATATCGCATTGATGACGCTTCTCGCGAGCCGGCGAATCGAAGGATTTGAAAAGATGATGTTCTGGTCGATCCGTGATGCTGATGCCTGGACGTCATGATCTTGTGACGACTTGAGAGAGCCGAGGATGCGGTTTTTGAGGAATGTCGCAGATAAACTAGAGGTGTGCTATGGATCAGTAGAGCACAATCCTTTTTCGCCTTTAACCCACCTGTCAAAGCCTTGAGCGAAAAAGTCTGTGTCAGGATCAACTGTATTGGCGGCATTCACAGCAGCAGCGTGGACCATGAGCCAGCTCTCGACGTTATCTGCAGTCCAGTTCGTAGGCAAAGGCACATCGATGCCCGCTCTGGTGCTGCCCTCCACCTTTTCGTATCTGTCGCCCATGAATGTCAAATTCACGCATTGATGGATGTATGATATGCTCACAGGGCATTGATCTCCTCCTCATACAGGTTGACGGTTGCTTTCTTGATGACGGTTCCCTTTCCAGCTCGCAGCATGGGCTTTTCACTGCGTGTTACAAGAATCATCTCCTTGAAGATCCTGCTGAAGGCAGGAGCCTCCTGATTCGCTTCCTCTATGTCTGGCCTTGACTGGCAGTCAGACTAGACAACAGTAAATGCACACAACGTGAGCTTACCACACTCGATTCCTGAACACGGCAAGCTGCTTCTCGTCATCGGCATCGATTTCGTGCCCTGCTCGTGGCTCTATGAGGACTCCGACGTGGTTGCGTCCACGGCCGAACATGACGGTACCGTTCACATAGGGGTTAGCAGCGATGATGCTCTCCATGGGAGCCGGTACTGTCTTTTCACCAGATGAGAGTACCAACACGTCGTCCATCCTTCCTATGCTGCAAGGGCAACATCAAAATGTTGCATGAACATGGATAACAACAAGGTTTAGTCTTACATCTTCCACATGCCCTCGACCGTTGGGTGCTTGATGAATACATCTCCAGAAGCATAACCTTTGACATCCGTGAGATTCTCTACCGATACTTGATGCGTCGGAACTGTCTGCAAGGAAGTGTTCAAAACTGAGAGGAAGTATCAAGACCAAGACCTACCAACACTTGGCATTCATATGTGCCATCGTCTTGAGGAACCCACCTGATCTTGGAGTTTGGTCCAAATCGCACCCAGTCCCACAATTTTTGCTCGACTTCATTTCGGAAGAAGTAAGTTATGTCCCCAAATTCGGTGGCACCGTAAAGAGATGACACCTTAACCCCTGCATCCACCAGGCCATTTCCTATCTTAGGTGCGAGTGGACCACCAGCAAAGACCTATTGTTAAAGTCGACGTGAGCCATTTCTTATCTAATAAAATAATGAGCTTGCGACATACGACATATTCGAGCGTCTTCAAGATATCAATAGCATTCTGCGACAACGCCCATTGCTCCAGGAAGCTGGGCACGACCACTAAAGTGTTTGATTTCGTCTTGACTACAGAGTCCAAGATATTTTGCGAGTTGGGTATTATAGGTGTTGCCGAAGGGTCTTGGAAGGATGTGGGTGGGTAAATAGACACGCTACTGAGGGAGGCGACCGGCGTGAGTAGCTGAATGTATAAACCAAGGATATGGAATGATGGTAAGGGTGCAGAACCAACACGGATGGGAGTGGGAAAGTTGATGTGTTCAAGAATACACGCTAAAAACCGTCTTAGACGTTTATGTTGCGCAAATTGCTTCAAGTGACTTACGGGATAAGCACCAGTGAATAACAGTCAGGTTAGTGATTGGAATGGGTTTCGGGAAACCAGTGCTGCCTGAGGAATGTAGGTAGAATAATATATCGTTCCCAGACGGCCGTAATGCTGGGGGAGGATATGGAAGGAAGGCTTCATTTAGAGAACCCCTGACAAGTGTGGGGTACAGGTCTTTTAGCGCCGGCATCTTGTCAAGCTGCAGGCGGCTAGTTTCAATGCCCTGAGACTCGGAACCCGCTTTGATACCGTCGATCAGGGAACCGAGAGAATGGGGAGTCGTGATTAAACGACGGCAGTGTGTTTTCTGCATCATGTTTATCACTGCCGCTGCTGAATTACGAGGGGACATGGGGAATGGCTTAAAATAGCTGTGGTCAGGAAGCTGTTTAAGGAACATATTCACATACAAGCAAGCCGGCGAAGATGATACCCATGAATACTGTCTGATAAAGGAGGGTGTCTGAGTTTCCAATCAGAGCGACGATCTCCTTGTCTGCGCCTGCACGACCTGGTCTAATTTCCTGGGCCGCACGATGACAAGCTTGATAGAAGTCCAAGTGTGAGATGGACACCAGGTCATTGCTGTTGGGCTTGTCGTAGATAAAGAAAGTGACGTCTGGATTATGCTGCGCATTGAATGCTAGTAATTCAGGGAGAAATAAAGATCCGTCAAGGGGAGGATATGTACGGTGTGAAGAAACCATGATGGATGATATTTTTACAATCGCGTAGGCTGACAGTTGGGAAGAACGAAGAGGGTGGGAATGAGGCCGAGTGTACGCAGTACTAGAGTATTTATGTGGTCTTGAAGAAGAGTCTTTTTTAGCAAGGGGCATGATATCAGATAGTTTAAAGCCTCATTGGGGCCGGCCCGAAGAAACGTTTACTTACTGGATGGGGCATTTAACGCTGCCTTTGCCCATCAGGAGTACTATGGGCAAACCCATAGTGTACATAGACCATATGAGAGAGCAATGCAAGAATCAGCTGTTGTCTGGAAGCGTAGCGACATTCTTGTGCTTCGAGGGCGTTGAAGTAAACGGGTTGTTCAAGCGATTTACAACTGTTGAAACAGGTGGCATTAAATCAAGCCACTGAGTAACGAGGAGTACCCGTATCTTTCGTAGCCGCATGACGAGCATCCACAGTGATTATGAGCCTTCCAACCTATGATGCCCAACAAGGCTAGGCACGCGACTTCATAGAGTCTATGTACGGTGCACAAGACAAGACCCAACCCCCAGGTCTAGATGGACTCGGAGAAAGCACACCTAGTGTGACGCGTGAATATGCTTGAAATATGTGCCAAACGCACTGTTATTATGGTGGCTAGAGACCGCATTAAATCATATACACATATGATAGTAACTTCTCCATGTTGCAGACGCGTCAATAAAGCTAGAGTCAGGGAATCGATTGGAAAAAGCACAGATATGTAAGCCGCCTGATGATGTTTCCAATATGTTGTTCGTAGCAGTCAGATACCCTTATCGCGGATGCAGGTACCCGTCGAGACTTGACACCGGAGATATGCATGATAGTAGGGCGCTACTAAGTCAGGATATCTAGAAAAATTGACAGTGCCGTGACTAAGCGGTCCCGGGACATGCCGCATGCACTCAAAATAACATTTGTTGTCGACTAATATTTGACCCATTCGTGCGTGATAAGTACTGGACCCGCAGTTCCTTTTGATTGGGATCTCTGTTCGACTATTTGTGTGTTGTCCGATTCAGCGTGCGTACAGTGCACACACAAATCTTGCAATGACTAAATTGTCGGTGTATTGTAGATATGATTGTGAAACTCCTGCCCACTAGTAGCATTATGTCCCAAACACGAAAAGCGACGATAGATATTGCAACATATTACACAGCGCCAGAAGGCTCTTCCACTGTTACCACCCCGCAGGTCGATGATAGGTCTTCAAGCCCTACGTCATGCGTCACGGTATCATCACTCTGCGTAAATTGGGATATGTGGACCTGCAAAGGTTTCATAGGATGTTGCTGTGAGTCTTCTCGTGCTGTTTCACTGGTCGTCCCACTGTGGAAAGTTGTCGAGAGGAGATTGTGAGCGTTTTTATTGATTGCGACACGAATGAGCACCATGTAGAAGGCAATCGAGATGATCGGCATGAGCTAGATAATCGAAGTTCAGTAATCCTCGATAACAGGTGTTAACGGTGGAATCACCATGTCTAGCATGACATACTGCCCATTGTTCGAAAGGATGAAACAGACAAGTGTAGGGAAGAGCACCACAGAGTATAAAATAGCGGCATCCACAAGCACGCGCAATATGGGCGTCAAAGTTCTGTTTGAGGTGCGCACTGAAGAGATGTTACGTTCCATCTTCCAGATGCGATATGCCAGTAATCCTGTATGCCAGGTTAGTATGGGGACCTCGACATCGTGCTGACATAGAAGCGTGCTCACCTGAGCTAATTAGATTGGTAGAAAGTGTCAAGGCAAAGAAAGTTTGTCCAGTTGCCTTTGTGAAGATGTTTCCGGCATTGCTAGTGGCTTGCGAAACACTGTAGACTGCAGAAAACCCAGTGACTTCAAGACAACGTTAGAGCACACGACTTTCCGAGCATGATTGTAAACATACATGCGCTACAGCCCCACAGCAAACTTGGCAGGATGATGATCCGAACGGATTGCCAAACAACGTAACAGCGATATATCTTTGGTCGAAATACATTTCTATAAGCCAAAAAGGTTTCAAGCTGGCAGACAGAGAAATGGACGCACCACAACTCCATCTCCGAGCAGAGTGTGCAATATGTATATCGCATTTTTGACCACATAAGTTATCTGGGACACATCTGCGAAGAACGCCGCGGGCCCGTCTGGGAACGTGTCACGATACTTCACCAATCCATCCTCAAGACGGATAATGTCTACGATCATGTGCTTGAGGGACTTCAGAAGACGATACAGAATATAACAGGAAAGAAGCTAACCGCAGTACTTAGTATCAACAACATAATGGCTACTGCAGCGATTAGGCGATTGACGTCCTTCACGCGACGCTTGTAGGTCAGGGCCCAGATGGTGCCTATAAACATGAGGACGGAGAACCCTGAAGAACTATAGCTTAGTAGGCATGTGAGAGACGAATCCATTGTACTCGCCGTATAAAATGCCTTCCAGCACTGTTGACATTATTGCAGCCACATCGAGCGAGATGCCTCTTGAAGTCATGACGGCAATGTGGGGATGTACAAGGGGGTGGATACCTTCATCAGCTCCATGTATACGTCTGAACTTTAGGGGTGATGCTGCTAGCAATTTTCGGTCACGGCGAAAGACACGCGTTCACGGATACTGTTAGCACAGACTTGCATCACAACAATGTTATGCGTGGGTTACTCTAAGTGATTCCTGCAGAGCAAAAAGGCACTCCTCTGATGCGGGACCACGGTGTCATAAATACACTGTGACCCGAAAACAAAGAAGGCAAGTCAAGTTTTAGCAATTATATGTTAAACAGTTGAGTCGAGCAACCAAAGGAAGTTCGAACCTACTGAATTCAAGTGAATTGACCATTCCTTCCATGTCTAGTAATACGAATTCGTGAGTTGACGTTGTTTAACAGAATGAGTGCAGCATCTACCTTCTGCTGAGCCGCATCATAGCAACGACTCTGGCCTCAGACCAGAGTCAAAACTTAAAGCGAGCGCCCACTGACACCATCGACCGAGCCAATAATGATCATAGGTTGTTGGTACCCAAACAAAGATGAGGCTCGGTATCATGTTCCAAGTCATTCCCATTGAGATTGTTGTCAAGGCCCAACAGGGCAAGAGAGGGCCTGTCGAGATGCCCTGTACACATCTTTCACACGTCCGCAGTGGAAGGCAGTGGACCGTGATCTACCAGTGTTCCGTCATGCATAGGGCAATTACGGTCCCGCGGTCGCGAAGCAACTGTTATTTCGAAGTCCGCGAACCCTACATTTAGCACCCATCGAGTCCGATCGTCACGGTTTAACAGGCCAATTCAACCATAACGGACAGCACTTGCATGCCCTGAGACTACCATCACTCCTTGCTACTCCAGTGATGGTAATACCCAGGATGCTCCGCGGATCAAGAACTGGAAGTCCAATCACCTTCAGGGCTGAAGTCCATTTTCCGTCTACCGTAACCCCGCACTCAAAAACCTTGTAGAAGAGCACGGAAACTTGTCACCAACTAGAATTGAAAATTGCCTGTAGATTGCCTGTTCGTGCTTACCACTTATGTACGGACTGCTGATGACCCGCTTACAAGCACTCACTTTGATCTTGCAACCTTCCTACGTCTCACATAGAGAGAGATGCGAAACCGAGAGAACAGTCAAGGAGGTGCTTGCCATGATTTCTTTCTTGTTCACTGACTGGAAACTGCCAATGAGCCCACACCTGGTCATTTACTACCTTCAAAGCCACAGCGAGGTCGCTCTCACAAGTGACAAACTGCATCCAGTATCTGCCTCCGCCACGCACCACAGATGACCCATTATAGAATGCCCTTGTAGCAGTACTTCCGGGTATTCGATTTCATCCCTGCGATCGTCGCCGAGCCATACACTTAGCTTTCGGACCTCACAGAAGTGTGCTGTAGCGTGAGTCACCAAGCATTCCATCTAATTGATGTGGACACTGGATGGGCGTCACCTGTAGATCCACTGATGGGCTTTCCCAAACTCGGATGAAACACTACAGGACGAAGAAATTAAATTTGATTACACGCAAAAAATGCTCGGACATCAGTGTTACTGTGGCTGATGTGTAGACATTGACCCGGTTGTGCGGCGGCCCCAAGGGCCTTACCGCTTCCGAACCTGTCTGATACCCATGAACACTGTGAACTACTTCCACGACACTGCCATTGGCCGCAAATTACAGGCCCAACCCAGGGTCTATGTATGGCAAATATAGGTTTTGACAGTTGAAGTCCACGAGCGCTCACCACTATTATCAAGTTGAAACTCGAGGCGACTGGGTAGAGTGCAGCACAGCCGAACGGGGAACTCATAGCTTCCTTCGATCGCGATACCGTTGCTCCAAACTCGTCCGGATTGATTTCTATGTGGTCCAATGCTCGGCACCAGCATAGAACATTGAACCGTGATCTTCCCCAATCTCCCGGGTCATCTATGTGTCGTAGCATTCAGCACTGACAGTTCCTAGTCTGACTTGTCGGTATCCGTACTACCGCCTCCTACGTTTCCATCGAAAGGACGTGGAATACATTCGGTGTGGAAGCACCCACTCGTGACTTGAAGCACGAGGCGGGGGAGAACATCGGAAGACATAATCCAATGTTTGTGTAAAGTTGTGATGGCGATGCTCAAGTGTCGTCCTCGACAATGGCACAGTTTACCACTTCATTGTTGTGCGCGGTCACAGTCGACCGAATCTGGGAGTGTTGTGGTCTGAGATTCAGAGGTAGAGCGCGAGTGAAATCTTGAAGGTACGTGTGTCTCAGTCTCTGCAAAAGAGCTCTATATTAACGAAACGTCTACCTTAAAGGTACGTGTCCACGACGTCGCGTTAGCGTATGTTTAAACTAAAAGTAAGGTATAGAAACTCACGTCTCAGTCTCTGCAAAAGAACTTAGACGCTCGTTTGCGTGGGCGCTAAACTTTATATAGTAAGTCAATCTCTGATCTTTATATTGGAATGAAACCTCTCCATCCTCCAGCTTCGGGCCCGACGTCAGTGCTCCTCCGTTCCTGGCCCATTCCGTTGCACTCGGTCCTTCTATTTTCCCTCGCGTACCACTCCTATGATGAACCTGGAATTAACTTCAGCATGCCACCCAACATTAAGAAACCTTGAGGAGGTGAACAGGGCAGCAGTTAATCGGGCGGTTTGGGACGATGATAGAACCGGCGCATAGACAGAGTATACGTCAAGGTAAACATAAGGCTGCCGCTCCCCGACGTGGGTTTTGAGGCTTGATGGCAAGACTGGGGCGCTATTACTCTCGGATCCCTCGATGTTTCTGTTCGAGAACGGAGAATGGACTAATGTGAGAGCTATTACATATACTGCTTCATCCGAACCTTGAATTGTGTGGAGATTCAAGACGTTACTTGATATTTGCTACTCATGATCAACACAGCTTATTTGAGGATATCGTTTGTAGCACACTTCGAGCGCAAGTGACTAGTCCGTAGCTCCGTAGCGTGCAATAACATTCTCTGACCTCCTAGTCGATGTCTTGCCTTGTCACAACAGCCGGACTATGGGATCACACCCACCCACTTCTATCGTATTTCTCAGGTGCGTTTACGCGCGGCATTTCGGTGTTAGATATGTCCCATGTGTCTACATAGGTTGTAGGTCTGAAATCATAATAGATGGGATTGTTCAAAAAAAATTAACGTAGGTCGAGAAAGCTGTGGGTGTAAATCTTGTCCGATTCAGCGCACATATAAATAAATATTGTCCTTTCCTACTACATTTTAGCATGGAAGACAACGTGACTCCAAGTACTAAGTTGTTGAACATGATTGTGAAATCCTGCCCACTAACCTATAATAATGTCAAAACTGAAAAGCAGCGAAAAATATTGCAACAGGTTACACGGCGCAAGATGGCTCTTCCACCTTGCATGTCGATGATAGGTCTTCATTAGTCCCTATGTCGTGCGTCGTGGTATCGCTCATCTGCGTAAAATGGGATATGTGGACGCGCAAAGGCTTCATAGGATGTTGCTGCGAGTCTTCTCGTGCTGTTTCACTGATTGTCCCACTGGGGAAAGTTGTCGAGGGGAATTCGTGAGCGTTTTTACTGATCGCGACGCGAATGAGCACCATGTAGAAGGCAATCGAGATGATCGGCATGAGCTAGATGATCGAAGCTCAGTAATCCTCGATCACAGGTGTTAACGGTGGAATTACCATGTCCAGCATAACATACTGCCCATTGTTCGAAAGGATGAAACAGACAAGTGTAGGGAAGAGCACCACAGAGTATAAAATAGCGGCATCCACAAGCACGCGCAATATGGGCGTCAAAGTTCTGTTTGAGGTGCGCACTGCAGAGATATTACGTTCGATCTTCCAGATGCGATATGCCAGTAATCCTGTGAACCATGTTGGCATGGCATCGTGCTGACATAGAAGCGTGCTCACCTGAACTAATTAAATTGGTAGAAAGTGTCAAGGCAAAGAAAGTTTGTCCAGTTGCCTTTGTGAAGATGTTTCCGGCATTGCTAGTGGCTTGCGAAACACTGTAGACTGCAGAAAACCCAGTGACTTCAAGACAACGTCAGAGCACACGACTTTCCGAGCATGATTGTAAACATACATGCGCTACAGCACCACAGCAAACTTGGCAGGATGATGATCCAAACGGATTGCCAAACAACGTAACAGCGATATATCTTTGGTCAAAATACATTTATATAAGCCAAAAGGTTTCAAGTTGGCAGACAGAGAAATGGACGCACCACAACCCCATCTCCGAGCAGAGTGTGCAATATGTATATCGCATTCTTGACCACATAAGTTTCCTGGGACACATCTGCGAAGAACGCCGCGGGTCCGTCCGGGAACGTGTCGCGGTACTTCACCAATCCATCCTCGAGACGAATGATATCTACAATCATGTGCTTGGGGGACTTCAGCAGATGACACAAAAAGTAAGAGGCAAAAAGCTAACCGCAGTACTCAATATCAACAACATAATAGTTACTGCAGCGATTAGGCGATTGACGTCCTTCACGCGACGCTTGTAGGTCAGGGCCCAGATGGTACCTATAAACATGAGGACGGAGAACCCTGAAGAACTATGGCTTAGCAGGCATGTGAAAGACGAATCCATTGTACTCGCCGTATAAAATGCCTTCTAATACTGTTGACATTATTGCAGCGGCGTCAAGCGGAATGCCTCTTGAAGTCATGGTGGCAATGTGGGATGTACTACAAGGGGGTGGATACCTTCACCAGCTCCATTTGAAGGGTAATGCTGGCTAGCAATTTTCGGTCACGGCGAGACGCGGATACTACTGTTGGCACAGAATTGCATCACAACGATAATACGTGGATCATTGTTAATGATTCGTGCAGTAAGTAAAAAAAGGTACTTCTCTGACGCGACCTCGGTGTCATAACTACACTGCGGCGTGAAAAAACAAAGAGGCCAAATCAAGCTTTGGCAATTCAGTTGAGTCGAGTCGGAGCAGCTGAAGAACTCGTTTAATTGACGAGACGATAGATTCCTTCCATGTTTGTCGTCCGCATCATAATATTTGATGGCGTCAGACTAGAATCCTGTAGAGATTTAGAGCGAGCTGCGAGCACCCACCGCCGACCGAGCCAATGACCATATGTTGTTCGTACCTAAACTGACATTGATCATGTTTCAAGTTGTTCCCAGTAATATTGTTGTCAGGGCCTGCAGCTGAGGCGCCCTGAGCTTGCCCTGAGCGGACATTAATGTATAACGTTCACACGTCCGTGGACCGTGGTCTACCCGTCATACTACAGAGCAATCGCGGTCCCGCGGTTGCGAAAGCAGCCGTTATTTCGAGGTCCGCGAATTTACATTTATGTAATCGGTAGCTATTCGAGTCTGAACAATTTAACAGACCAATTCAACACTGCCAACAATACTTCAACGCCCTGAGAACTGCCATCATCACCCCTTGTTCTCGAACTCCAGTGTTGGAAATACCCAGGATGCTCCGCGGATCAAGAACTGTTTAAATTTCCTTCAGAGCTCGTCAAGTCCATTCTCTGTCTACCCCAGAATCAGAAACCTCGTTGACGAGCAAGGGAGCTTGTCACCAACTAGAATCGGCCGTAAGTTGCCTGTTCGTTCTTACTGTTCCGTGTACTGACGATCGATTAGCTGCTTGCAAGCATTGACTTTGATGTAGTTGACTTCCTACATCTCAGATAAAGAGAGATGCGAAACCGAGATAACGGCCAAGGAGGTGCTTGCCGTGATTTCTATCACGTTCAATGACTGGCAACTGCCAGTGAGCACTCATCTGGTTATTCACGACCTTCCTTCAAGGCTCGTACAAGTGACGATTGGCATCCAGTATCTGCGCTCCACCACACACCGCAGATGACCCATTATAGCACGCCCCCTCAGCAGCGCCCCCGGATACTCGATCTCATCCCTGCAAGCCATAAACTTGGCTTGCGGACCTCACACAAATATGTTGTAGCGTGAGTCACCGAGTATTCCATCTAACTGATGTGGATGGCCCTCACCTCAAGATGCAGGACAAGTCAACTGATGCTTTCCCGAACTCGTATGAAACACAACGGGACGAACAAATTAGATTTGGCCAGAAATACTCGGACATCAGCCGCGCTCCAATTCGGTGTACTGCTGACGTTGCTTAGGCCGATGTGTAGACATATACCCGATTGTGTGGGCGGCGTCAGGGGCCTATCGTTTTACCACTTTCGAATCAACTGCCAAAATACCCATCACCCAATATGTCTGATACCCATGGTTACACTTGTGAATTACTTCCACGACACTGTCATTGGCCGCCAGCTGGCACGGGTCCAACCCAGGATCAATGTATGGCAAATATAGTTGGCAAGTTGAAGATTGAATATCCTAAAGTCCGCGAGCGCTCACCACTATTATCGAGTTGAAACTTGAGGCAACTGAATAGAGCGCACAGCCGAACGAGCAACTCACTGAACCAATCTGACCAGCACTAGCTCGACCGTAGCTTTCTTCGATTGCGATTCCGTTACTCCAAATTCGTCGACCAAATTGATTTCCATACGGTCCAACACTCGACACAGCAAAGGGCATTGAACTATGTTCTTCCCCTATCGCCTGGATCAGTATTCTATTTCTATGCGTTGTAATGTTCACCGACAACTCCTAGTTCGACTGTCGGTGGCCGTACTGCCACCTCCTACACCCCATCGAGAGGACGCGGGGTATATTCGGTGTGGAAGCACCCACTCGTGACTTTGAAGCACGAGGTGAGGGGATAACCTCGGAAGGCAGAATGCAATATTTGTATAAAGACGCAATGGCGGTCCTTACGCGTCGTCCTCCACAATGGCACAATTTATCACTTCATTGTTGTGCGCAGTCAAGGCTGCGCTCTTTCTGCTTTGCGCGCAGGTGCAGTCACAATTGACCGAAGCTGGGAGCGTCGTGGTACGCTATGACGACCCGCTGATTTATTACAATGGACGGTGGGATGATGAACCAGAGACTTGGTGGTACGTTTTGAGTTCGTCTTCTCAGTGATTGTGGTTCAACTTAATGCGCGATTCGTAGGACTAGCTCTGGCTTCAAGATAAACGTGCAGAACCTCTCCAACTTGACATTGAACCTCGGCCCCTACACATCCAACCCCGTTTTGTTGGGTGTGTCAATAAACTACGGGAATTTTACAGGCTTCAACGCCACACAAGGGGCCAATGTCATCCCTTTGGGCGACCTCACCTATGCATCGGACGCAGTGGTGAGGATCAACTCGGTGGGATGGCAAGACAACCACATGAACCTCGAGAGCATCGAGCTCAATGCGGTAAGCCCGTCAAAATTGGAGGGAGTAACCCGTTGTTAACCATACCTCGGTCATTTAGGGTGCGAATCTTCTGCCGTATAGACCTTCTCATATTGCTTTCCAGTTCATTGGAGACTCACTGTCTGCTGTAAGTATCTGGGGTGTGCACGTTTAACGTTCGTTTACCTTGAAAAAAAGGGCCAATACCTTCCTTTGGGCGTCGACCAAGCCTGGCCTTTCCTCGTATCTGAGTACTTCAGAGGTGAACATAACATTCAGGCTCAGCCTGGAATCGCCCTCTCGGTCAGTCTATATTGCACCCATTTGCTCTGATCGGTGCACCCTGATGACCAGTCCCGTAGGATATCGACTCGTACGGAAACATTCACGGAATGTCATTTCAATTCTTCCAAGTTTAGTCTTTCCCTTTGTCTTCTTTGAGCTACTCTTATAAGCTTGCGGTGACCTTGAAGACAGAAGATACTCAGTACTACTATGGTAAATCGGATCTTCTCGAATCAATCTTACGCAAATCTTACGGAAGATAACAGACCCCTTGCACAACTACACAACCCCCTGGAACTTCAAACGAGACTATCCCGCTGCAACACATGTTGTATGCATGATTGGGTGAGTCCCAATCTAGATCTTTGCTACCTCTTCCTTGCAACGTGGCCGCTAGTAATGACGCTGATCTTGATGCGGCTCCGGTTAGCGCTAACGACAGCGGAAATAACATTACGGCGTCTGCGTTCTATCAGGTTCTTACCTTGTGTTCTTCTTCTTCTCGTACTTACTGCCGTTGTGTTGTTCACAAGACCTACATAAACTTCCTGGAAAATATCCGCATTATCTACCCTGTGCAGCCCCTGTTTATCATTCTGCCGGTATGATAGATTTCCGTTCTCGTATTCTTATGTTAACACCCTGGATTGACTTAGTGGGGCTGGCCTAACCCCGAAGGTCCTCCCTCGCCTTACTATGTTGGTACCTACCAGCAGGTCGTAAATCACCAGTGGGTGCTTGGCGGTGCCATTTCAAATTCACACATCTTACACGATATGCTAATCTTGTCGATCCATTAGGCAAGGACTTGGAGATAAGAACGTATACCTGGTGAACGCAACGGGATGAATCGATTACAGCGATGTTTACCCGTCGTGAGCATTTCAATTCTCAGAGTGGAGCGACATGAAGTAACTTGTATGCCTAGCAATTTACACCCCACTATTCAGGGTCATCAGAAAGTGGCAGGTTACTTTGAGAGCTGGCTCGAAGAATGGGGCATGGTGGCCGAGGGCCGCTGAGCAACTCTGGGCGCTGAGCTGTGCACAATTGCATAGATTCCAACTTGTTTACACGGTACAACGTACGATGCAGGTCTAATGAATCTGGGAAACTGATGACAAATTAACCAACTCTCCAGACTCCAGGAATTCTTGATACCGTCTATGATCCTGTCGGTAGTAGTTACATGTTACAGTTGCATGCGATAACCGGCTCCGCCAGAGTCCACGTCTGATAATCGCCGTGTGGAACAACACAATTTTGTTCCCGGCTCTCTGTTCGTAGTTTCACAGATTCGCACACCGGGTGCGCAGCAGCGCGTTGCCGAGCACCACTAGCCTGATCAGACTTGCGTATATGGTACGCCTTCGCTCACGGTACATAGCCAGTTCACATCCGTTGGCATGGCATGTCCAATAGGCATGCATCCTTCCAGCCCCCCAGTCCCATCGACAGAAAAATTCTCGCACATTATATGAGAATTCGACCAAACGGATAACATTTACAATCTCATGTTCCCGTGTCCGTGAGCTTGGCACTTCCCGCTGCTCAGCCCAGTGCCTCTTTTCCTGCCATAAATCCTCGAACAACTCAGCCTTTGGCACTGTCAGAATCGATCATTCACCACCATGTTTAACAGGGATCCTCAGTCGCCAAACGGTCATTATTCAGGAGAGTCCCGCCCGACGTCATCGGCGCCGACTATCGATGTCTCGCTGGCAAGCCCAAGCTTTGACTACGCAAGTTTGAACGCGCCACTATGGCCACACCGTCTCTCCGCATCATTCTCAGCGATGGCAGACCAGATAGCAGCTGCATCACAAGCACTCGCGCTCGTTCCTTCCACAGCATTCAGCGGCAATGACATGGCGGCTGAGTTTGCATTCCTCAAGTCGAAACTCGCATCGATTGAGAGCACACAAGATCGCCTCGCATCTGAGTTTGCTGCTTTGAAAGAGCAGTTTACGGAGTTGAACACGGATAAGGGACCTGCGTTGGAAGAGTTGGAGAAGAAGGTCGAGGCACTCAAGAAGGTCGTGGAGCTTGAGTACGTTAGAGCTCTAGATGAACAATATGGAGGCTGACATACCTTTCTTTCTATCACAGTCAACAACGACTTCCTGCTCGACTGAATAACTCTCGGTGTACAGTTTTGAAAATGGGACTTAAGGGGCCCGTTGCAAACGATGGCAAGCCGCCACCGGGCTTCCCTGCTACTAGGGGAGAGTTTGAGCATATTACAAGTCAGTGCAGTTTGTTTCTTGAGTTTGGAATGGTCCACTGATTGTGTGGTGTCATTTAGAGGAGCGCTACGAGGCTATTCTCAAGGCTTATGGTCTGCCTATCAAAGGAGACACCGATGCCAAGCGAGAAGCTGTTCGCACGTTTGCCGGCATCCCTCAAGACGGGCTCTAAGCATGCAGGAGGAAGAATGATGATGACCATATGATAGCTCTTATCCATCACATATGAAAGTTGCTGGAATTGTTGGAAGGAATCCGCTTGCTGGACGAGCTTCGGTCGTTTCGGAGACCATTGGAGATTGACCGACCCGTGAGTCAACGTGACAACGGGATCAGATCGCGTAGTTATAAAGCACAGCAGTGCCAAAGCTAGCATACATCAGTAGACTTAAATCAGTAGACTATAAATTACTTGCGGAACTTATCTTTCCTTGTCGTTTCTCCGTCTGAGCCCGATGATTGTCTAGCTTTATCGCGCATATCAGTGTCAATCAAACGTCGTCAAGATATACACAAGTCTATCCTTACCGTATTACCAAAGCTGTGGTCCAACAGTCAACCACCCTCTTCACCAGTCTTCACCCTGCCTCTTCGTCTCCCACTCATCCGCAGTATGTCACACGAGCCCATTCACACCCTGCTCAACGCCAATCAGGAGTGGGCACAGAGCGTAATCAAAGACGCGCCCGATTTTTTCACTCAGTCGGCCACCGGCCAAAGCCCCAAGGTATGCCCATCGCACGCCCCTCCGATTTAACCACAGGTCATTTCAGGTCCTTTGGATTGGCTGCTCTGACTCGCGAGTACCGGAATCAGTCATCACGGCCTCTAAGCCTGGCGATATCTTTGTGCACAGAAACATCGCCAAGTACGTATCAACAATAATCATTAAACTCTGAGGCCACGTTACTCATAACCGCCCACGCAGTCAATTCCACCTTCACGATGACAGCGCGCTCTCTGTCCTCACTTATGCTGTTAAAGTAGTCGGCGTCGAACACGGCGAGTTTCTCACTTTCGCTCGATAAGGCGTAGATTCTCCCTCTAACGGGTATACATCATCAACAGTCGTCCTCGTTGGTCACACCCACTGCGGAGGTGCTGCTGCTTGCCTGACAGCAGCCAAGGAGGCAGCTACTAACCCTGGCGCATCCAAATCCGACACCCCACTCACGCGCTGGCTAGGCCCCCTCATCGCACGCGTTCAATCCCTCGACCTCTCCGCATGCTCTGCGAGTGAGGCGTTGAACAAGGTCGTCGATGCCAACGTCATCATGCAGGTTGACAATATCTGCAAGTCGGAGCCGATCACCACCGCGTGGGCAGACCCGAATGCGAAGAAAGTCGTTGTGTACGGATGGGTGTACGACCTCGCCGAGGGACGCATCAATCAGCTCGTCCGCCGGGGAGCTCAAGCGTGACGAGAACAGTTTATGACCTATCCGTTTATCTATACCTGCACCGGCAGCACCAATTCCAAGCTTTTGCGACAAATTCCCATTTTTCGATGCATTCTTTGCTAGGTTCCTTCTAAAATGGCTGTACACTCAAGGGTGTTGTATACCTTATTTTTAGATTATGCATGCAGCTTCAACTCCAAGCTATAGAATATGCAATGTCAAATTTTCAAGTTACACCCCCTCTTTCGTGACTTGCTGTGATGGGCCAACGAAACTCGGGGATGCTTGGAGTGTGACAGACCCCGAGGTAATGATGGTTCCAGCGCCCCACTTGAACGATCAATTAGAACTTCTACAGTTCATCGCCAGCTCCAGCCACTCGGATCGAGACTGGTGATCCTAAGAAGTCCTACTTCGAAAGCAGGGGGTGATTCTATTTGGTCCTTGAATTCGGATCTTGAACGACATCTGACGCTAAAGTGGTGTCAATCTCTAGCGCTCATATCTATTTCTTCGAATTGATAGACACCCGGATGGATCTAATCGGGATCCGACAGCGCGAGGACTTGGATATCTGTAATTTACTCCACATCCTGCATTTAGGTATACTACAGTTCATCCACAGCTTGCTCGTGCTGAAGATAGTCTGTTATAGGTGAAAGAAATATATATCTCGCAGTGCCGCATCAATTTTAGGGGGACATTGCTTTATATACTTGAGCGTCACACTTTACATGCGGGCGTCACCGACGTCTATTAATGGCCAGGGGGTTACATCATTTGTGTAAGCTTTTAGTCACCTTGATAAAATCAGTAGGCGCTGACCACCTGTACAGCTGTTTGAGGATAGTTTCATAGAGTTTAGGGAATTGTCTGGCTTTTTCTTCCTCAGCTCTCTTCTCCCCAGCCACGCTAAAAACCCGAAAGCCCCCTAATCGACACGATGGGGCGTAAATAAGTAGTCGGCGAGTACCTGTTCGAGGAAAACTGGATAGATTCTTGGAACGTTGAAAGAATGTGTGAGTCTTTTAGTCATGGTGGGACGTAAATCAGTGAGCGTTGACCACCTTTTTAAGTATAGCTACATAGAACTTTGAGCGTTGAGGGAATCAAGTCGCCTTATATGACTACATTCACCCGCATTATCTTGCTCTACTTGTCCATCTTCAATGTTTGATTTCAAAACAAAGCGGAAATGGAGACTCCAGTGCGCAACTACTAGTATGTATGGTCATGCACTTACTGTGCAACTTATCCAGATAGAAGCCTAATCTTAGGGGCTATATATGTACGTCTGTAGTCCTACTGTCCTACGAAGACTCATCACCCTGCTCTTCGTCTCTCAATCCTCCACAGAATGTCCCATCTCAATGCCACACAGGACTTGCTCAACGCCAATGAGGAGTGGGCGCAAAGCATAATCAAAGACTATCCCGATTTCTTTGAGGACTCGGCTACAATGCCCCAGAAGCCCAAGGTGCGCCCCGTGCCTCGTCGCACGCCCCACTGTTGTTAGCCACATTTTCTTACTGTCATTTAGGTCCTTTGGATTGGCTGCTCTGACTCGCGAGTGCCGGCCTCTGTCGTCACAGCGTCCATGCCTGGTACTATCTTTGCACACACAAACATCGCCAAGTACGTATCAACCATTCATTGAACTCTGAGAGTACCCCATACTCACTATCCATGCAGCCAATTCCACATCTTCGACGACAACGCTCACTCCGTTCTAGGCTATGCTGTCAAGGAGGTCGGCGTCGAGCACGGTCAGTCTCTTGTGACCGTCATAATAATGCTTCGATCGTCCCTCTAACGGGCATACGCTTTCAACAGTTGTCCTCGTCGGTCACAGCGTCTGTGGAGGTGCCAAAGCCGCCATAGCTGCTGCCGCCCACCCCGACTTGCCCAGTCCCGACCCACTCACGCGCTGGTTGACTCCCCTCACCCAACTCGTTCGAACCCTCGACCTTTCTGAATTATCTGAGAGTGAGGCAGTTGACAAGGTCGTTGAAGCCAACATCGTTAAGCAGGTTGACAATATTTGCAAGTCGGAGCCAATTGTCACTGCGTGGGCAAACCCGGGTGCGAAGAAAGTCTCTGTCCACGGGTGGGTATACGATCTCGCTACGGGACGCATCAGAGAGCTCTTCTCCCGACACCCACCGGCGTGTGTGTGTTCTTGATAGTAGTACAAGCACCGGGCCTTGCGACAATTACCCTCTTGATGCATTATTTGTACAAATAAGTTATATATGAACGTTTAAGGTGTGACCGATCTATGCGTACAACTTCACATCACTTAGCTTCTATTTGACTAATTTATCCAGCTTCGCCAGCCTGCAGATATCGCATATGTAAGATGCTACATACGATCCGAAGTCCAAACATGAACCTAGTCCAAGACTTAGCTTTGACATAGCGTATAGGACAAACGCCGAACGAACGAAAAAGAAAAAGTATGCTATGCATTGAACAAAAATCAAACAAATGAGATCCTGTGATATTAGCAGACTACTTGGGGGATTCAGAAGGTGGGGGCGACGTGAACAAGTTAGCTCCAGATCGAAATCAAAGCTAGAACCATGCGACACATCACGTATGTGCAAGAGCTGAAGCTAGTCCATAAGGTCCATCCGAAGAGAGCTATGTATGAGCCCGAAATGAACGCGGGTAAATGCAGTCATCAGCAGACAACGCAGCACTTCCAGCTGCCGCCAGTCGAGTCCCCGTTGGACGCTTCCCCACTACGCCCACTGCTCTTCCTTCTATGATGAGCAGAGGAAGGCACGCCTTCTCTCATGAGCATGCTTGCCCGAGTGGCAGCCTCGAAAACGTCATCTACACCCTCAATCTTGAGGGCAGAGCACTCCTTGTAAGCGCGCGCACCGATCATAGATGCCACGCGTTCAGCCTCAGCACGCGAGACGAAGTTGCCAATATCAGGAGAATTGGGGAATGGACGCAGGTCGGCTTTACACCCAACGAGTAGAATTGGGATGGTTGGGCCACATATGCTCCGAACTTCTTCGATCCACTAAGCAGGACGGATCAGGGATCGACATGCGCCAAGAAAACGTGTCGATATAAACCTACTTTTACAGATACGTTATCCAAAGAATCTGGGGTGTCGATAGCAAAAGCAATTAAAATAACATGTGACTTGGAGTAGGACAGTGGTCGTAAACGCTGAAGCAGGGAGTGATAAGCAAGAGGAAAGACCCGGTGATGAGATACCAATATCTTACTTCATACTCTTCTTGACCTCTGCGCACAATCAGTCAGATACAAGAGAAGTCTAGTGCAAGAAAAGAAGACACAAACGCAGTATCCCAAAGCGCCAATTGCACAGGTTTACCGTCTAGCCTGATTTCTGCGACGTAGTTCTCAAATATAGCTGAGGTGTCAATGGGTAAGTGAATGCCGGACAACGTGCGTCTCCAAAGAGAGCTTACTCGGTTGCTTGAGAATGAGGTTAGTTGCGCTCAGGAGACGCATGCCACAGCGGAGTGTAGGGACTCACATATTCCTTTGGAAATTCTCCCAGAGCAAAAGAACACAGTAGGGAGGTCTTCCCACAAGCACCTGTGAGTGGTAGCCCGAGTTCAGCCGGACATGCCCAGAAACAAAGGACTGTGGTTACGTGCCGTCACCGACGATGACCAGTTTTCTGCGAATCTACGCGAGGCAAACAAGGCGCCGGAATGTAAGACTTGCGAACCAGTATTCGGACAGAGGAAAAGATGCATACCGGGTTTTGGGACGACATGAATGTTGCTGGGCTGTGAGCGGTCAGATTATTCGGACTGAAGACGAGGGCAAGCCTGCGCGCTAGCCGGGATGAAAATCAACAATTACAAGGAGCGTTAAAGAACAAAAAGGCGTATAATGAGTACTGTGATGAGAATGAAGCCCAGGCAAAGAAGAGAGGTGAGAAGCAGAAGAACACGGTGACTGCGTTTGACCGCTGGCTTCTTGCGCGCGGGTTGGGACCACTTATATAAGCCATCACAGCACCGCATCCCCTAGTCAGACCATACAAAACCCAATTGCAGTGGAACCGCAGCCAAACGCTACTCACACTAGTACTATACATAGACCTCACTCTGCTCAGCAAAATCCGTGGAAGCGAAAAACGGACCGTGTACAGCATATCGTACTTATCATGCTACAAATCCGACTAAGACATACAAAGTGTACAATATGGTGAATTGTCAATGATTCATATGAAACGAAAAATCAAAAATCAAAAAACAACTTGTTGGCCAAGGTCAACCGAACTACATGAGATCACCGGCCAGCATATGCCGCCTATTATAGCTGTCGTCAACGCGGACCGAAAAGCAAAAAAGGTTGAAGCTCACCTTAATCTCCTTCTCAAATTTCTTCGCAACCTTGGAGCGTTGCACCTTCTGTGCTGCGGTAACGAGGCCGCTTTCGGGTGTCCACTCATCTGCCGTCAGAATAACAGCTTCCAGAATCTCCATCGGTTTGAAGCCGTTCTTTTTCCCGATAGCGTTGCACTCCTTGAGGACGAAATCCTGAACCAATTTGGTGGCGCACAAATCCGATAACTGAGCACTCGCATCTACAGGGATGGACTTGGCTTCGAGAGCGTGTCGCAAATTGACCTCGTGAGGGATGATGATAGCAATGGGTTGTTTGGCTTCAGCATCTGCGTATACACAGATGTTCGATGCAAGGTAGCATGACTTGTATGTCGATTCAAGTTGTTCAAGGGCTATGTACTGAGAGGCGGTAGGTCAGAAGATCTATGGGAAAAAAACGACTTAACACACCTCGCCACTCTGCAGCTTGATAAGATTCTTAATCCTGAAATGAACGCGTATCAGACGAAGAAGGTTGTCCAGGAGAGGTCAGATTACCTGTCGATCAGAGAAAGAGTTCCATCAGCATTCCACTGACCGACATCGCCAGTCCTAAGCCAACCGTCCTTCGTGAATATCGACTCGTCGTTGTTGAGGTCGTCCCGCTTGTAGTAACCTTTAGTGACCGATGGACCCCTGATGCAAACTTCTCCCTGGGGGGGATTGTTAGTGGACTTGTAGCCCGCTTCAGGGACATCCAGGAACTTTATTTCAGTTGAAGGAACAGGTAGTCCAACCGAGCGATATTGCATGAGCTCAGGAGGCAAGATAGCGCACATTCCACAAGACTCAGTCATGCCATAACCTGCCCTCAATTACACCATATATCACAAATCGACTTCGGAAGTTACTGACCTTGGAGCATGGTGACTAGTGCAATAGACAAGAATTCCTGGGTTTCTTTGCTAAGAGCAGCGCCACCACTCAATGCGAGACGGAGCCGTCCTCCGGTGGCTTGCTTGATGTTATTAAGCACAGCAGCATCTGCTAGCTGGCTAAGACCAGGAAGATCAGCCTTCTTGGCCGCCATCGCTCCATTAAATATGGTCTTCTTCAAGGAGCCGCTAGCATTAACCTTGCTGACAATCCCCTTACGGATCTGCTCCCACACAGCAGGCACGCCAACCATGATGCTGGGGCGAAAAGTAACAATGTCACCTTTGCAGTGGCGTACGGATGCATCTGTAAGGGTTTTCACGCGGCCGTAGCCTGACTTCATGCCGACGAAGAATAAGCTAAGCTCCACGATGTATTCGAGAATGTGAGCAAGGGGGAGATATGCCAGGAAAGTGTCGTCGGTATGGAGGTGGTGGCCAAGAAGTGTGTATACGGCACCGACGGAGGCAATGACGTTGCCGTGAGTGAGCACCACGCCCTTAGGAGTACCAGTAGTGCCGCTGGTGTACATGATCAGGGCCACGTCATCCTTGGATGGCCTTCGCTCCTTCAGACCCTCCTTGGATTGCTCCGCGCCAATCTTACGCAATTCGTCCATAGAGAGAGCGATTATGTCTTCCCTGACGTTGCGGATATCATCGAGAAGCGATGGCTTGGCGTCACCGTCGTAGATGATGAACCTGACCGATGGGGTATTAGGTAGCACATTCTTCAGGGTCGCGAGGAGCTCGGCATTAGTGAAAACACCAACACAGTTTGGCTCATTCAACGAATGCGTGAGTCCAGACTCGCCGAGGGTATCGTAAGCAGTGGCCACAGGAACTCCAATTGTCGTGCACGCATGAGACATGAGCTGCCAGTTTACGCTATCCTACGCATTAGTTACGAGGGGCTCTACAGCGAGTCAAGCATACCTCGTCTGAGCATATATGTTGAAGATATCATTCTTCGTGAGTTGATGGTGAATAAGACCTCGTGCAAGAGCCGAAACTTGCTCTTGGACGTCCAGGAAATTGAGATACTTGTAGTCACTGAGCTGGAAATACTTCCAGGTCTTCTTCTCGGTGACTTCCTTTCCATCAACCATCTTCTTTACTTCCTTCACTTCCTCGTGAATATCGACAATATCACGCCAACCCAGAGCATCTCTCGTGCCATGCGTTCGGGCGGCGTGATCGATAACATCGGGAATGATGTCGATGCCCTCGAAAGGTTGAGTTACGAGGTTGTCAGCAGTAATTGCCAGGCGACGAATGGGGCTGTCGCCCTCGGTGGCGACCACGACGGAGCCTTTGCCAAAGTTGCGTTTAGAGGACATGATGGATCCCTTCTACTTCAGTACAAGTAGTGGCAACTTCAAAGGCGCCAGGAGCCCCAATAAAACCATGCCAAGCATTTTGCCACGTGACATCTTCCTCGGCTCCCAACATTTCGAATATTTTGTGCTCGTCGCAAGCTCCTTAGAGGGAGCACCTCTATTGACAATGTCATGCAGTCCTTTGGTATGGCTGCTGAGCGTTTATTTTCTGATGAGTCGAGAGGCCCTAACCGCAAAATTTTTGTGTGTGTCTTTCCCCGCTTTCGACCAGCCGCGGGATAACTTCTCCAGAGTCCAGATAATGTGGGTGTACGTCTCTGTACGGTTGTGGAATCTAGGCTGTTCTCGAATATTTCGCAAGGTTGTTATGTGTGCATGCAGGATTCGTCTCGCAGGTCGTATTTTGGGAGAACACAGAAGTTCAGGCCTCAGGATCTATGTTTGTTGCATGAACCACCGTGAGGCAGGTCCAACACATGATTTGCCCGCTCACATCGCCCCATTCTGTTGTGGTCTGATTCGTCTATCCTTATACAATTAATTCTTTGTTATTCTTCTTTTAGCCTTGAGCCATCGTGGCATTTTCGCTGTATACCGTGATTGCAGCTACCAGTCGTCGTATGAGTAAACTTTGCGTACTAGGTTGTCGATATCTGGACTCAGTAAGCACCGGAAAAACAGGACTGGGGGATGTACTATTGACTGAAAAGAAAATTTCTGACTGGCACTTGGGCTCGAGCCCTGGCAACTCAAAGCTGAGATAGACCTCTCCTCGATTATCTCAACTTATTATAACAAATCAGTGTTTGGAAATAGATAGAGAGAATAGACGGGGGTAGACGAGAGGGGGGGATTTTTGGGGAATGAACTGAGGGACTCACTGACACACTTGACGTTGACACCGCTTTAGACAGTAGAAGTACACTGGTCCAATAAAAAATAACTGAGGGCCATAATAACGCGAGCAATAACAGGGGTCTGTAAATGACACAAGTATATCATCCGGGACGGTTATGATTTTTGCCTGGCATGACTATAAATGTGCGAAAAAAAAATGAGCTAAGACATCTTTCTGTCCCAGAACGATATCTCTCAATGATGATGAAACGGCAACCGTCCCTAAATCTTCTGCAAGAGCGCTATCCTGCCGGACGCAACAATGTGGTTATTAGCGCTACGGTCAGAACGGGAGCGGAAACTCGCGATCAGCTCATTTTCTGCTGGATCATACCACAAGTTGACAGTAGCGGCTCCGCGACGTGACAGCGATGAAGGGGACAGCTTCTCTAAATCAGCTTACTTCAGACGCATAGAAGGTCATTATGCAATAAGTATACCGAGAAGTCTGGCCTAGACACCGCCGTTCCATAGGAACCGAAAAGACATGCAAACTCCGGTGTAGATATGCCAATCTGCCGCAGCACATAGACGCGTTCATTTTGCAATACGTCGAAAAATTTGATCTAGATAGCGTCGTTGCACAGGAACCGAAAGACCTGTAAACTCCGTTGCAGATATACCAATCTGCCGCAGGATATACGGCACGCATGAAAATCGGTGCTCGGGTTGTCACTGTGCACGACTGTGTTACGGACACACGATATCCCGGTTTGGCCTCTGACGCATTAGGATCCGGGAGAAATGCCCCTGCCGCGTTGACTGAGCTCTGCGATTCCAAAAAGAGCATTATGCATGATGTGATCCACTAGCAAGCGTTCCATTTCAAACCTGAAAATGTGATGAACTAACCTGCTAAGCGTTGCATAAGGGCGCCTCCAAGCCGGCGGCCTCCTGCCTTACCGCACTGACGCAATGCAATTTTCAGGGTCTTGTTCAGCCGTGAGTTTGTCAGCCTTGCTTGCGAATCAAAACCGCAAGTTTTCCAGATAGGCATGTACATGGCAACTTAACTCACGATGAAGTTCCGGATCCCGCCTGCGTTCAATTTCAAAGCCGGAGCAAGAGATGAGTAGCATGAAAAATGTCTACCAGTTCGGGCATGGTCCATCGTCAAGAATGTGCACGGGGCGCCTATAGAATGCATCTTCTGATGCGGCCGTATGATGCACTGTCGATTAAATCCGCAATGGATCGTCAATAAAACTAGAATGTAAGAAGGGGCTTGCAAGCCACGATTGGCTGCTACGAGCTAAGGTCTCGTTTAACCACTGGTTTCATTGAAGAATCCTTAAATGATCTAGTTCCCGGGACTAGGACACGAAAACCTGCCAAACTGGCCGATGAGTAACGAAAGTGAATGTGCGATACATACCAGTAGGAGACGTCATATTTCTCAACCGCCTGCAGGCTGCTAGTAAGTCTGAGTCGCATGAGTGTTGGGGAGATCGGAAGCTTAGGCGTGAACTCTGAAATTCTTCAGGGTCCAAACCTAGGATTCAAGGGGAAAGCTGGCAAAAAATGTTTATTTTTAAATGATCAATTACCAGAAGTTCCAATGGAGATTTCTGCTAGGTCCTTGCCTGCCAGTTCCTTACATATTAAGTACGAGCTTGCACTAAGCAGTCAAGAACAAACCCAAAGACCCCAGAAGCAGACGGTTGAAAAGTATTACCATGACATAACTCGGATCCACAGTACGTGATCATTTAGTGTTGACTGCTACGACCTACCACTCAGTAATATACTGAACAATCGGGTTTCGGTGCAAATTTGTTGCACTTAAATGGTCAACAAAACTACATGGAGATTGCCAATGAGACTTGGGTAGCTCAAGTACGAGAGGTAGCGTGGAAGTGGCATGACAGTTCACTAGCGCTCACTTCTTATGCTAAGTATACACATATGTGTCACATTCGTTTCTTGGCATTTGTTGATTCAACCTTGAAATGGTGTTGGGGATTCGGTACTGTGGTAACTGGTTTTCTTGACAGAACAACGTTTGGCAGCTGCCGCGCAGTGATGTAGTAATAATTTATGCGATATATGGGCGCATGAAACAAGGTCCAGACTATGAACTGGCGAATCCCCACCTATCCTAACATGCCTGCTGAGCGCTGAGCAATGATAAACAAAGAGGCCATTAATTATGGGTGGTAGTGGATACATGTAGTACAACAACAACAACATTATGTTATCAAACGTTCCGCGCAGTGAGAGCAATTATTTACAAAAATAAAACAAGATAAGTCACAGAACGCCACACATTAGAATGCTCCTTTCTCAAAAAGTGGCACGACCAGGTTTTCGCGATTTGTGACATCAACGCCGCGGAAGTATCCTGCATATCAGGCCAGGTCAAGCTTGCTGTCAAGAAGGTGATGAGGTTCGGCACTTACTCGGGCTGAGGTAATACCACAACACGGTCCCCTGCACGAAGTTTTCTAGTGCATGAAGGTATCTTTCCAGTTCGGCATCCACGTCGGCACCGAATGACGGCAGCTGGCTCTTGAGCTCAACATAGTCATCCACGCGTTGGTTCAACATATCGGTGAGGATGTTGATGGCTTCCTGCAAGCCGACGTCGCGTTCATGCATGATGCAGAACACAAGATTTTGATAATCACCGTCAGATTGTTCTTTCTGAGAAAGTATAGATAAATTAGTATAATCCAGTGGCCAATATTATTTTTCTTACGTTGAAAGAGCAAAGGTCCTGTTCCAAGAGTAAGCATCAGCGCTACAAGCCAACAGATCAAATGAATGGATAACAAACATTAGGCCATGTCATGAGGTCGGTCGTGGCGTCGGACATCGCTTTAATGATGGGATTTTCAAACACAACGTCCGGAAGATCCAGATCAAGAGAATATTCGATCATTGCTGAAGAAACATTGTCATCAACATGTAACGCCGAGGTGCAGAATATTCTCACCTTCGACAAGAGCACCCCCGATAGTCGCACGACGCATGAGAATAAATTCGTCAACCGACGGCATTCGATCTTGAGAACGGTTGCGAGATTGTGTTACTTGGGAGCTACTCCACGCCTCAAATGCCTTGATAAACCTGAACGGGTTACCGTATCAGAATTGAAATCCTTAAGTTAGTGTTTGACTTGCCGATCATAGGCCCCAATGGTAGATGTCTCGCGGAATCGCGATAGCAAGCTAGATAATACGCATCAGTTACGTCATAGGGTGTAGCAACGAAAACACACACTCGTATAACATTGCAGCATATGGATATTGTGGACGGGAACCGTCTGGGTTTGTGTACACACTGACGGAGATGTCATGTCCGGCTTGCACTGCGTCAGGTTTTGACTGCAGGTCGCCTTCATCAGAAAGATCGTCGGTCTAGAATGCGGGATGTGAGTTGATAGAGGTACGTGAATCAGGACCAGCTTGTGTACCGAGAAGGCCCAGAAAAAGAACATAATACAAGTTGCAAGATGCGCGCAGTCGGCATCTGGAAAGCTTAGTGTAGCAAAGAGATCGAATTTGCCGTAGTTGATAAACTTGGACTTCTTCCTATCGTTGTACAGACTTATTCTAAAATTGTTTGTTAGAGCAAAGTATAAGCCGTGGACAGTGACTAGTACACACTGGTTGAACCATGAACGCGCCGCGCGGTCGGCCTCGGCTTGATGGGGATTGACTCTGAGCTCGCAGACCCGGCCAGTGATGGCGGCTAGGTCCTGAAGGTAAAATTGTGGTGGAAGGGATTCGTATCGTTGCATGGTGATTATGAGGACAGTGTTGCACAGAATATACAGCTCAGACTTGCTGAGGATGGGGAAGTTGGGCTACAATGGAGGAGGAGAGGAGATCTCAGACCCCTTCTTATTCGAAACTGAAAGGGAAGAGTCCTCATATCAGTCCTATCCGAAGCTGAACTTCTTAAACGAAAGTGTATAAAAAAGACATAAATTGAGGAGACGACGCCCACACCATCATCGTCGCTAGTAGATCACGACACATATACACGTGAAGGACGACCCATTGGCACCCTTGATTGATTTTGCAAAGTTGCGATCTTTCGGCAATTGGTGGGTGTCTTGGAGATAAGAAGAGTGTAAAGCCTGCTGACATATCTGAGTTAGCTCTAACTGGTTTGAGTGGTGCTCAAATGAGGATGGATGAGGAAATTCAGTGATATCCTTGACTGCGAATAGCACGGAACGACTCACCGAATGCCTACGATGTTTGAGCCGGGAAGTCCTATAGTCACGTTGCAAGATACTTGATCTCATTCTTTGATGGACTAAAGGAGGTTGGCGACCTGACTCTCCTTCACCTTGTGTAGTGTTTTCATTTGGCAAGGAATCTAGATCTAAGGGTGGTGACGGGAATAGAAGTGTTGGTCCGACTTCAAACGCGGATGCTGACAAGGCTCGGTTGTGCTTTCCGCCGCATAGCAAGACAAGGAACAGCGCCAATCGACCAGACTTTTCATTAAAAGTAGCTGCCGTGATTTTCGAACGGCATGAGAAGAACACGAGGCAGTAACGTGCCGCCAGGGTGGCTTCTTTTCGGTGAATGGTGCAGGTGCAATCTTCACATCAGTACTCACAGAACTGCATCATGATCTTGGAGGAGGCCCACAACGTCAAGACTCAGTGAGGGTACTAAGGCGACCGGCGTACCAATTGAACCATTGTTCCGAATGCCGATTTCCCACTGAATAAATATACGCGGAATATACATGAAGCTTGGTCGGCGGCCATTCGGACATACCCTCCCCGCAGCAAAAATTTCACCGCAGCATGACAGCGTTCTGGCCTGGCGACCGTGTCGTATATCGTCCTAATCCTTGGGCCTCGAACGCTACAAACTGCACAAGTTGGATCCTCAGATACCAAAAATATGGGGTGCACGTGCTTGGCACGCGCCAGTACTTACCACAGGTGACCCCCCTGCCGTCAACTATGACGATGTTTTGAAATCAGCGTCCGAGTACAAGGGCTTGATGTGATTATTACGAGCAGCATTCAGTATTCGGGGTCTCGGACAGCGAGATCGATCTGTTCCAAATCTGTGTGGTCACTTTGTCTTTGGGGTCAGGGCAGCAAAATGCAGATTGATGATGACCTCGACACCTTTGGAATAACGCCGATTCCGGCTATCATTGCCCTGGTCACTTGAGATCTTCCGTAGCTGCGTTCGACCTTCTTCCGCATTATTCTGATCGGTGAGTGACGGCTGACGGCGTAAATATGTTCGATCGTTGTATACGTTCCCCTTCTAGCTTACATATAGTCTCGCTCTGTTTCATAGATGTGTGATCCGTTAATTTTCAGCTCATCAAACAAACGATGGGTGCAGCGTATCCCGCCAGACACGGGTCCATAAGGAGCGTACTGTAGGCGATAGACGGTCTGTGTGCGCACGTGGGTCCAGTGGTAGTGATATACAGGAAGTTGTTCCATGCGTGGTATTTGTGGGTGTCATATTTGTTATGGTCTAGCCTGCTGACGATGTTTCTAGGGGGGCTTCGGCGAAACGCGTTCGTCCCTGCCACCGGGATTTGTGGATATATCAGTTCAAACGCTCATGTAAATAAGGTATGCTTACCACAATGATCATCTGCTCCGGTATCATCGCCCAGTGAACCACTTGTGGCCGAGGGCGCATGGAGTAATAAACTTAAATGAGACGTACATATTATGTTTCGACATTTTGCTTCGAGCGGAAAGTCCGGGAAGAATTGCACAACTCGAATATGAAATGTGGATGAAATCACATCCGATCCGGCCAAGCCTGGGCGCTACTAGTCCTCTTCGATTTCTTTCAGCCCTGGAAAGACAACCTCCTCGTGTACAACCGCCATTGCTCCGCGAATTGATTGAGGAACATAGCTCACCTTTGAACGTGATATATTATCCGAGGCGCTGTCATCGCACCAAGCAAGGCATTGAACTCCTGAGCGCTTAGCTATGAGACCAAGTGCCAACGTGTCACCCACCATACGTGTGGGGACCTCACCTGAAACCATGCTAATGCATGGTCAAACTGTTTGTGTGTCCACACAATGACTCACTTACAACGTCGATTCAATGCCCAATCAAACAGTCAGTACTCATCAATCCGGGATTCAATATGCTACCTATCAGTCAGCGCTGGATGCTAAAGCATAATAAAAACGTCCGACATGAATGAATCATATCAATCGATCTATTATAATGATCAACTACATTAGAGGGTTCCGCCACCATCAGTCAATGGTGACACAATTCTTGAGACGGTCTAGTTAGCTGAGCATTCAAGACATTCAGATGCGGACCCTTCCCAACAACGCAACAAGCTGCTTGCATGCTAGTGTGTTCGGGAACATATATCTACGAATCGGCCCGGGATAAGCTGGGCGAGGATCGTACCGACGGCGCCACCCCCGCCGCCTCGTATACGATGGCAAGGGGTACAACTTTACCGACGGCGCGCTCTTGGGGAAATTGAATGAAGCATGTCCCTGAGTGAACGGCTCTCGCTTACTTGCAAACGTCCTGTGGCGCGGCGGCATCAGCGAATCTCGTGTTTTAGAATCGATGCACAGCAATACTTAGCTCACTCGGATAACTCAGTAGGCTTGAGTAGGCTCGTATCGTCTATATTAGTATTAAGTTTGGAGAATGAAAGGAAACCATAATAATGAAGGAAAGGCTGTGAACACGTCAGGGCAGGTCGGTCAGGGGCCTATAGGAACGTCAGCCATATCAGGTAGATTGAGAAATGAAAACGTCATATTTGGCCCATCTACGCCAGTTTAAATAAGCTCGGGTATCGAAATACCTTGGTGGTTCAAGTTGAATAAGTCAGTTCGGGGTGTGAGAGAGGGAGAATACCAAGAGGCGGATGCCCTGCTCGTGAAGGCAATGCATATTGCATACATGCACGATTTTCGGGACAGGCCCAGTTTCCTTGTCGTACGTGGGGATAAGACACCCACTTTGTCCAGAAGATGATCGATGATCGCCCACGGGGATCAGAAGGAACCTGATTGATATCGTCCAATGCTGTATTCGCCGTTAACCGAAGAGCCTTGATGATTAAGATGCAGACGGGCCTGTAATTCGTGGACAAGATATCCATTAAGCAAGGCCCTAATTTTCGTCAGAGTCCATGCCTGCTTGGGCAACTTCGAACCAAAGGACAGTGGTTAAGAGCCTTCGGGTATCTTCGATCATTTTCAGAACGAAGGGTCCGAGAAGTCTCCCTGACCTATATACCGTCAATTTTTGGGCGGGGCCCGTCCCATGCAGATGTGGTAAGTGTGACCCCACAGAACTCTCACATAACTGTCGGGCTAATTCGTTCACCGAGCCTCGGATTGAACCGAACTTATGCTCTAGTAAATCACAGCGAACGGACTGCGTAAACACCCGCAGCGGGGAAACACAATGCACACCGAGCAGGTGCTGTGCTTGATACATGACCAGGCCGCTCGATAATGGACAACAGAATGAGCATTTTGAGTCACATTTTGAACACGAACGAAAAACATCCGTAGCATCGGGGGATTTCTAGCGGGGCAAATTCCCTTGTTGAACTGTCACGGAATACACCTTCGTATACCTTGATGATAGCATCACCCAAAAGAGATACTGAACATTCCGTTTTCTACAGAACGTTTGTGTTCCTCCAGAGCCTGAGATAGCTAAATTTCATTGCAGGTAACACCATGAAAGTCGACAACATGTATACTGGCACTTAACTGCAACTTCAACATGTGGTTTGAGTTCATAAGAACATATCACATTGTGCGAAGAAATTTCACTATGACAACGACGCAAAAAACCAAGCGCACTACTTGGTAGCCTCGGCCAACCTTTGTTCTGCCTCTTTGAAGTTGACGATGTTCCAAATTGCAGCGAGGTACTACATGCATGTCAGCCGTAATCCTCGAATAAAGGGAGGGATGCGTACATCTGCCTTGACATTTTGGTACTGTGAAAGGAGAAAAATAAATTTGAAGCATAACTCAATTATGTGCCATCTCATACCTGTAGGTAGAAAGCCTACAAACAACTAACGTCAGTGGGACTATCGCAGGCTAATACCAGCAACACTTACATGCTCCCAAATGTCCACACCGATAATGGGTGTATGAGCTGCGTAAATACGTCAGGGGTTATCCAGTCGGACTTGAGGCCCTACGTACAAAGTAAAGGATCCTGGTTGGCTGTCGTAATGATCTCAAGCCTTTTGGTGGCAGCGTCGTATCCCTTTGTAGGCCAACGTCAACAATATAGATAATACAACCTGTGTGAAGTCTTACGAGCCATCCCCATCCACTGCCCTGTATAGCTGCGGTGGCAGCATTGAACTTCTTCTTAAATTCTTCCACAGATCCAAAGTCACGTTCGATGGCGTTTTTCAGAGGACCGTCGGAAAGTTTGCCACCGTCAGCGTTTGCGGGGGAAAGATTCTTCCAGAATAACGAATGGTTGATGTGGCCTTGGTGCCATGAGGTCAAATTTTCAAGACAAGAAGCCTTGAGACCTACCGCCGCCGTTGAATTTTAATGCCGACTGTAGGGCGATCTTCTCCCTGACAGAGGGTGTCGTCGCGTAAGATTTCTCCGCAGCATTAAGTCCATTGACATAGGTCTGGTGATGCTTAGTGTGGTGAAGCTTCATAATTGCCTCGGAGATGTATGGCTCAAGAGCCTGAACCATTAAGCTTCAGGTACCTCCGCGCTCATAACATGGAAAAGACACCAACATTGTAAGCATAAGGCAGGTCTGGAAGAGTATGGAGAGACATGCTGGTCGCAGGAGCGGCAAATGCGCGAGCCAGAGAGGGACGCAGAGCAGATTTTGCGAGGGACAACATAGTGAGTATTCAAGTGAGAGCTCCCACGCACTCGCTAGCAGCAAGCGTCATTCAAGGCCCCAACTGCTGACTAAGACGGCCCCTTATAACAGTCGGACTGAACACCGTCTCGATCGTCGTCGAGCGCTAGCGCTCATCACTAGCGCACGTTAATTCGCATATGACAATTTAGCTGGGCGTCACACGTTTTGGGCGCGATCTTGCCCATCGACGTAAAGCAACAAAGAAGGTGTGTTATTGCTACCAATTACAAGTCACTTCAACTTCAGGCAAGCCTCAAATAAGCCTGAGTGCATGTAAGGTGAAAAACTCCTCGACAACAAGATGCAGCCCGAGTCGGGTCCTCCAAATCAGCAAAATGCCTACGAAATTACCCTCAATATTCAAATACATTGCTTTCGATTGGCGGACTTTCCCGAGCATTGTCTGGGAGTGTCGCGCAAAATCTATTCTTCAGTCATCCGAAGACTCTGTGGTTACATTCGCGAGAAGGCCAAATCAATCCTCTTTGAATGTAACCTTGCGATATACGCACTTGTGGGTCCTACTAAATCTAATAGATTCCTGTTGGTTAATATCCATATGGCAGCATGTGGCCCTGAGCACCAACCAGGGGGTCACGCCTGGCTATCCATCAGAAACAGGATGATCTCCATCTAACCGTGCGCAAAGACGCCGCAGATCTAACTCTAAGCAGTTCAATATGCCCATTGATGAGCCTATCGTCCGAAGCACGGAATCTGTGGTGCTGACACATGACATTCGGACAGATCAGGATTCAGCTTCCTGCTCTGCGACAAGCTCCACGTGGTTACCTGCGGTTTCTCTTTCGCCATGCAGCATTACTCTGACACTATCCTGGACGAACACCCTCACCTTATGCGTATCGATATAAATATGTCACTAAGCCCTCACCATGAGCATGGGATTATGTATGATCTTGGTGACTGTTGTCCACACGGCTCTGTTTTTGCTGAACGAAGACAGACGACATGCAACAATACAATTTAATATAACAATACTGCGCCACGAACATCAATCAATAGGCCATTGACCTCATGATGGCGGAAGGTATTTGTTTCATATGACATAGCACACTCTTTAGATACCAGGACATACATTTCAGATCAGAGAGCATCACAACTTCTACGGACAAGTTACGGAGGTTTCATCATCACAATTTCAATTCGCCACCTCAGTTGAAGGGAAGAGGCTCATTAATTTATCCCCGTTTGCGACCCACCACTTTTCCGCCTCCTCGTCGGCATCGTATCCAAATTGGATGTCGCTCTTCTTCTTATCAGCCCACTGATTCGCATTGCCTGCTAACGCAAGCGTACTCTGCTCGCCACGCGCCACGCGTTTCGCGTCCTCCGTTGCCACACGCATTTCGTTATCACGCTCCTCTTGCTCTGGCCCGTCTGGGTGGTGGAATATGTGCCGGTTCAGACTTGAAGACGTCTGTGTCGCCGTGGCACGGTCGTACCGGAGAGATTGGTAGGCATAAAGCAGCGGCAAGATCTGCGAGCGGTCCGAGCAATGCGAGAATATGTTGCCTAGGACGGCAGCATCTTCAATCTAGAGGATTCTGATGTCAGAATTCGCTTTGCTGTCAATACTCATCCTTACCGCCATGGCTGATCCTTGCGCACGGTAGGGCTAGAGGGGTGACGGTCAGCATGCACTATATTTCGATCAAGAATTCACAAACCAGCATTGGGTGACAAGAGTCGCCCAACAAGACCAACTTGCCATCCTTGTGAATCCACGAAGGCAGGGGATCTCGGACCATCAACTTCCAATCGAGCGTTGACGGAATAAGAGCCAGAAGTTTTTGAATACTGCATCCCGCGCCACCAGTTAGCATGAGCACAAGGTGGGCATTGAAGCCACTGACGTGATATTCCACCCCTTGTAGTGCTCCTTCATTCTTTCCACATTACCTTCAGCAGTCCACGATTCCACAATTCCTTCAACTCCGTCAGCTCCGTCAGGGTGTATCATGACGAGGTTATATTGTTTCTTGGCACACTGTCCAGCTCTTGCATTAGCTCCCAATGTTAGCTATGTTAACCGAACAGCCAGCTTACAATATTATAGCCAACAATATGACCTTTGGGACCCATCCATATAATTGATTCTGTATTCTCCACCAGTGATTTCAGGTCATCGTCCTCTAGGAGTTTCTCAGTCGGGATGAGGGCTCTGTAAGCAGCGTCTCCGGTAGCCCTGGGCTTATCGGGCCCGCCGACAACATACTCCCGGGTAATGCTTTTGACTCCGTCCGCGCCGATGATTAGGTCAGCAGATACGACCTCCCCAGAAGCAAGAGTCATAGTAGGTTTCGACGGGTCCAAGGATACAACGCGACAATCGACACGGATGTTACAGTGTTGTTCAGCTGCCGCGTAGAGCATACGGTGGAAATCAGCTCGCTGATTTAGCCTGGTCAGGAAGAATCAATGCATTCAGGAGAGGACTCAACGTGTATGTGGTAATAAGGGTAACCGTAGTCCTTAACGAACGTATCCCCAAATAGCGTCCATCCTATAACTTCATCGTTCTTCCCTGGAGATTGACATCAAGCAACAGCGCCAGGACCTTCATCGTAACTCACATCGTCTAATGCTCAGATTCTGTGGTTTCACACCAAGTTCCTCGAGACGTGGGCCGAGACCCCAACGCATCAAGAGGCGCGAGACATTTGGGCTGGCTTGAATCCCAGCGCCCACTTCACCGATTGCAGGCGCTGCTTCAAGGATGGTGACGTTGTGACCTCCCTGTGCGAGGCAGTATGCAGCGGCGAGACCTCCCAGACCGCATCCTATTACTACGATGTCGAGGGGCTGGGAAGCTCGCCTTCCTTTGTATAGATGATCCGGCTGATGGGTCGAATCAACCTGAGACGTTCAGAAGGTCAGCACATAGTCCCGTCTTGATCGGTCTCATGTTGCCACTAACTGGTTGAGATTCCTTAGCGTCCATATCACACAAGTACTTGAAGGGTCAGATATGATGGAGGGAGCTGAAGTGTACAATGATGAGCAGTGTGGGTGGAACGATTGATATAGGCTGTCAAGGAGGATGTACTATTTTACCGCCTTATTCGACTCGGTTCCCCTCAGCAGCCTAAAATACTCAAATCAGGCCATATCAATTCAATTATCAAAGTTTCGCGCAGTCTTCGCTGGCCAGTCGTTTCTCTTCCCTTCGTGGATTCTGCCTCTTGGACTCGGAAGCATTGCTGCAGCTGTCTTACTTGAAGATCCGAGTGTCTGCCCTTCGAATTAGAGGTGGAAACTTACTATGGGTTGCCCTTTCCAAGTCACAATCGCTTGCCCAGCTTTCCTAAAGGGCGATGTTGCCGTGATGAATTACCGGAAGCCTTGACACAGCTCTAAGCAAACTTCATTTTCAGTTATGATTTGTTATCAGAATTTAACTGAGGTGCCTAGGTACCTCAAGAAGCCCTCTGAGTGGATATAAAGTGGACATGGTGTCCACTTTTGTCGAAGGGTTGTCGAGACTCGAGAAGTCCGTTAACGTTCGTGTCCCATAATTGTCGTGATTGCCTATGCGAAAGCAAGAGAACCGAATTGAGGAGAAGTTACACTATTGCTGTCCAATGCGTCTCTTGGCAACGGGTAGAGGATTTCGCCACAGATTGCGACTGTGACGGACGGACCTGAAGGTTGGAGAAGGTGGTGGACAAGACAGAGTCACAAGCCAAGCTTATGTAAATGGACACATACCTATCAGGGACAGCTTATCTGCCACCACCACCAAGGCAATAAAACGGGTCGCAATACACTTTAAGCTTTAAGTCCGGATGAATGACTGGTGGTTTACAAGAACGGGGCAATGGGAGACAAGAAGACATTCAAATATCTAGTTAGATGTGATAGTAGAGACAGCAGTCTCGGGAACATGTAGTATATCTCGTTGGGGAGAGGGGACTGAGAGAAAACCGGTCGTCGAATGTTATACGCAATCCGCATTGAGCGCATATGGACGGCGTGACGCGAAAAATTGACGAGCCTCATCCTCAAATAATGGTTCCACGCATCGGGACTCGACTCGAGAGGACCACGAGTCCTGTGTTTAGATGCTCGGCGAGCCACCGGACTATAAGAATCAACAGATCTAGTTGGCACTGACATTTGACGATGTGACATGAATGGATGTAACCTCTTTACGCAGCCGTCCAATAATTGACCCATCCATGTCTGATGTCCACCCGAAAAAAAAATTGATCGCAAGCTTGCAATGTTTCTAGCAAGTGCTGCAACTCGAAGGGATTTGACTCTCAAGCGCGAATCCAGAGTCTGCAGGAGGATTTGTGACACACGTAGAACACGATGCCATCAGACTGAGTAGCATCAATCACCAATATTTGATATCATAAGGAAAAGCGGCGTACTCGGAGTGATACGAACTGGCGTCACACTGCCAGACTCACAAAATGGATACAAACATACCTTAGCCTTGGCGTCGGTAACCATAGCGAACGGGACACAGACTTCGCTTCGAGCGCTAAGCACTGCCTTGATGATTTTCAAGATGGAGTCGTGGGTTTTACAGTGCTTTGCATAATGGTCTAGACAAACCGAGCGACTTCGTACCATATTTGTTTTTGTTTAGCAGGAACGCCGTTGCACCAAACGATATCCCCGACGATGCCTGTAGCAACGTCTACACAGCTGCGTGAACGTGTCATCATCTGGTACCATGAAATGCACATACCTATTGATGAAATTGTAACACTCTCAGGCACAATATCCTCTACTCAGTGATGGCGACTACGAGGACGCAGTGACAAAGTTACGGTCGTGACTCTACGCTAACTGCGGTTAGCGTGACAGGTGCAACGTGAGAGTTCGGTTGTCTCATTATGCAAACGATGCAGTTTGCTTTGAACACCCTTGACGGTGAATTTCCTGATGCGAAACCCTTCTTCGGAACGCAATGAGTCCTAGTCTTAGAAGTGAGTCTCACTTTGACAATTGGGCGGAAGCCTTGCTAATCTTGAATTTTGTAAAAAAAAATCAAAACGTTAACAGAGGTCGGCTGCTCCGCGCTCAGTGATAACATGGACTGTCATCTGAACCAAACGCCCACCACACGCTTGATGCTCGTGCATCAACCAAGAGTGTAATATAGGACTATAGTAATACAAATAACCCCTAGGTTACCCTTATGGAGTTAGTGGCGATTTGCAGAATGCACACCCCTTGACTTGATCTCGGTCGAAGGAATGAGGCTCATAAGCCTGTCCCCATTTGCATCCCACCACTTTTCCGCCTCCTCATCTGCATCGTATCCAAATTGGATATCGCTCTTCTTCTTATCAGCCCATTGATTCGCATTGCCTGTTAGTACATGTGTGCTCTTCTCACCGCGCGCGACGCGGAACGCGTCCTCCATCGCAGCGCGCATTTCCTTATCACGCTTTTCTTGCTCTGGCCCGTCGGGGTGATGGAATATGTGCCGGTTCAGACTTGAAGACGTCTGTGTCGCCGTGGCACGGTCATACCGGAGGGATTGGTAGGCATAGAGCATCGGTAAGATCTGCGAGCGGTCCGAGCAATGCGAGAATATGTTGCCAAGGACGGCAGCATCTTCAATCTAGAGGATTACATTATAAGAACTCGTTTTGCTGTCGATGCTCTTCCTTACCGCCATGGCTGATCCTTGCGCACGGTAGGGCTAGGGAAATGTGACAGTCAGCATGCACTATTTTGATCGGCAATTCACCAACCAGCATAGGGTGACAAGAGTCGCCCAACAAGGCCAACTTGCCATCCTTGTGAATCCACGAAGGCAGTGGGTCTCGGTCCATCAACTTCCAATCGAGCGTTGACGGAACAAGGGCCAGAAGCTTTTGAATACTGCGTCCCGCGCCACCAGTTAGCATGAGCACAGGGTGTGCATTGAAGTCACTGACGTGGTATTCCACCCTTTGTAGTACTCCTTCATTTTGTCCACGTTACCTTCAGCAGTCCACGATTCCACGCCGCCTTCAGCTTCATCAGGGTGCATCAAGACGAGGTTAAAGTCTTTCTTGGCACGCTATCCAGGTCTTGCATTAGCTCCCAATGTTGACTATGTCGACCGAACAGCCTGCTTACAATAGTATAGCCGACAATATGACCATTGGGACCCATCCATATGTTTGATTCCCTTCTCTCCACCAGTGGTCTCAGCTCATCATCCTCTAGGAGTTTCTCAGTCGGGATGAGGGCTCTGTAAGCAGCGTCTCCAGTAGACCTGGGTTTATCGGGCCCGCCGACAACATACTCCCGGGTAATACTTTTGACTCCGTCCGCACCAATGATCAGGTCCGCAGATACAACCTCCCCAGAAGCAAGAGTCACGCTAGGTTTCGACGGGTCCACGGATACAACGCGACTATTGACACGGATGTTACAGTGTGGCTCGGTGGCATCATGGAGCATGCGGTGGAAATCAGCTCGCTAATTTAGCCCGGTGAGTGAGAAAATTTGCAACAAGAAGAGGACTCAACGTGTAAGAGGTAGAAAGGGGCGCCGTATTCCTTATCGATCACATCTCCAAACGGCGTCCATCCAACGACCTCATTGTCCTTCCCTGGTGATCGGCATCAAGCAAGAGCGCCGGGACACTTCGACGTAACTCACATCGTCTAAAGCTCAAAGCCTGGATTTCGACGCCAAGTTCCTCGAGACGTGGGCCAAGTCCCCAACGCATCAAGAGACGCGAGACGTTGGGGCTGGCTTGAACGCCAGCGCCCACTTCACCGATGGCTGACGCTGCTTCGAGGATAGTGATGTTGTGGCCTGCCTGTGCGAGGCAGTATGCAGCGGCGAGACCTCCCAGACCGCATCCTATGACTACGATGTCGAGGGACAGGGAGGCTCGCCGTCCTTTGTATAGATGTTCGGGATTAAGGGTCGAATCAGCCTGAGAAGTTTTAGGAGGTCAGTGCATAGCCCCGTGTTGAACGAGCCTACAGCATTACTAACTGATTTAGATTCTTGGGCGTCCATCATATCACACAAGGAACAAGACTCGGTAATGATGGAGGGGGTGAATGGCGTGTAATGATGGGTGATTTGGGTGGATGGATTGATATAGGCTGCGAAGGAGAATGTACCTTATTTCGTCATATTTATTCAATCAGCAGAAAACCCGCGCTCGTCTTCGTCCCTGGGGGGTCGGTTTTCTTCCCTCGTGGGTTCTGTCTCTTGAATTGGAAGCAGGAGTGTTTCTCCAGAGTCCACCCGAAGATGTCAGCACAGGGCTCTTCGGGTTAGAGAAATTTTGCTACGGATTATCCCTTCGCAGTTACTGACCAAGATTTCCTTCCAGGTCCCCGCTGCCCTCTGAAGATGCATCAATGAAAGCACCTTGACAATGACAGCTAGGGCTTCGTCTGTGTCTAAATGAGTTGTTATCAGACACTCTGATTGGATGTCACGTGGAAGCACCTTATATCAGTTCAGTTGTGTTTTTAAGATTGTTGAGAAGTTCGTTTAAATGTTTATCAGAAATCCCAGGCACATGAACGTCCACAGGGGTCGGTGAGGTTTTGGCAGCTTTGGCTCAGTCTCAGAATGCTTGCAGAGACCATATGATCGGGGTCGGTGAGACAAAGACGGTTGCAGTACGGTCGCCGGGCTGTCAGGTATTCAATTAGTAAACCACACTGAACAAAAGGTAATGCAAGGGAAGAACGACACTACAAGGAAGAATGAATTACCGCAGTAAAAAGGTAGGAAACCCCCCATATCCGAGGAGCAGCGTAGACAAGATACCGACTCTGGTCCATGGATATGGACGGGCTTTTTGAAAGGACAAGTAAGCCGGAGCTCGTTTATTTACCTCCGAATAATGACAGGCGTGTATACCGTGGGCATGTATGGCTCATTGAGGTAGAGTAAGCCCCGGCCTCCGCGCAAACTGCACATGGCGAGGGAATGAGATTGAAGGTTGGAATAAGTTGCCAAGGAGGAGGTTGGCGCGCCCATTCTAGTTTAGGCTCCAGAAGAATGTCATGCTCGATGCGTAGACACCTATGTAAGATTGAAATGCCAAATATGGGTGTTCAAAAGAAATGGACATAGATGGCCATGAGCAACTTGCAGACGAGGCTGTGGGTGGATTTCCGCTGATAGTGCTAGATTCAGAGACTGGCTCGTTAGGACTAGTCTGCCACACCGTTCAGGTCACGAACTTTGCATCTTAGTAACTGCGATAATATCCAGGTGGACTAGACTTTTTGAACAAGTTGGTGGATTATTCTTGCAGAGGTAGGGTGTGCAGTGGAGATACCTTCATATCGGAAGGAACGACTGTCTTCCTTCTGTCATGTTCTGCTTACTAGGGGAGACTAATTTTTTAATGTCGAGTGTCTGCCGCAGGCCCAATGATCGATTCCGTTTCCAATGCTCCCGGCCCGAGAATCAACCACTCTTTCCCGCCGCATATCCGTAGTACCCAAAGGCACAGATGTGGCGTTTGATTTAGTCACGATACGAGTGAGGCAAAATACATGTCAAGGTCTTGCGAGTCGTGGAGATAAGTTTGGTGGCTGCAGGGTCTAGCAAGTGGTGAGAAGTGCACGAGGTGACGGTCCCACTAGAGACGGCCAAACAAATAACAACATCATCAAGGGACTGACTCAGTTGTACCATAGACCTGATATGTATCAGGTCCACCCACGAACCGTCCCAACACAATCAAGCTGAGGTCCTGATACTGGATCAAAACGCAAGATCTGATCTGGGTAGTCAATATTAATGGTGATGGTATAGGCTTTGAATTCGCACGTTATTTGGTTCGTAAGTAACATGTCTCGAGTCGGCCGGAAAAAATTAACACGGTGTCACCGTGTTACACGGCTCCTTCCATGTGGAAATTTCCAAGACCAGGTCGACCTACATTTGTACTGGGGAGACCTATGAAGGTTTTGCCACGTCGTAGGGCCATCACTTCATGCATGGGAGCTCCAGGATGTTGGTTGGTCATGAAGTTGCGATCCGTCACACACGGTGCGATGCCTAGCTCACTTGGAGCTATCACCAGCACTGCTGGAAATAACTTAGCAATCAGCGTGTCCCAACAATCTTATCGTTAACAAGCGCTAGCCCTGCGTGGTTATTCCATTCAAATTCTAGGTGGATTGGAATGCGATGAGTGTGCTTGGATGGGTCCTTCTTGATGATGCGAGAGCGATCAATTAAATGACGAGTCAAATTGGGTCAGCACAACGGTGCGTGAGCTTGTTTCTGTAACCCCCCGACCGATGAACAGTCAAGCCGTACTTTGGTTGTTTCAGATTCCTCTGGGTTCCATCATGTGGGCTCTGTGGTGCAGAAGCTTATAATATACAAGCTAATATACAAATGCTTTGGATTCGACCTTGGTGACTGCAACTGTCAAACGCTAGTTTCCTGCGTAGGGGCTCAAGGCAGTGTGGAATAGATGTTCTTTGTTGGCAAGAACAAATAGCCGTTGGACCGCAGCTTTCGGTTCAGGATTGGCAACCGTCTCCCAATGAGCCTGGAGGTCAACAACAGCATCAGTACGTCCCAAATCATGATTATATCAACGCCTACCTCGACGCTCTCCCAGCCGCCAACAAGAATGATCTCATTCTCATTCTCCAGCGTAGGCCCAAACACGAGCATCTTCTTGGTCATATCCGAGATCTTACTGAGGATATCAGACACCTCTGCACGATGGCTGGGATCTTTGAGCGTGATGCGGAGGACTTCCGTGACAGGCTGCTTGAATGCGATGGGATGGTCATTGAAAATGACATGGTACATCTTCATCGGGCCCCCAAAGGCGGGTTTCAGAGTTTCGAGTAGAGAGCCGTACGAGGGGGACTCAATCAACGCCTGATGGTGCGCCAAGCTATCCCAGTCTAATGCCAGGACATCGTCGGCCCTTTTTCAAAAACTAGCAAAATATATGACATACTGAGGAAAAGATAGCCTGTAGTTGGGTTCTCGATCTGCAACCCACAGTAGACGGGCCTGTCGCGATAATAGCATGATTAAGGCGCCCAGTGTTGCCAATAGCAAGAGAACAAATACCTACATCTGGGCACCATCAACCTTTGAAACTATGTCGAATCCAGGGCTCAAAATTGAGGGGTCCTTACGAAACTCCTCCGAAGTCTCGAAAATAATGATTTCAGTCGTTGGGATAGACATGATTGTGGTAAAAATTCTGGGGGATGAGATTATGAAGTGGCAAAGTGCCCCTTTACAATATCTCCTAAATATAAACATATATTCCGGAATCCGAATGATTTTCGTGTCGACTCCCGCGGCCGATTGTTCCGAGTATCCTTGGTCCTAAGGCCTTAGTGCCTATCGCAACGGCTCTCGGATTTATTCAGCCTACACGATTATTTTTGAGAACAAGTTGTACATACACATATATATAGTAACTTGGCTCAATAGTATGCATGACATGAAGCACTATGAAACCAAAAGTAGGTGAAGTTCACCGGCTGGATCACCCGTGGGGTCGGTGATGATGACGAGCTTGCAAGGCGACAGTCACCACCATCCAGTAGTGTTCACTGTTCACCGTGCGAAGGGGGGTGCATGAAACAACCCGTCAATCACCCGTCACCGTCTCATTACCTATTTAGTAGGTGAAACGTACATTTCACCTGTGGAAGGGTTGACAATAACCCCTTTCCGGTTTCATAGTGAACCTCGCGGATTGACAGGGATCCAACAAGAGCAATGTGGTATGGATACAGTGCATGCTAACTCACTGTCATCCATGTTACCCAGATTTTCAGAGATCATTAACCATTCGTCCGAACATTTACCATGATATGGTAAGGGAGGAACGCTCACATCTCACAGATGGTGGCCAATGCTCTTCGGATATCAGCTACAGATCCAGAGTCTGCATCTGAGCTTCATCTTCTGCTCAGCCGCAGTTTTTCCGCGTTGTAGCATGGGTTGGATATAGGCTGCATGATTCGTATAAATGTCAACTTGAAACAGACATCGAACAAAAACATACAGTATACTAAGTGGAGTAACTTCATTCTTGTTCATCAGCTTCATCTTCACATGTCACAGTTGCAGCCCGCTATACACGGCCATCGAGAATTCCTGCCAGTGGCGCAACACGGAGCTGTCCGAGAAGCCAAAAGGTTTGTGTCAATCGCACAGTCGCGCAGAGTTCAGTCACTGGTTGGCTCCAAGAACAATGTGTGCCTGATTGTGATGCGATGAAGCGGAACTGCCAGGTGGACTTTATGCGGAGTGATCTGCCGTTCAACAAGTCAGTCCGGGAACTTCGGTCCTGCTGGCAGTGGGCGCTTGTCTACATGGTACTCCCGGATCTGGATGCGGAGCGCTGGACCATCGTCCAATCTACATTTGCACTAAGTCTGGGTGTCTCCTGAGGGGACCTACAATGGTTCAGCTACGTCATATAAAGCAAATTGACAGATAGGATAAACATTACTATAAAGCTAGGGCCAGGCATAATCTCAGGCCAGGCCCGAACCCCCAATAACTATCAGTGTATCACTGGCCTGGCTCGAGCCTGGCCTACTACGAGGGACCGAGGGTTCAGCACATCACTAGAAGTTCAGGTGCACCGCCAAGCTGTTAGTATAAAGCAAGCAACGTGTCCCAACAATCTCATCGTTGACGAGTACTAGCCCCTGCCTGGCTATTCTACAGATTGGGATGCGATGGTACGGACTCATGTGCTCGGACGGGTCCTTCATGATGCCAGAGATCGCGCGATCAATAAACATAATCGTCGGTTGAGCGAAGTATGAGCTGATGAACAGTCAGTGCACGCCTTCCGAGTCGTTGTTTTGCCTTCCCTTACAGCATGTGAACTTTGCGAACAGGAACTTATAATGTACAAGGGCTTTGGATTCGACCTCACTAAACTCAACTGCTACTTGCCCGTGTAATGGGTCAGGGTAGAGTGGAACAGATGGTCTTTGTTGGCGAGAGTGTACAGCCGTTCGAGCGCAGCTTTCGGCTCAGGATTGGCAACCATCTCCCAATGAGCCTAGAAGTCAACAACAGGGTCAGCACGTCCAAATCATGACATTCTCCACGCCTACCTCAACGCTCTGCCAACCACCAACAGCAATAATCACATTGTTATCTTCCAGCGTAGGCCCAAACACGAGCATCTGCTTGGTCGAGTCCGAGATCTTAGTGAGGATCTCGAACACCTCGGTGCGATGACTGGGGTTCTTGAGGGTGAGGAGGAGGACTTCCGTGACAGGTTGCTGGAATGCGATGGGATGGGCATTGAAAATTACATGGTACATCTTTGACCAACCCCCGTATGCGGGTTTCAGAGCTTCAAGCAAAGAAGCATATGTGGGGGACGCCATCATAGCCTGATGATGAGCTAGGCTATCCCAGTCTGAAACCAAGAAATTATTGCCCGCCCCTTTCAAGTCTAGCGAAATATACATACTCAAGAAGACATAGCCTTTAGCTGGATTTTCGATCTGCGTTCCAACATAGGCGGGCCTGTCGCGATAATAGTATGATTAAGGCGCCCCGCATTACCGGTATACTAGCAGGAGAGCGATACGCACATCTGGACACCATCTGACTTGGAAACTATTTCGAACGCAGGGCGTAAAATTGAGCTATCATTACGAATTGCCTCTGTAGTATTGAAGATAACGAGTTCAGTCGTTGGGATAGACATTATTGCGGGTGAAGCTTTGGGAGTATATTCTCCTTATAGCACACCTGGATATATATACCTCGGTTGATGAATTTCAACCTCTTGTGTGGAGTCGTGTTTTCCAGGTGACACACATTGCGAAAATCTCGTTTCTGCCAATCGTCGCGGACGGCTCTTGGACATCTTCAGCTCCACATGATCAATAAGAAGCAGTAGGTACGTACATCATCAATGATTTGGCACGTGTGAAGAACGACACGGAAATAGCCAACAGGTGTGATCAATTGAATTGATCGATGAAGCCGCGGCCACAGCGACGGCGTCGCTGGGGAAACTACATGGTATTGCACTCGCGGCGTCAGCCGTCTCCAAGTATAGGTCTCGGTCGACTTGGGGAGGGGGATGCTAGGGAGAGGGATTGGCAGCTGTTTCGAGCTGACGAAAGCTCTCGTTAGGGGGATACTGCTGCCCCAACCGCTTGCCCGTCATTGCAATTTGAAATTCTCCGCAACTTCGCCTATTTTTAGATGGACTAAGCCAGCTGCTATCGACAGGTTAGCGGGTCGGCCACGAGGTGGGGTATTTGCCCCAGGGTCAGTGGCCTATGACACAAACATAGCCCATAAACTCCATCCGGTTCTTTCGTTCCGGCCGAAGATTTCCCGACTACCCATGCAGCACCAAATATTGAAGAAAGACTTACAGCATAAGTCAGAGTAGCTTCATTTTTTGTTCATCAACCCCACCTGCACTCATTACCAGAATGCCTGATGTCCTCGGTCATAGCGAGCTGACAAACACAATCACCGGAGCTATGCAGATATGGATTACACAAATCCTATCACCAGTCTGACAAGCCGGAACGTCTGTTGGTCCAATAGCATTGGGAAGGGTGTCAAGACTTCATCGGGCGAGTGGAGATTGCATACGATCACCGGCACCCGTCATACGAAGGGAGATCCAAAAGAGCGCGTTCAGTAGTCATTAGTAAGTACTATGAAATTTATGCTATCAGGACATCTGCATGTAACGAAGATAGCAACTAACCAGTCTGCAAAGGCGGCTGAAAACCTTGACAACAGATTCTAAGAACAAAATGGTGCAATTGTTAATCATCTTGCCGACCTGCGCGGCAACAAAAGCTCTTGTGACGTCTTTGGCCAGACGCTGATCGACATCTTCTGTCGCTTGCGTTGGCGTGACTTCTTTTCCATAAGAGCAACATTCTAGAAGGACAATGTTGGGGATATCGTGTCATAATGGTGCGGCGACTTGTGGAGGGTCGCACTGTCCGCAGGCAACAGATACAAATATGGCGATGAAATGGGAGGATTGGCAACAGCTTAGGTCGACGAAAGCAAAATATTGTGGCGTTGCGTAAGGCACGTCCGTCCGTCCAGGACAGAGTTTTCCCCCTCATACTCGGGTAGTACATCCTCAATATTTGTCAGTAAACCCTGAAGGTAAAACGCACGTTACCGCGGCGACCCAATGTGCAATCGCCTTAGCCCAGCAAATGCGCTGTATGACAGGTCGACCATGCGGAGCGGGTTCGATATCACAGCGATGAGTTTGTAATGATAGGTCACAGGATGAACCGTGTCTTGCTCCAGGCTGATGCCATTCTTCATGTTACAAAACAGGAACAAACATAATACGTAAGTAAGATGTTGTGCAACTTGGCATGATCATCCATCTACTATGTTAAGTTACTCTGGGGATGCTACCTCAAGGCTAACATTAACTGCCAACTGCTCCTTATATTCGTACGGGGTTAATGCGGTGTGGAACAGATGTTTCTTATCGGTAAGAGCTTGCAACCGTTCGAGCTGAGCTTTCAGCTCAGGACTAGAAGTGATCATTCCCTTATGCATCTGCCAATGAGACTGGAACAGCGTCAGCACGTCCAAAATCAAAATAATCGTCACGCCTACTTCGACACTCAGCCAACCACCAACAAGAATAAACAAATTCTCATCCTCCAGCGTAGACCCAAACGTGTTTATTTTCACAGGTGAGGCCGAGTTCTTAGTGAATATGTCCAACACCTCTGCGCGATTACTAGGGTCTTTGAGCGCAAGGCAGAGGATTTCCGTGACAGGCTGCTGGAGTGCAGTGGGATGTTTGTTAAATATCACATGGTATATCTTCTCCGAACCCCCTAAGACGGGTTTCAGGGCTTCACGCAGAGTATCGTGCAAGGGGGACGCTATCATCGCCTGATGGTGCTCTTGGCTATCCCAGTCTGAAGCCAGTTATTAATCCCCTTTCAAGTCTAGCAAAATACGCGACACATACTGAGGAAGACATAGCCTGTGGCTGGGTTCTCGATCTGCACTCCAGCGTAGGCGGGCCTATTACAACAATAGTATGGTAAGGGCGCCCCGTGCTACCAGTGATATCTACTAGCAGGAGATGGTACGCACATCTGGATGCCATCCGCCTTCGAAACTATGTCGAACGCAGGGCGTAAAATTGAGGGGTCGTTACGAAACTCCTCTGAAGTGTCGAAGATAATGATTTCAGTCGTTGGGATAGACATGATCATGAATCTTCTACTAGTATTTCCTCCCTACATATACGTTGACGATAAATTTTCAAATTTCGTGCGCCAACTCCCGTTATTCCCAGGTGATGCCTGTTGCTTCAACCAAGTCTCTACCTGTTCCGGCTTATTGCAGATGGCGGCTCATGGACCAACCATATCAGCCCACACATGTATGGACGGTAATTCGGCGCAACTTTTACAATGCTTCTCGTCCATTCAATGGCTCCATGAAATGACGCGTTTGATCCCGCGGAACCAATTCGCATCGACTCCATGCGCGCTCGTGGCACTCGACCCCAGGGCCTTTCATGTTCCATTCTGACTCAGGCTTGGCGCTCAAATCGAATCCCTTTCATGCCCTGGTGCGTTGTGATCCGAGTCCCGTGGTATTATTGGCATTCAGAATGCAAATACATATGTCCTTAGAAGAAACGGTTCTGGAAATTGGACAGATTTGTGCCTCTCCCTCTGGAGACTGAGGGCGGTTGCAGTGATCTTCCTGTCTCCATTTTCACTTTCGGTGGTAGAACTGCGCCGCCCAAGGATGGTGTTTATTTCATCAATGCTCGCATGACTACCGCAATTGCAGGTGATGACTGTCCGCAGGCGAGCAGGTCGTTTGTAGTACTGAACTTAAGTTACACTTAGATCGATATATATAGAAACTAATATTGGTACTACTACCACAACTTTGGACGACCACTGGTTCTTACACTTCGCAACCCACAATTCTGCCTCAATAAAATATTTTGCTTCACCACATATAATTGTACGCTTATTGTATAGTGCTATACAGTTGAATCATTAAAATTGGTGCAGAAATGACAGAGATAGCTTTGAGGTGCGACAGACCAGCTTTGTCACTCGGCGAGTCGGAGCTTCAGCATCTTGCAGGACACAAAGCGTCGATTTGGTCAAGGCTGGGCTTGTCCGAAGTTGTGGTAGCCGATAGTATGAGTGAAGATACCTCACAGAATGGCACGGATCCAAGAGAAGCAAACACGAATTGAGCGCATGCTAACTTACATTACTACTCTGGTGCTCAACATCTGGAGTGTACAAATTACTCGCCCGGACTTATGTTTAGGGAGGAACACGTACGTCTTACAAATAGCTGAAGATCTCATTAATGATTTCAGAGTCTACTTTTGAGCTTCCTCTTCTGCTCAGCAGCAGCTTGCCCGCGTTGTCGCATGGGTCGAAGGTAAGGCTACATTAACCGAGTGAATAGAAACCAAAAATATTGAACAAAGACTTACAGCATAAGCCGGAGTAACTTCATCCTTATTCATTGGCTCCATCTGCACTCGTTTCCAGAGTGCCTCGTATACGCGGCCATCGAAGACTCCTAGCGCGCTATCGAACGCAATCAATACGGCAATGATACAGATAAGGTTCACACGTACCTGTCTAAGGACCAGTCCGAGAAGCCGAAAGCATCGCTTAGACCAATAGCATTGGGTAGCACCTCAAGACAAAGGGCTTTGACGGCTAAACGGAGATCCTGCGTGGGATCGCCCGCACCCGTATGACGGATCAAACCAACCGAAAGGAGATCCACAAGGGCGCTTTCAGCACTCGTTAGTAAGTACTGTTAAAGTTGTGTAATTAGAACGTCTAAAGTGACGGAATTAGCAACTTGCCAGTCTGTAAAGGCAGCCGACAACCTTCGCATCCTCTGACGGTAGCATGGTGAGATTTTTGATCATCTCACCGACCTGCGCGGCGACAAAAGCTTCTGTTACGGCTTTGGCCAAGCGCTGATTGACGCTCGCATCGACATCTCCACTCGCTTGCGTTTGCGTGAAGTTCTTTACCATAAGAGCAGCACGCCATTCTAGAAGAAGGACAACGCTAGGGATATGGTGCCAAGTTGATGCGGTAACTTGTGGAGGGGCCTCGCTGGTTGCGGATAACAAACGCAGATAAGCCGATGGAAGGGGAAGCTTGGCAACAGCTGAGGTTGACGAAAGCACAGATTTACATAACTTTGTGGCGGCGCGTACTACTTGTCCGTCTAGGACAAAGTTGTCTCCTTCGAATCTGGTTGCCAGTTCAGTGTCAGTTAACATCCAGAAAGTAGAACGCACGTTGCGGAGGGGAGGTAATCCACGTATAATCGCCCCAGCCCAGCAAATGCGCTGTAGCCGTGACCACCCATAGAACGCCGAGCGGTTTCAATATCACTGATTCCATGCGTAGTAACTAAAACCTTTAATCCACACAAGAGAGCATGCATTTCTGGAAGAAGAGACATGTCTCGATTTGCAAGCCGCTGTTGCATCTCATTTAATGCTTTTATCTAACCATCGCGGACTTGAATACTCGGATGAACATATGAAGGAGTAGAACGAACCGTATACCTCCCGAGCTCAATGAACACGAATGCTCTGGACAGAATAGGTAACAAGCGGTAGTATGTTGAAGGATATGTCAAGACTTGACGTTCAAGTCCCTTTGCGTCTGGTTCGCCTTGTCTCCGGACGGTCGTGTAGCGAATAGCAACTGTCACAGCTGCAAAAGATCAGGTTTTGAAACTACGCTGGATGCTCAGAGCTCTACCTTTAGCTATGTTCCATCCGGCCTGTGGTATCATGCTAAAATATAATGTTAATCTTGTCGAGCAAAAGTTGAGATAATTGACAGACTTTGCCCTGATATACATCATCTGGCACACCGGGTCAGTAAGTCAATATCAAGACGAATTGAAGCGAATTACTCCTCCGTAGCTGAGTTTTGCATGAGGAGGTTGGATATAACTACCCTCCGTCGTAACCTCAGCAAACTTCGAGAACATGTTCGTCCTGGGTATCCGTACGTGATCAAACCTCGCGAAACCTTGATCTTGTGCAGCCAGGCCTGAAGCCAATACATTAGATTAGTTATTATAGCTAGAGATTTCACTTACCTCCCCCAGCTTTTGGACCAATGTCGCCAACAGTGATTCCTGGGAGAGGTTTGTGATCCTCTGCAAAAAAAATCAGTATCGCCATAAATTGGGTACCACCAAGGCGAACCTAACGACCGCAGTTGCACGAAGAAGAGGTGAGGACCCATATCCTTCCCGTCCGGCAAGATCAACTTTGCTTGGACAGCACCGTGAGTCGCTGACTTGCCCAGGGCACCGATCCACCATTTAGTGCTCGTAAGACTGGGAGAGTTTATTTCGAATTCTTGGGTTTCTGGGATATATGTTGAAGTTGTTTCTAGTCGGGCTACGTTTGTACCGTGACCGAGTTCGGTTTGCAAGTAACACCTAAAGATTGCGGCTGAGTCTAGTTCACGTGGAAATGATTGAAGTCGACTTGCCCTTGAATGCCCTTCTCATACACCAAGTCCCAATAGTTTTCCATCAATGAGGAAGATCCTTGGCCGAGGAAGACGGGCTGGAATGCTACGTGATTCATGAGTATCCTGTTAGTGCGATAAGACATGAGTCTGCATACCAGCATCATGAAGTGCAGTCGACAACACTTCTGAAAGTAGTGACGTGGCTGTAGTATATTCTTCTTCAGACCAACTATGAATACGACGCAATTCATCGAGCCTATTTATGATGGCAGCAGATCTAATGTATTGATCTGTCCTCCCTAGAAAGTCCCTGCGAGACTAAGTCACGCGAAAGACAGGATAGCTAGCAGTGACCCACCTGTGCTGTTTGTCGAATAATGGTTCTTGCACAAGAATCTTTTCCAGGCGTTCACGCAGATCCCACACTTTCTGTTCACCTTGAGGGAAGTTAGGACATCACAAGAACTAAGACATAGGCTCAGACTTTCACCATACAAATAGTTCCGGACAGTCTGGACGCTGATCGAGGTCTGTGATCGCGCGGCCTTCATATCAGCCGCTGTCAGTTGATTGACATCTACTGTTGTTCCAGGCGCCATTGTCTTTGTGCTGCCGATTTAGAGTTGCTCGGGAGAGGATGCTATCCGCTCTATAAACTTAAGTATCCAAGCTTTATATGCGGTAAATGTGCAGTGTGAGAGCTCGTGATTCTCGGGATTACTATCCGGTAAAGTACGAGCTGGACGACGACGGACGTGTAACCAACTCTCAGATCGGCGCTTCTTAACCTTTATGTAAAAGGTCCGAAAATAGTATAAGTTGTAGTGCAGTATTCGGGAGCATCTTGGTCTCAAACACCTTCCAACGTTGTGGAACTGCTGTCTAGCTAGAGGAACTGGTACTCCTTCACACACTCAATGTTTTCCAGGTAACTGATGATTTTTCTCTTCATCTAGACATTTCGTTGAAATGCGCCTTCTCCTCGTCCATTCGTTACTCTTTTCTTTTGGCCTTGCTCGGGCAGCTGTTACTGCCTATGGTCCTCACGTCCAGTCACCACTTGGTACTACGACAGCTGCATCTGCCTCATATACGGGCGCTGCTTCATACGATCAAACAATATTAAATGCACCGCCTCTACCTAATCCTCCTCCACCCACTCAGTTCAATGTAGAGTTGCAGACGGGAGACGTCTCAGGACTTTCAATTCAACAAGAAGGTTCATTCTTTGGCTTCAGTATAGAGTTCAGTGTTACGACGCAAGTCCGTAAGTACTTCCTTCATATGACCGTGTATCCGCTGAACGTGTTCTTATAGTCGGGCTGAACAGGTAAAAAAACTCGACTACTTATAATGCTAGAGTGTTCTCAACGATCGGCAGTTCTTTCCTTCAAGTGCCGTTTCTCAACCTCATGGCCAACCTACGACAACGCGGCGGCAGCGTTAAGATTCGTGTTGGTGGTAATACTCAAGAGACCGCTACCCTAGTGGATAGCACCCCAGACGGTGCTGCTCTTGAGAAGGACTACGGAAAGTCATCTAACCCCGTAAGTGCAACGATCGTTTACTGAATTATCCTGAGACTGAACACCTTCAAGACGTCAACGCCGCCCCTTGTCTTCACAAGCGAGATTATCAAGATGATGGCCGAGATATCTTCGCTCACTGACGTATATTGGTACATGGGTACGCGATACGTGATTATATCCCTGCTGTCACTGACCTTCTTGCGCAGGTGTGCCGTTCAATGATACTCAGCATTGGCGTTTGCAGATCGCTGAAGTCGGACAGGCGATGCTTGGAAAATATCTAATCGGTCTACAGGTCCGCGAACATGACGTATAATATGATGGTCTCTAATTGTTTTTGCTTTAGGCCGGCAATGAGCCTGATCTTTACTCAAGACACGGTCACCGGCCGGATGTAGGGTTTTCTGGCCTCAGTCTGTATCCTGATGTTGACTGTCCTGTAGACTTATAGTCCTCAGGATTACAAGGACGAGTTCGGTCTTCTCATCGACGCAGTGAACGCAGACTCTAATATTCCCAACAAAAATCTGCTCATTGGCCCCAACCTGGCTGGTGTGTGGAGCCCATCAGACATCTGGCAAACCGGGTTCGCCACAGATTTCAACCAAAACCTCGCTGGATTGGCTGTTGAAAGGTGAGCAATAGATTGTCTAAATTATCATTGTCTTCCAGCTCACAGCCCTGAAGGTACCCCACTGATAATTGTTACGCTCTGTTCGGCATAGGAACTCCTCGCTATGGTCAAGAAGTATTCCCGGACTTCCTGACACATCAATCGGGTATCAACCTCGCCAACGAGTTCAGTGGTGCCCCCGCCTATGCGCAATCCGTTGGAAAGCCCTTTATCATGTCGGAAACGAATACGGCGTCTTGCGGAGGTTTTCCCGGTTTAAGCGACAGCTTCGGGGCTGCCCTGTGGGGAATTGACTATGCTCTCCAGCTCGCATACAGCAATTTCTCAACTGTACTTTTCCATGTTGGTGGACAGAGCGTATATTACAATGTACGTCCAAAATTGAGCCCTGTCGTCATTCAATCTCTAACCATTGTCCTCTCTAGCCCTTTACACGTCCGTATTAATTATCATACCTGGATGGAGATTGTTCTAACTTTGTCCTTAAGCACCTGTAAGAAACCAGTCAACATTCCATCAGTGGACTATTGGTATGAGCTATCTTCCATCATTTCTCTATTGGATCTTAACATCATTGTTTCCATTGTAGGTCCGGTATATTACTCGGCTCTAGTTGTCGCTGAAGCACTGGGCTCCTCTAATACCGCACAGGTCCTGGATCTGCAGGCAAATGGTGGAAACGACTACACTCCGGGTTATGCGATTTACGAAAATGGCCAACCAGTCCGTGTCGCGCTCACCAACTTCATGACGGATTCGTCTGGAAATAGCGATTATACTGCGAGCATTTCAATCGGGGGGACAGTGCCTCCTCAAGTGAAAGTCAAGTGAGTGATTCCTGTATTATCATTAATTTACTGTTTCCTAACGTTTACACAGGTACTTACTAGCTGATTCTGTCTCTCAAATATACGATTTCACGTGGGCCGGACAGGTGCGTACAGTATTAAGTGCTCGCATCGATCACCTAGACTGATTATTTCCTTAGACCTTCGGCGGCCCATTCACATCAGACGGGCGACTCAATGGCACACTCGACGTACAGACTATTCCCTGTGACCAGACTAACAACGTGTGTCAAGTCAAAGTACCTGCTCCTGGTTTCGCCCTTGTATTCCTCACCGATAACGCGTTGTACGAGTCCGACGCAAGCCCGACAATGACCTTCTCAACCACTGCTTATACGAATCTCCATGGATCTGCCACCGTCACCATTGACCCCTCCGTTCTGGCTACCTCGAACGGTGAGAAAGGATTAGCCGACGCCCTGGCGGGCACGAGCAAAGGTCGACAGATGAGTAGCGCTCTTGGATTTGCGCACGCGCTGCCTAGCTTGGTCGCTGTCATGGCCGGTGCTCTTGTGATCGGACGTCTGGCCCTCGTGCGATGAACGTGTGTACTTATTTTCCAGAGTTTAGTGGGTCAGGAGCTTTCTTTCCCTTCCCTTTATTCACCTGCACTCGCATCGGACTTGATTTACATGCACATATATCCCGGAATTCAGCATTGTCTCTCCTGTGTAGTATGATATTCTTTCTTTGTCGGATTCTTTGGATTGCTAAGACCTGCGTGCATTATACCTTACACTAATTCTACTCACTATCTTTTTGTCAATCACTTACCACTGAATTCCCTGACTGCCCACAAATTTATTATGTACAGGCTGAACTGGCTTCACGACGAAAATCCACCGACATTTGACACTTGACTTACCAGCGGTCGAAAGTTGCACCCTACTCATGTTTTCTGGTGAGCCACCACCTCAGGGGTTTAGCGTTGATTGCTATGGCCTCTTCACGAGACTCCTTGTCAGCAGAACCCCCGACTTGTCGCGCCACCGTTTTACTGCTTTTTCGGTACTCACCGTGAATCTTTATTGGTCTGAGCAGGTTATTTACACTATAGTACTACTAGACGTTCACTTCCTCCCTTCAAATATATATATACTCATCAATCCTACATCGTATATCATCGATTCGCCCATTATCGCAGAGATACTGACCAAACCGAAAAGAAACTGTTTGGACGCCTCATCTCCCTCCTGTCTCAGGCCCGGTCTTCAGCTTCAAAAGGTGGCACCAACTTATACACAATGGTTGAATCTGTTGGACGTTGACCAGTCTCCACAACTTCGACAAGGTCTTGTGTGGTGGCGTACTAAGGGTGATAATAGTTAATATTGGTTTGGAGATTCGTGTGTTGTCAATGGACGTGAAGATCAGCCACCTTATCTAATCTCCGATTTTATTTTCCGATTAGGGCCCTTGCCATCTCAAATGTGCTAAACTACATATTGGTGCAAAGTTACTTAGGCTTCTTTGCCAGCGCTGAAGCTGAAGTCAACACTCAGCACTCAATTCCGAGCTGTTGAACACTTTGACTAGGCTCATCTCCGAATCTGTTCAAACGCGCGCTTTTCATCTACTGCCCTCGATTTTCCTGAATTATTGTTCTTTTATTACACATGTCTACGGAGCCTGTAGCAGATCCTGTCGAGGAAAAACGGGCTGCAGGAGAGGAAACTACGATGCCTGAAGGAAGTGAAGATGAGAAGATGCAGAATGCTCGCAAGCAGAGTATGTGTTTTTTTTTTTATCATCTTTCTGCAGATGGATGATGATCGAGCCTAGTCGAGTTCTATTTTGCCGACTCGAACCTGCCGTTCGATAAGTGCGTATGATCACTACGCACGCCGTGCATGGCTAATATGGTTCAGGTTTATGTGGAGTCTGCACACTGCAAACGCAGAACACTGGGTACCCATCAAAACCGTCTCGTCGTTCAAGCGCATGCGAGATTATGTATCGAAAGGCCATGATTGGATAGTGAAGGCCTTACGGACAAGTGAGGAGCTGGAAGTGGATGAAGCTGGCGAAAATGCGAGGCGTCGCACTGAGGTTCAACCACCGAAGGGCCAGTTTGAGAGAAGTGTCTATGCGGTGAGTCAGATCATTGAGGTACCGACAAATATGCTTATGCACGGCGCTGCAGAAAGGGTTTGGCGAGGAGACTTCCGATTTGCAGAAGAAATTGGAAGAGTTTTTCAACCAGTATGGACAAACGAATGCCGTCAGGATGCGCCGTGTAGACGGGAACAAGCAGTTCAAGGCATGTTTCCTACACTCAATTAAGAAAAACATATGGGCTAATTTCAAACAGGGATCAGTCTTCGTCGAATTCACAGACATGAAATCCGTTGAAGCATTCCTAAATGCTGACCCCAAGCCATCTTGGGATGACGCCGAGTTGTTGATTATGTCCAAGTGCGATATTTCCCCTCTTCCAAGTTATGTTCTCTAATAGACTCTAGGGAGGCCTACTGCGATATGAAAATCAAGGAAAAGGGTCTTACTGGCAAGACCGCTGAGATGCGCAAGGACAGCATCGCAAGCCGGAAGGGCTTCAATGCGTTCCAGGAGATGGATGGGAAGGGTAAAAAGGGTAAAGACAAGCCCAACCCCGAAGTCTGGCTCGAGTTCATGGGGTCCAAGATTCGTGTGCAGGAGGAAGATGGAGGTAGCGTGAAGAGTGAAAATGTGCCGTATGTCAAGGGCGCAACAATGAAGTTCACGGGCTGTGGTGGTGATGCTAACTTTAACGACATGAAGGTAATTTGGTGGGTTTCGCTTCGCGTGTTAATGTTCTGACTTCCTGGACCAATAGAATCCTTTGAGAGAGCGCTTTGCCCGAGTACCATACATCCAATTCTCGAAAGGAGATGACTTTGGTCTCGTTGGATTCGACAAAACCTTGACGGAAGATGAGATTGACTACGTGAAGACCAACCTGAAGACCGTGAACTCCAATGAAGTTCAGTGGTCTGTACCTGAAGGTACTGTCATCCTTCCTGTATTGTATGCGATCTGTAACTTACCCTTGTCATCGTGTCGCAGAGGAAGAAGAGAAACAATTCCAAATCGATCGTGCTAACTTTGCTGCGCGATCAGCTCTCTCGCGTTCTCAGGATCGAAAAGGTGGTTCGTCACGGGGCGGACGAGGAGGCGGACGAGGAGGTGGACGTGGAGGCCGGGGTGGGGGTCGGGGTGGTAGAGGTGGAGGCCGTGGTGGTCGAGGTGGAGGCCGTGGTGGAGGCCGCGGTGGCGAGAAAAGCCAGTCTGCTGCAACATCTGAGGAGCAGAGCGGAGAAAAGCGCAAACGCGCCGTTGAGCCTGACGGTGGCCCTGATACTGGAATTCGTGGTCAGGCTGTCCCTACGATTGCGCCATCGAAAAAAGCAAAAACAGATGCTGCATCATAGTATCTGTACGAATACGCTGTGTATATTCTGTACAGTACTAGTCTGAGTACTACTTGCATTCATGAAGCTATGTGCACAGGAGGTCACAGCTGGGGTACCCGGGAGTATACTCCATGTAAGTTTGGCGGTACCCGGGGGTATACTCCACATATTTTAGGTACTATGCTGTGCATGGCAGTGTGGCCCCATTAAATATAAGTCAGCTGTGGAACCTCGTGTACTAGTATAATCCCCACCCCTCGGTGCCCTTCACTTTTCTGTTCAATCAAAGAGACATCGCAGAACGCTTCCCGCAACTTTTTCAATTGCTTACTTGCGATCCGTGCGCCTAGTGGAAATGGATAACAGGCGAGCCCAATTTACCCTTCGTTCCTGGCATAATGTTCTAATGACTCATTCACTCAGCGCTACACAGGATAATTCATGCCACGAACCTCGCGACATGGAAAAAAGGCAGTTTGCAGACTTGGAAAAGGTTGGGGGACTAGCTGCAGAATATGAATCGACTGAGGAAGAAGAAACCTTGCGTCCCGCCGAGGCTGCGCTTGAGATGCTTATCGTTGTCCTTAACTGGTCACTGTTCTCAGTGAGTTTGAGCTGTCAGAGCATTAAATATTCCATCCTCTGATGACGCATCGTTTTGCCCCTCGACTCTAGGCGCTGATAACCGGGTCAATCTGGGCGTTACAGTTAATTTCGCCACGACCAGATGCCTCTATGCACGACCCTTCGCCACGTCATGCGCTCTCACCGCTCTCACACGGTGTCCTATTCGTCGGCAGCATACTAAGTTTCTCCGTCGCATTCCTCATCGTTCTGGGCAAGAGCCTCATGGGCCAGTACACGCTCACCCTGAGACTGCCGCCGTTTGGCCTCCGTAGCCTCCCCAAGTCTAGGGTTCAAGATTTGCGTGCGATACCAACATCCATGCCCACATGGTTCATGGGGATCCTGAAGTCATTGAGGTTTATCCTTCCACTTATCCAGTTTTTGGTTACTGCGGCACTACTCGCGATCTACTGGCTCAAGGCTTAGTCACTTGCCCTTCCAAGGCCACGAACAGGCTTCTTCCTTCATAGTCTTTGCCAATCTTTCTTACTTTCTTGATACGAGAAACAATGTCGTGTACTTTGTATCAAAGTTTATGTTATTCTTGATCCATCAGCCAGATAACCATTTTGTTTCCTTTTTTATTATGAGTGAAGGACTTGCCAGCACTTGCACCAAACCTGCACCACGAAAGATCTCCCCAAAACAGGATGATCTGTTTCCTTTTCCAGGAGTTGAACGTTGAACAGTTCGTGACGAAATCGAGGGATTGCATGAAATATGGGTATCAATCCTAACCGAACGATGAAACGAACACATCTAAAGATACGAAATAATACAACCGTACAGTATTGACATGACCAGCCGGAGAATCGATGGTATCTAAACGTCCTTGACCTGTTCCTCAAGCCAGTTCCACAGCTCCGAGGCCTGCTGTGGATCCTGTCCGTCCGCATGTGTGTATCCAATGCGTGCCCAAGGAACAAGATACTGTCCATGATGTAAGTTCGAGCAGAGTCAGGAGAGAAGGCGGCTAACCTTTCCGTTGAGATTCGCTCCTTCTGCAGTGGTTCCAGCATATAACTGCGTGAGCGCGCCAAATGAAACATCATGGAAAAGCATGTTCTACAAATATTGGCGATTAGGATCTGGAAGGTTGAACGATGCGATGACATACGCCTATCACTTTGCTGAAGGAGTCGTAGTAACGGGAAAGCTCCGTCTTGGTACCACCGGGGTTGAGTGCTGTTGAGACTATACCCTGGTCGCCATACCGTCTTGCTACCTCAGCTGCAAATAAAACGTTCCCCTATTCACGCCGGAGTTTAGTAAGGAGTTTCATACAATGGAGACAAAACTTACCATTTTGCTTTGACCATAGAGAATCATAGGGCTCTTCTTTCTCCTGGCGGGAGAGTCCTTGAACGTGTTGTAGTCCAGACTACCGAACCAGTGGGCATTAGAAGCCGTGTTCACAATGCGTGCAATTCCGTCAGATGATTGCGCGGCACCCGCTAAAAGTGCAGGCATGATACATTTCGTGAAGTAGAAGTGACCAAGGACATTTGTGCCGAATTGCAGGTCATAACCGTCGTCCGTCAACATCTCTATAGGAGGTGTCATGACCCCTCTGAGCGACATGTGAGCAAACGATGAGGCAGCAAGTCAGGTAACACTCACGCGTTGTTGAACAGGACGTGTAGTACGGGCTCTCTCCTAAAGATCAGATATCAGTCGTTTTGTTGCTCAACCAATGCAATGCAAGCTGACCGCAGAAATTCTTCTCCAGAAACCTTGATGGACTGCAAGTTTGCCAAGTTGAGTTGCAATAAAAAAGCTTCTTTTCCAGTGCTCTCCTTGAGGTCGCGAATAACGGCTTCACCCTTGGCCTTATCACGACAAGCAACGTAGACTTTTGCGTTTTTTGTGAGGAGGACCTAACAATGAAAGCGTTAGCATGAGGCAGACACCGACGCGTCGATGGGAGACATACTCTGGCAGTCTCTTTGCCTATCCCTGCATTAGCACCGGTGACGAGAACGACCTTCCCGGACATATCTGGGATGTCAGACGCGCCGAACCGCGCTGACGGAGGAAAAGTCTCGCGAACGTACACCGACCAGATGTGACCCATAATGAATGAGGGGGAAGTGATTTCGAGGGTTGACTAGGACTGGAGGTTTTTGAGCTCGAGGAAGATTCAATGACGAACTTCAACTGTGTGGTGACTGTGAATGCAGGACGCGCCTTTTTATACTTAATTATGTGCTTCTTGCCGGGACCGCGACGTGTTCGCGTACGTACGCGACAAATGACTCCTATCGGAGTGGCGCGAATTGCTAAATTTATACTGAATTGAATGATTTTGTCACGTTCATTGTCTAATGGGCCGACGCGGTCGCGTACAATCGTCGACAACGTCGGCAACAGCGATGGCGAGTCCCCAAAGTCGACGGTGTAATATCAATGCGATAGTCTGAAGGTGCGAAACCCAATGTGCTCGCCCTCGCTCTCCAAAATAATCCAACTGTTACTACAATCAAAGGTCGGTGTACGCGTAATTATAAAGGCTGACGCAAAGAAGATCACGAATCACGGTCAACACACCGATATTAATGCCACAAATTTACATAATGGACCCTTTCTTTACAAAACGCAGCAAGGGCCCTAGTGTTGTGGGCAGAACTGGCTGTACGACCTAGTAGATGGCAGAGCCCCGCGAAAAATGGCTGGCTTGGCAGAGAACCGGCCTGCGACAATAACATATGCAGTGTTTAACTTCAAAAGCCTGAAAACAGAGTCGCAGACGCTCTCAGCTTCGTCCCAGAATGCCATGCATATGGTCCATGCTGGTGGCGCCATCTCTAATCAACAATAACTTTCAGCGTCTCGACAAAGTTGCTAACAGCTCTGTGGAAACGCAAGCTCACTGTAGGTCACCTCGACAGCTCCCCTGGTACCAACGGTCGAGAGCCTACGCTGCTATATGAATCATGATCACGAAGTCTTGTAAAGGGCAATCCCTCTCGGTCAAGTCACGACCGCGATCAATTTCACCAGAGAGATTGTCAATTAAGCACCCAGACTCTTTCTCGTCGGATACCGTCTTCATAAAACAAACATCTATCATGCCTGCTCGGCGCAGGTTGGCCTCCGTCGGATGCTCCACTTCTTCCAGGACCTCCAAGCTGATGGAGGCTGAACGATGACCCATCTACAAGAGTTGCAGTGTGCCTGTATTCGGGATGGTGGCCTGACTGTCGTGCGATGCGTCAAATGCTCTTGTCATGTGTAGTGCCAGTCCCAACATGATCACCGATGCAGACCGCAAACGACAACTAGAATCATCTTCGATAAATTGTCATCGCAAATTGAGGCACCATCACGAACTCACAGCTGGAAGACTACTTATACCATGATATACCTGGAAGTCAAACCGTCACTGGTAGGGCACTTTTTAACTTGTTTGCCTCCTTGCTGGTTTTGTCACGAGTTGCATTTCCAAATATCTGCCCACTATGCCGACTGGAATGGACAAAGCTATGACGACCTGGAATAGATAGTGGATGATTCAAGGACGATTGAATCATAAACTCTCGAAACGGCTCCGAGTGATCCTTCTAAGATCTGCCAGTGTACTAGCACTTGCTTGCCCTCACATGTACTGAGATCAAGTTGCGGGCGGAGTTTGAAATTAGTAGTTGGTCTCCGAGTCAGGCTCCAGCTAATACTAATCGTTTGCCACGTACAGCTTGCCGGGGCTGCCTTTTGAAGCGTCCCCGCATCTGTACATAATATGATACAGGTACCCTCTGATTTGAACAGTAACAATTGGTATGGTCAGGCAACCTCTTTATGAAAGGCATATTGTACTCACTTCCGGTCAGTCTTTCGCTTCCAGTCCTTCTTCCTCGCATTGATAAATGCCGTACCTCTCTTTTGCCTCTCTTACACCACTCAACGGCGAACAATGATTCTGAAGGTACTGCATCTGCATACAACGACTGCAAATACACCGCCCCTGACTTCCAATTTCTCTTTCCGAACAGCGATACGGTTGGAATGTTTCTTTAAAGGGGCCGGAATGCATGCATGCATGTATATTTTTAGTAGGCTTCCATTCACTCCTCCTCGCTTTGACATAAACGTCATACCCCTTAGGCCATTGAACGATAGTGGTTCACCGGTTGTGGGAATGGCGAGAGTCGCATGGACGAATTTCTGCCTCAAGTCCGTACAATCGGAGAAACTGATTGAATTGCTGGGTCTGAATCACGGGTATAAAGGTAGGGCACTTAAGATCACTGACTATCACGCAACTTCACAAACCTTTATCATCTCTGTATCATCCACTATGCCTTATCCTGAAGCTGGCATCTATTTGATCCAAAGTTCTAGCCAGCCGGATATTTACGCCAGCTTGCATAACAATCACCAAAGAGTACTTCGCGCAGAGTACTGTGATATTGAACAGTACTCCCAATTGGTAAGCTGAGGGACTTTCGAATCATCCTGCCACCCTGAGAGCTCACGGCAAGAGTAGTGGCGCCTGGAATATGTTGAAAATGATACCGACAGCTCTAAGGCATACTGCATTATCAGCAAGCCAGATACTGCAAATCCATTGGGCGTGAATACCGTCCACACCGTAGGTGGTCTACTGTAAGATTTAAATTGCTCCTTAGACACCGTGGTCTACAGAATCAAGCTGTCTACTCCATGCTCGACGAGTCCGACGTGCAGTCATGGTACCTCAGCGAGACTGACGAGGGTTACGTGTGAGTGACGACCATCCTTGTTTTAACTTTTCGTGCTCGAGCTCAAGCATCGCAGGATCGGCCAAAGTGCCAATAACAAACAGTACACTTGGCGCCACGGCGCCAAAGGCGAGCCGGTGTGTGGATCCTTTTTCGTTAAAGTGTCTCTGCTTAACTCAGTGCAGATCGTGATCACGTCCCACGACACCCAGAGCTGGAAATTCGTGGCACCAGAATAAGCACTGGCATGCAAGCACTCCTGTTAAACGGTAGACATTTACATGGTTCTTCTCGTGGTTCGCCCAAGCTCTATTTCATGAGTGAGGCAGAGTAACACTCTGGAGGTTCCGTACAGTCCAAACTGATATTGAGTCGAAAGGCAATAAACTCCTCATAAACATACGCCATCCCATAGTTAGGTTGAAGTCTTCCGTTTGATATGCCGATTGTTCCCGCTGAGCATGTGACGCAGTATGAGTAGAGCGCAATACTCGCGAAAGTTAAAACCGAAGGTGCCAGTGGTGCCTATCCAAAATTTTCAAATGAGTTGCGCAGCTGCTTTTGCAGCAGCCAGTTCTAGTTTATCCGGTCTTAATGAAATAAGAAATGGGAGGAAAATATTGAACAGAATCTTCAGCGGTAAGATTCAAGCCTACTGATACCATGAATACCTAGAAGTCAAACCGTTGGTAGGGCAGCCAGCACTAGCACTTGCTTGCCCTCACAAGTACTGAGATCACGTTGCGGGTGGAGTTTGAAATTAGTAGTTAGTCCCAGGCTCCAGCTAATAGTACTAATCACTGTTTTCCACGTACCTTGCTGGGGCTGCCTTTTGAAGCCCCCGCGTCTGTACATAATATGATACAGGTACGGACCTTCTCCTCTGATATGAACAGTGACACAGGCAACCTCTTTATGAAAGGTATATTGTACTCACGTTCGGTCAGTCTTTCGCTTCCAGTCCTTCTTCCTCGCTTTGATAAAAGCCGTACCTCTTACACCATTCAACGCCGAACAATTGTTCCGATTTTGAAGGCCTTACTGCGTCTCCATACAACGACTGCCAATACACCGCCCCCCCCTCTTCCAATCTCCATTTCCGAACAGCGATACGGTTGGACTGTATCGGCGACATCGTTAAAAATGCCGGAATGAAAGCATGTATGTATATTTTTAGTAAGCTTCCATTCACTTCTCCTCGCTTTGACATAAACATTATACCCCTTAGGCCATTGAACGGTGAACGGTTCACCAGTTATGGGAATGGCGAGAGTCGCAAGCACGAATTTCTGCCTCAAGTTCATACAATCGGAGAGACTGATTGAATCGCTGGGTCTGAATCACGGGTATAAAGGTAGGGCAATTAAGATCACTATCTATCACACAACTTCACAAACTTTTATCTTCTCTGTATCATCCACAATGACTTTTCCTGATGCTGGCGTCTATTTGATCCAAAATTCTAGCAATCCGGATATTTACGCCACCATCCACGGTACTGAACATGTACTTCGTGCAGAGTCCTTGGATGTCCACAAGTACTACCAAAGGGTAAGCTGAGGGACTCTCGAATCATTCTGCCACCCTGAGAGCTCACTGCAAGAGTAGTGGCGCGTGACCTATGCTGATAATGATAGCGACCAGGGAATCTGCGTTCTCTCCAAGGAACAAGGTGCAGGCATATTGGGCGTGAGATCATCCGTCCACCAGGTAGGCAATCTACTGTAAGATTTGAATCGCTCATTGGACACCGTCTACAGAATGCACCTGTCTTCACCCTCTCCGAATCGCAGTCCTGGATCCTCACCCAGACTGACGAGGGCTACACGTGAGCGACGACCATCCTCATTTTGACTCTTCGTGCTCGAGTTGAAGTGTCGCAGGATCGGCCAGTTTTCTCAACATGGTGTTTACAATTGGTCCTACCACACCAAAGGCGAACCAGTGCGTGCATCCCTTTTCGTAAAGTGCCTCTGCCTGACCCAGTGCAGATCACAGTCGTAGAGAACGGCCAGAGCTGGAAATTCGTGCCAGAAAACTAAGCACTGGGATGCAGATGTTCGCGTCATGTATCTGTTTAGTTTCTGAAATTCGATAGTCGCTGTACCATCAGTTTATGCAAATGCTGGCGTGTAAAGCGATGCCAATTTTTTCGACTTCACTCGGTTCTCAATTACCATTGAGAAAGAACATGATCACTAGGTTCAACACACAGGACATATTCTACATGATCCAGCAATTTGTATCTAAACGTCTTGAGCAAAACCGGACAGTGCTCGGGTACGAAGCACATTTGGAACACCCTCCACACATGGTAAGAAATACACGGGTGTGGAAGTTAAGCTGAAAAAGTGTAAGCAAGCATATACGATGAAGCGGTTAAAAATCAGAGTACCCCTGTTAAACGTTAGACACTTACATGGTTCTCTTCTCGTGGTTCGCCCAAGCTTTATTCATGAGCGAGTCAGAGTAACATTATGGATGGAGCTCTCTGACGAGCAACACCCGACATCGCTGAAATGGCAGAGCTGACGAGTCGACTAATTTTGATTTATGGGTAGTGATCAATTAAGCTCATCACTACTACCCAGAACTCAAAAAGTCAAGACGACTTCGACGAGCCTGATAAGATGGGCGCTTGATCGGCAGTTCGAGCAGAGCGGTCAAAGCGATCTCTCTTAGTTAATTGAAAGAATCCATTCCTGGTTGAGATAGAGAAGCAAGCCAGCACCGCCCGCATGATAATAATAGCTGCGACGCACCTGTTTCCGCCTCTATATTTCAGTAGTCGACCTCGAGAGAACGTCTCCGCATGTAAATTGAGAAACACCCCCCAAAAAAAACAATCATAATACGGACCTCCGCACCAGAGCAGTATGAACCACGGACAGAGGAAATATATAGCGCACGAACATAACTAAGCAGCAGTTCGCCAGCCCACTATTCTTGAACCCAAATCACATCCCATCGTCATGATCGCTCGACGCAGATTGGCCTCTGTCGGGTGCTCCACATCTTCCAGAGCCTCATTGATAGAGGTTGAACGATGACCCAACCACAAGAGTTGCAGTATGCCTATCTTAGGAATGGCAGCCCAACTGTCGCGCGATGCATTGAACACTCGTGTCATGTGTAGCGCCAGTCTTAACATGATCACTGATGCAGATACCGCAAACGACAACTAGAATCATCTTCAATAAATTGACATTGCGTAGATACCATAACGAACTCACAGGAAGAAGGTTGATAGTCAATTGAAGATAGGTTCCGTACACTCTAAACTGACATTGAGGCGGAGGGCAAAAAATTCCTCATCGACATAGGTCATCCCGATGCTAGATCGAAGTCCTTCATTGGATATCCCGATGAGTTGTACAGCTGCTTTCGCAACCGCTAGTTCTAGCTCATCCGGTCTCAAAGTGAAATTAGAAATAGGATGACTCGGCGACGCAACATCGGTTTGTAAATATTTATTGGTGAGATTCAGGTCCACCAATGACATGATATACCTAGAAGTCAAATCATTGGTGAGGCATTGCACCGCTGCAGTCAAGGAAAGTTTTAGCCTACTCAGCCGCAATAGAGGGGCTCGGCGGTATGTCGAGTTGCATCCTCAAATACCATCCCGCTACCAAGTGAGATGCAAGTGAGAAAGGGCAGCAGTTGCAGAAGGGCGGGCGCAAGAAGCTAGCAGGTGTTGGAAAGCAGCAAGAGGAGGGTGCGGGAGACTAGTAGGTTGTCCACTGAATGTCATTATGGATGGATCACCAAATCTCTATCCCATGAGCGAGTCCACCGAAATGGCAAAGAAATGCGATGTGCACTGTGACATGCAGTCCTTGCTGTGCGGCGCACATGCACGAGCATGTAGGGATGCTCCTCTGTTGCGACTTGAAGCTTACTTCAGAAGTGGAGCGAAGATTAACCGCCACGTCGCCCAGTCGGCAACATGAAGCACAACGAGAGTAATACAAATGATCAAAGAAAACAGCAATGACGGAGAGACATCAACGAAGGAAGAACAAGACGAAAGCTGAAGGTATGAGACTCGAGAGATCATACTACGGGGAGTGAGGATATGTTGTACTCTGAGAGCAACAGCGGTGCGCTCAATGTCGCATCCTTCCTCCAAAAGCAGGTACAGGGCTTGTTCTTTCCGATCACGACACGACTGATCCTCCAGTGGTAGACCATGGCGAGCCTGAGTGAGAAACTTGTGCGATATAATGTTTTTGAAGCCGTTCAGAACTCGAAAGCGATTTACATAAATGAATTTTCAATATTTCTAGCTACTATTTTTGAACCATTTCAAGCACGTGAGTCAAGACTTTCCGGATCCGGACAGTGATACGGTTGGAATGTTTCGGTGACATCTTTAAAGGGGCCGGAATTATAGCATATTTTTGGTAAGCTTCCATTCACTCCTCCTCGCTTTGACAGAATGTTTGGGTAAACCCCTTGCGTCATTGAACGGTGAACGATGGTCCCGACCGGTTCACCGGTTATTGGAATGACGAGAGTCCCATGCACGAATGTCTCCCTCACGTTCATACAACCGGAGAGACTGATTGAATTGCTGGGTCTGAAACACGGGTATAAAGGTAGGGCAATTAAGATCACTATCTATCACCCAACCTTTATCATCTCTGTATCATCCACTATGTCTTATCCTGAAGCTGGCATCTATCTCATCCAAAGTTCTAGCAAGCCGGATATTTACGCCAGCGTCCACCACGGTGGACAAAATGTACTTCGTGGAGAGTCCTTCGATACCGACAAGTACTACCAAAGGGTAAGCTGAGGGACTCTCGAATCATCCTGCCACCCTGAGAGCTCACGGCAAGATTAGTGGCGCCTGGACTATGTTGCTGGTAACCAAGACCGCCCTCAAGTATTCTGCGCTCTCACCAAGGTAAATGGTGAAGGCGGATTGGGCGTGAATTCCATCTACACCGTAGGTAGTTTACTGTAAGATTCAAATTGCTCCTTGAACACTGTCTACAGAATCAAGCTGTCTACTCTCTCAATAACCCGCAGTCCTGGTTCCTCAGCCAGACTGACGAAGGCTACCTGTGAGTGACGATCATCCTTGTTTTAACTCTTCGTGCTCGAGCTGAAGTGTCGCAGGATCGGCCAGATATCCGATGATGTTACATACACTTGGACCCACCACAACAAAGGCGATCCAGTGCGTGCATCCCTTTTCGTGAAGTGTCTCTGCTTGACCCAGTGCAGATCACAATCGTAGCCGACGGCTCCCAGAGCTGGCAATTCGTGCCGGAAAACTAAGCACTGGGATGCAGATGTTCGCGTCATGTACCATTTTAGTTTCTGAAATTTGATAGTTGTTGTACCATCAGTTTATGCAAATGCTAGCGTGTAAAGCGGTGCCAATTTTTTCGACTTCACTCGGTTCTCAATTACCACTGGGAAAGGACATGATCACTAGGTGCAACACGCAGGACACATTCTACATGATCCAGCAATTTGTATCTAAACGTCTTGAGCAAAACCTGACAGTGCTCGGGTACAAAGCACATTTCGAACATTCTCCACACATGGTAAAGAATACAAGGGTGTGGAAGTTATGCTGAAAACAGTGCAAGCAAGCATTAATGTACTGATATACGATGAAGCGGTGAAAGATTATTGAAAATGCTCGAAAAAAGATATGAACACCCCTGTTAAACGTTAGACACTTACATGGTTCTCTTCCCGTGGTTCGCCCAAACCCTATTTCACGAGTGAGTCAGAGTAACACTATGGATGGAGCTCTCTGACGAGCATCAGTAGTCCAGACGACTTCGACGAGCCTGAGAAGATGGGTGCTTGATCGACAGTTCGAGCAGAGCGGTCAAAGCGATCTCTCTTAATTAATTGAAAGAATTCATTCCTGGTAAAGATAGAGAAGCAAGCCAGCGCCATCCACATGATAATGAAATTTGCGACACACCTGTTTCATATTTTCATAGTCAACCTTGAGAGAACGTCTCCGCACATAAATTGAGAAACACGCCAAAAACAAAAACAATCATAATACAAACCTCCGCACCAGAGCAGAATGAACCACGGACAGACGAAATATATAGCGCACGAACATAACTAAGCAGCAGTTTGCCAGCCCACTATTCTTGAACCCAAATCACATCTCATCGTCATGACCGTGGTCGACTTCACCACTAGTGAGACTATCAGTTGAACTCCCAAACTCTTGTTCGCCAGATATCGTCTTTGCAAAACAAATATCTACCATGCATGCTCGGCGCAGATTGGCCTCTGTCGGGTGCTCCACATCTTCCAGGACTTCATTGATAGAGGCTGAACGATGACCCAACCACACATCAGTGAACCGGTGAAGATTTGATAAGAGCATATATAACAATATATAGTTGAAAATAACAAGAATCAATATAATTCTGCTATGGGGGATTACATTGTCATTTTTGGCCTTGTAGAGCGCAGAATAAAGTATGATTGTCCTACATAGGTTTATGATGCGGACAACACTGCGATATCACTCGCACTTGAACTTGGAGGAGAGGTTGAGCACAAGTTGATGGTAAGGCAAAATGAATCAGCGCTGCCACCTCAGAAGTAAGGTCGATATTTTTGAAACTGTCCTACAGAGGTTTATGATGCGGACAACACTGCGATATCACTCGCACTTGAACTTGGAGGAGAGGTTGAGCACAAGTTGATGGTAAGTAGTGATGTGCAAAGCCCGGCTTCAGGCCGTGGGCCGAGCCAAGCCGAGCCCATTTAGGCCGGGCCAAGCCGAGCCTTGAGGACGGCCCATAAGGGCTCAAGGCCCGGCTTGAGGTATCTGTAAGCCTGAGCCGGGCCCTCGAGCCACGGCTTTCAATGGGCGTAACACTGGCAGATCATAGATGAGTATTTGAGTACTTCTGCTCGTTTGCGTGCATCTGCATTTGTTCGTATGTAATTCTGCGTGTTCTCACTCACACATACTCATTTATAAATCGTTGCACGTGACACTTTGTTTGTTCGGAACGGGTCATTCATGCTTGCCATATCCTGTTCGTTCACCACTCGTATCTTCACACTCGTGCTCATATTGCACTCATTCCAGCTTGTGTACACCTGTTCTGACTTGTCCCTCGTCGTTCTCATTCATCTGGGCTTGCCTGGCCTCATTTTGGTTCATTATGGCTTGTCCCTCGGCATTCTCATCCATCTAGGCTTACCTGCACTCGTCTGGACTCTTCTGCATTCGTCTGCATTCGTCTGGACTTGCCTGAACTCGTTTTGACTTGCCTGTATTCATCTGGGCTTGCCTGCACTTGTTTGGACTCGTCTGCATTCGCTTGTACTTGCCTGCACTCATTCTGCATTCGTTTGGACTCATCTGCATTCGCTTGGACTTGCCTGAACTCGTTTGGACTTGACTTGGCTTGTCTGTATTCGTCTGGGCTTGTCTGCATTCATCTGGACTCGCCTGCAATCGTTTGGACTTGCCTGCATTCATTTGCGCTTGCCTGCACTCGTTTGGACTCGTCTGCATTCATCTGCATTCGTCTGGACTTGTCTGCGTTCGTTTGGACTTGACTTATCCTGTCTGTATTCGTCTGGGCTTGTCTGCAAACGTTTGGACTTGACTTGGCTTGTCTGCATTCATCTGGACTCGCCTGCAATCGTTTGGACTTGCCTGCATTCATTTGCGCTTGCCTGCACTCATTTGGACTCGTCTGCATTCATCTGCATTCGTCTGGACTTGTCTGCGTTCGTTTGGACTTGCCCTGGCTTGTCTGTATTCGTCTGGGCTTGTCTGCACTCGTTTGGACTTGCCTGCATTCATCTGGACTTGCATGCACTCGTTTGGACTCATTTTCATGTACGTTGGTGCCCGTGCATTTTCGACAGCTGTTAATAATATCACACAATTTTTTGCATAGCAAGCCGCGGCCTAAGCCTAGGCCGAGCCGAGCCTAGCCTGAGCCGTCAAGGAAGGCTCGGCCTGCAATTTCAGTGAGCCTGAGCCCCATCAAGCCGAGCCGTGGCCCCGGCTTTTGAGCCGGGCCGGGCCGTGCACATCACTAATGGTAAGGCTAAATGAATCAGCGCTGCCACCTCAGAAGTAAGGTCGATATTTTTGAAACTATCCTACAGAGGTTTATGATGCGGACAACACTGCGATATCACTCGCACTCGAACTTGGAGGAGAGGTTGAGCACAAGTTGATGGTAAGGCAAAATGAATCAGCGCTGCCACCTCAGAAGTAAGGTCGATATTTTTGAAACTAAAAGCTATTGCTAATGTCTTCCAGAAGGCCGGAGCATGTCTGCCAAGCCAGCAAGCCTAGATTTGCGCCCTACATTAGCTATGAAGGTTACCTTACTCATAGGGTGATGATTGTGAGCTAATATCAGAATTGGGAACTTGTGTGAATATGTTGTACATTTTGCAGCAACGCAGCACGTTTTATTAATTGCGATCGCACCCGAAGAAGTCAAACATATACACTGATCCTGCTTGTTGTTGCACGGTAGCTTAGTAGATAACTTTAGAGCAAAAGGTCATGCCTCGCAATTCAGAAACTGCTTGCTACTCAAGGGCCTTATGTGACGCTGTGTCATAACTCGACAGTTGTATTCATTCGCGATACGTCCAACAGAATTCTGCGTGCATGCATTCACGATCTTCAGTAGCTTAGCTCCTCCCTCTAACAATAAAGTTGTTTCAAAGGAATATTAGGTATTGTAACGACGTTGTTCCACTCTACTTTAA